AAAATATTTAATAAATAATTGAAGCAATTTTGATAAATAACAACAATAACCGTAACCTATAAAAAAAATATTGTAATGTGAATAGAAATAATATGATATAAACCGATTTAAACACAATCATCAACCGTGAACAGATCGTGACCTTGACCTTGCCCGAGACGATAAAAATATATTTGTACATCTACATGTATTTAGGTCTAAAAATGGCGACTGTTCGTTTGAAAGGCCTGTAATATTTCTGATAATGAATCTATTCATATTATTTGTTTGTATACGCTCTACCATATTTTATATGAGGTTACATGATTACGTTATATTAAAAGAATAATCAAATCGGGTAATTTTAATTTATATTTACTGGTGAAAGGATCATTAATTTTATATTTACTGATGCAAGGTACTATATTTAATAAATTTAATTATAAAAACACTTCATGCATAGTCGGCCTAGGTGTGGACTACTCCTAACATTTGGACAGTGATAACCTTTTAGTAGAGAACAACTTTGCTTTATGAAACAGTTTCCGACAATCAATCATTATTTGTTTTGTCAAATTTTTGGGTATCAAAATTGAGAGAGAGAGAAATGGGGTTTAACGTTCACTTGACTCGATGATAAAACAAAAAACACAATTACTATTTTAATTAAAGCGACATTTCGTTGAGGGTTCTCTCAACGTTTTCAAGTAAATGATGCTCAATAGTCAATGGGTGCACTCGTCCGCTTGCCAGCCTATCTTTTATAGTCCCATTGGTGCAGAAAAGTAGGAAAATTAAATAAAATTAAATGAGATTAAACATCCTACTGTTTTGCTCTGAGTGAGCTAATGAAGACAGGCATACACTATATACAGTGTACTATGACGGAAACTTTGCACGGATAGCGGCACTATGGCCTACTCTGATATTGAATTACAACTGTCGGAGTGTCTTTTACGTGTATGCCAATATGTACACGAGGACTTGATTTTTCGTATGACCCGAACAACTATACCTTATCCCTTGCCAGATCCTCCGCCCTGCCACAGTCCATAGAAAATTTCCGTCATAGCACTCTGCATTGCGTATGACTATCTTCAATAGTCCGATTGGTTCAGAAAAGTATAAAAATGAATTTTAAATGGGGTTTGAACATCCTACTATTTTGTTCCAAGTGGGCTAATGAAGAAGGGCATATGCTATAATGGTTAAAATGTTGTGATTTCGGGTTAAAATGCCGTGATGTTGGGTTATCGCCTTACGAAGGGTGATATCAGTCACCATATCTACTGGGTTTCTTTAATACTCATATTTATAGTATTTTATAGAGTCAGACTAGTGGACTAGTGAATGCACGGATTAGTGCACCCACAGACTAGTGAACCCGCAGACTAGTAATTGGTAATGATGGAAAAGTGTGTAAAGACATGTTTTACAGGTTGGCGTGCACTTAGAACTATTGGTAATGACTATATGTGGAAATGCTGCTCTCCAGGCAAAATGTCTTTCCTAGCACTTCTTCATTAGTAAGTGCGGTAATGCTGCTGTCCAGGCAAAATTTCTGTCATAGCACATCTTCATTACTAATTTTGATAAAGCCATGGTGGCTAAGTGCGTAAGATGCTGGCTCGGTAATCCGTAGGGCACGTGTTCGATCCCTGCATTGGTGGAGAAAGTTCATCAGGATTTTCCGACATGGTTTCCCCTTTTCAGAGGTGCAGGAACAAGGACAGTAGTCTAGTCACTCAGATGGGACAAAAAACCGAGGTACCATGTATACATTGGCTTGCACGAAAAGATCCCTTGGCAGTTGGATTCGATATTAGTAGGCAAAATTTCCCTCATAGCACATTTTATGGTATGTACCTGTCTTCATTAGCCCAGTCGGAGCAGAACAGTAGGACAATAAACCGATTTCATCAGGACAAACCTACATGAGGAAAAACCTACATTTCACAAACTTAGTAATTAGTAACGGGGGGTTGGATGGCTGAATGGTTAGCGTGCGGGCGCTGTATCATAAAGTCTGTCATTGAGTTGACTGGCGTGGTTTCGAATCCCCGGTTGTACGTGACAAGGAGTAGGGTCGCCTGTCCAACCTCCGGTTTTCTCCCACTGCTAAAGACCCCTACGCGCAAGCGAATTATGTAAATAAAAATTAAACCATATGTTAGTCCCGAAATGACCTAGTTTGTGTCGCGTAGACGTTAAACCCCATTTCTCTCTCTCTCTCTCTCTCTAGTAATTAGTAACACACTGGCTAGCAAATGAGGGGTTCTGCTCCTAAACTGAGCTAATGAAGATGAGCATACGCCATACAGTATGCTATGAAGGAAATTTTGCCCAGGCAGCGGCGCTATGGCCTACTCTTATATCAAGTTCCAACTACCAAGGGATCTTTCATGTGCACTCCTGTGTGTACACGTGACCTCAGTTTTTCATCCCTGACGAGACAGCTGTTCTTGTCAGGCCCTCCGTCCTGTATCACTGACAAGGGGAAAACACGCAGAAAAATCTGGATGAACTTTCTCAGCCAATGCAGGGATCGAACACCCGACCTCCAGGCTAGCGAGTCAGCGTCTTAGCCAACGTGATCCCCATGTTGGTCGAGAAAGTTCCCTTTGTTAGTAGTGGTGTAGGACAGAGGACCTCAAAAAAACAGTGTCTAGTCCATCACGTGGGTGTGCACGTAAAAGAACCCTTGACATTTGGAATTTGAAATGAGAGTAGATCATTCATTCATTCGTTTTCTCTTTGTGTGTCACCTAGAGACCGCAACTATTAAAGGAGCTAGATCTCTAATCTTGGGCACTTAGAAATGGATACAAAATGTAATGAAATGAAATGGGGTTTAACGTCCAACTGTTCTGCTCCGAACTGGGCTAATGAAGATGGCCATACACCATACAGTGTGTTATGAGGGAAATTTTGCCCCGACAGTGGCACTACGGCCTACTCTTATATCGAATTCCAACTGTCAAGGGATCTTTTACATGCATGCCAATGTGTACACAGGACCTCGTTTTTTTTTTATCCCATCTGAACAACTAGACAGCTGTCCTTGTCAGGCTCTCCGTCCTGCATCACTGACAAGGGGAAACCACGCCGGAAATCTGGATGAACTTTCTCGGCCAATGCAGGGATCGAACACCCGACCTCCAGGCTAGCGAGCCAGGGTCTTACCCATTTTAATGACTAGACAGCTGTCTTGTCAGGCCCTTAATTGTTAGTATCATGACATTAAACTGACATTTGTTTTACGTTTTACAACTAATATCAGGTTTATGTTAGAAAACTAACGTTAGATTTATGTTAGAAAACTAAAGTTAGATTTATGTTATAAAATTAACATTAGATTTACGTTAGAAAACTAACGTTAAATTAACGGTTAAAATTATGACATAAAACTAACATTACATTAACGTTAGAAAACTAACATTATATTAACGTTAGAAAACTAACGTTAGATTTACGTCAGAAAACTAACGTTAGATTTACGTCAGAAAACTAACGTTAGATTTACGTCAGAAAACTAACCATAAACTAACGGTTAGAAACCTGATGTAAAATTTACGTTAGATTAACGTTAGAATTATAACCAATAATACATATATAATTATTATGTCTGAATTCCGACTATATATCAATTGTTAGAATGTGCACACACTTGTAATGTTATTTAATCAAGAAGTATTCAAAGGGAAAAAAATTTGTTAGTAATCCGTCATAAAGTTTACGTTACATTTACGTCATTTTCTGACGTAAAAGTAACCATAACCATTATGACGTAAAAGTAACGTAAATTTAACCAAAGAATTTTACCATTATTGGACGCTAACCATAATCTAACCATAATGACGTAAACTTTACGTAAATCTAACCATCACTGTTAACTGGGTAACTGTAGACGAAATCGTGTAATTGTCTTTCCCTGAAGTACCACACATAACAGTTTAATCGAAAATAGAAACTCAGAAAACATTATAATAACGGAGGCAAGACAAAACATTTATATTGTAAGCTATATAAGGCATAGCAAAGACACGAGAAATTTTGAAAGTATGTTGTGACAAGAAAGGAAATGATTTAATTAACTAGTTTATCGTCTCGTCAACTGCACTTTCAAACGTGCTATGGCTTGGGGGATAATTTTGCACTGACAGAGGGGATCTTTTACGTGCTCGCCAATGTGAACCTTCGTTGTCGTTCCATCCGAAAATCTAGACAACACCGTCCATGTCACCTCCTCCAGGTGCTTCTCTTGGTAATCGAGAATTAGGCTTGTAAATTCTCGAGCGTTTTTTCCTCGATCCACGCCAGAATTGGAACTCTTGACATTCTAGTTGAGAGTCTAATGTACTGGTCTGGTCGCTCTGCTACCTCAATTTTTTTTTATCGTAGGGCTATGGATCTTGCCCCATATCGAAATAACGCCTCAAATCAACCCAAGTTAATTGTGCCTTTTATTTGGACCTAAATCAAAGATGTCTGCCTCCTTTAAAATGACTAGACCTCCACAGTGTAAACATATTTTACTCTGCGAGAACTCTTTGTTTTCTTCAAGAAAAGGGTCAGAAAGGAAATTAAAAATAGTACGGTACCGTACTAAAGAAACTTTTATAGTATATAGTGCTTCATCATCCAACACTAGTTAAAAATCAAAATAGGATATCAGGTAAACACAGTTCAACACCACAGCCATTAACTAAAGCTTATAGACTACCCCCACCCCTACTCCCCAATACACACAGTGGTTAGTATAAAACATAACGAAAATAGACAGCCAGTGGAATATTTGGAAAATATTTTTTTTTCAAAATGTTCTATTATCTTTGATAAAAATTAATGTTTTGCTGGGGATTATATTATCTATTGTTGTTATTTCATTTTTTTTTCTCTCTCTCTCTTTTTTCTGAAGCAGCAAAATCAATTTATAATTTATTTCCTGAAGAAAAATGATTATTTCACCATCGATGCACCATACGTTTAATATAGCAACATACAATGGGAGGTAACTCTGGCAGAAACTCTCCACACGTGGAAAATTTTGTTTACCAGACGAGGACGCTGTCTCTGTTTTGAAACTTCCAAACACAAAAGATTGATCATGGCAGTAGCTGGAGAACTTGGTAAAATTATATTTTAGGTTTATTTTATAACAGTAATTATTCGGCGCTTTCGCAACTGATCGATTCGGCTGAAATTTGATGTGTGTGAGGTCATGGCAAAAATTGATAATCCCCCTTATCAGACATAACATCCTCTGCAGCAAATTTCAAGTGTCTACGACCGCGGCAACTAGTACTGTGTAGAGGTACGAAAGTGCAATAGCGCCTATTTATTCGCAATTATCATTTATTCTATGATATTTGTGAATTGTCAGACAAAATTCAACCCGATTTCCCGTCAGTCACTGTCTATAACTATAATTTTGCATAACCATGGCATAAGTGACGATCAAAAGTGATATTCATATTGATCATACCGAGGCCCCGTACCAAATGGCTATAGACCACCGGTGACCGTGACCCAATCAGTTGGAGGATATGTCACGCATTTAAACAAACTTAATGTAAGAAGTTGATTATTGGCATGTATTGTGTGGGAATGATTATTTGCTAGTTCTTTAGAAAATTAAAAATAGAATACACAAGAAATAACAAAGTTGCTCTAAAATCGCATTGGGCATTACATAGGCCTACATAGTACATGTATGTTTATGGAAAAGATAGGGGAATGGGTCTCAAATATCCTTAGCTTGTTTGTGTGTCAAATTACTTCTTGCTAGCTGGGTCCCAAATGTGTAATATAAATATTAATAGATCTATTAGTTGTTTTAGTTTATAATTCAATTATTATTTAACTCACCACTTTTATAAATGAGTATGATGTTATCACAATCCTATAAAAATGCACGATATTTCGATTCCCTCAAAGTCAAACACTAAAAATTTGACAAAATGTTGACAATCCTGATTTTATTGTGCAGATACGGGGCTATAAAATGAGACTTTTAATATGTGATAGATGTAATCAGTACAAATCCTACAGTTCTTGAAGTTGCAATGACATGCCAAGGATGACACATGAACATTAAAAATATATCATTGCGTTAAATATGAGAACACAGGTACACTAGAAGCAGCATAGCAACGACAAGCAGCCATGTTGTAAATGTGACTGCCAGAGGTGGACACACCCATTACAGACTTTTGATTTTTATTGAGGTCTTAATTTTTTTTTTTAATATTCAATATCAGTTAAAACTAAGATTTGAAATAACCAGAATTTCTAGAAATCCAATACTTACAGTTAAATCTATCAATTCTCTTTCAGCTTTATTAAGTGTCTCGAATAAAACAGGCCTCACAAGCTTTGCCAAAAATTTATCTGATGCTGGCCTACGTCTGATTGCATCTGGTGGAACTGCAAAGGCAATCAGAGATGCAGGAATACCGGTTAGGTACACTGATATTTTTCTCTTATATACTGAACAATTGAGTTGAAAAATTAAAAAGAAATACATAGCTGATTATAATGCTGCTCAAGAGTTCTATCACTAATTAAGATGTTGGCAGAGGTGTGTGTACTGAACACCCCACTCCTCTTCCCCGTATTATTTGAGTCACCGAGAAAAGGATTCATATGTTAATTAAGATGGTTATTTTCTATAATGATGTACTGAGCACCCCACCCCTCTCCCCCTCAGGAGGGACCGAGAAAAGGATTCATTCATATGTTAATTAAGATGTTTATTTTCCCTACCCCTCTCCTGATTATGGGAGGGACTTAAAATGGACATACATGTATGTTAATTAAGATGTTTATTTTCTGTAGTGATGTGTCCGATATCACTGGTGCACCTGAAATGTTGGGAGGACGTGTTAAAACCCTTCACCCAGCTGTACATGGAGGTACTTTATATCAAATAATTTATATATACATTTATTTTTGATCATAATAATTTCATTTTTTATCAGGTTTTATAAAATTTGATATAGTAATTGTATATTCTATTATAGTATTTTTAAATTCTATGTCCAGGATCTTGTGTCAGATTAAAGTTACCTTATTATTAGACTAGTGATAGTATTCATTGGTTTGATTTTTAACCAAATTTTAATTTTTAATGTAGGTATACTGGCTAGATTATCTGAATCTGATCAAGCTGACTTGAGTAAACAGGATTATAAAATGATCAGGTATTTATAATGTTTAGATTGTAAGCCATTAATTAACGGCGAATACACAGAAATAAGGCCTTAAATAGTAAGAGCAAGGGACTGCACTACACACAAACAAAACCGAAAGACAAACCTGTGGACAAGACACAAACTACACATCACTTTGGATGGGACAAAATAAAGCGGTCCTGTGTACCAATTGGCATGTACGTACAAGATCCTTTGGCAATTGGAATTCGATATAAGAGTAGGCTGTAGTGCCGCTGTCTGGGCAAAATTTCCCTCATAGCACACTGTATGACGTAATGCCTGTCTTCATTAACCCAGTCTGGTTTCGAATCCCCGGTTGTACATGACAAGGAGAAGGGTCGCCTGTCCAACTTCGTGGGTTTTCTCCGGGTCCTCCAGTTTCCTCCTACGGCTGAAGACTATTGAAATAAAATTATTGAAATAAAATTGAACCATATGTTAGTCCCGAAATGACCTGGTTTGTGTCGAGTGGACATTAAACCCCATTTCTCTCTCTCTCATTAGCCCAGTCGGAGCAGAACTGTAGGACATTAAACCCAATTTCATTTCATATGTAGTAATGTAGGTGTGAATTGCCCAAATTTTATACACTTTATTCCACAATATTTAATGACATGTTATTTACCGAATGCTATTACAAGAGTGAGATTAGGGAGCAGTCTAAGTGTATCCTTTCTTACATTGAACATTGACCATAGAAAACAAGATGACTGTAAACTACAACACATTTAGGCCTAAATAAATGAGTAGCCGTTTGCGATACGTATGTGTTATAGTTTATTAATCTACCCACTAGTACCCAGTTACTAAAAAATAACTGTAAGTTTATCTGAAAATGGCCAAAGTATTGTGCTCCCTTATAGTTGATTAATAAGAAATGTTTTGTTTTTTTTATTGTAGAGTTGTTGTGTGTAACTTATATCCATTTGTGAAGACTATATCTGATCCTAATGTTACTACAGAACAAGCTGTTGAACAAATAGATATAGGTAAGTGTATATTAAATATGTCTTAGTTCTGTGATTAGAATGGACTGGTGATTATTTATGTAAACTTAGCTGGAATGGTACAGAATGAAATGAGGTCTAATGTCCTACTTTTGTGCACCAATCAGACTGTTGAAGACGTGTTTACGGCCATATGTACAGAGCCTAGACGGCAATTGAATTTCATCTCTCAAGGGTTCTTTTACGTGATCGCCAATGCATACACAGCACCTCAGTTTTTTGTCCCATCTGAATGACTACATGTAGGTGGTGCAGAAATGTATAATGTTGAGTCCCATTTGATTTCATGTTGTTTTATGTTGGTACCTTGTTTATGTTCATAAATCCACATTGAATGATTACAGGTGGCGTTACGTTATTGAGAGCTGCTGCTAAAAATCACGCTAGGGTTACGGTTGTTTGTGATACAGCAGATTATCAAAGGTAATCCTTCTATTTCAATCATTAATCAAATAAGACAGGTCTTTGCCTTAAAATTTCTGGAAATTTGATTTTTTTAAAGATTATTAAATATCGATTGTGTTTTACTCCATTGAAAATCACTAGAGAGTTGGTTGCGTGCTTGTCATGCGAATAAATGTCTAATTAATAATTTATATAACATATGACGCCCCCCAAAAAAGACCTGTAATAGGCAGATTAAGCTCTTGCATAATGTATCTTTAACGCGTTGAAATTAATTATTAAATTTTTGCTCAAATATAAGTATTTATGAAGGTAGAGAAAGAAATGAAATAGGTTGAAAATATTCTTAACTTTACCGATACCTGAGGTATGTTATTTTATCCTACAGAGTTTCTGATGAAATCACCAATTCTTCTTCCCATGACACAAGTCTTGAACTGCGAAAACAGTTGGCTGTTAAGGTTAGTTATAGATTGGATGTATTGCATGTTCCCATTGCAGGTGTTTTGTTTGTATGTTTTAGAAATATAGTAGATTGTGTAATTTTTCGTTGTGTATATTTCAACTGTAATATATTGCCTCGTTTGACCAATGTGTCACTTTATGGTGCATTTTGTTTGGTTGTGGGGGGGTAGGTGCGTGCGTGTTGCATCATGAGGTCTGTCATTGAGTCCAGTGTCACGGTTTCTATTCCCCGCTTGTCTGTGACAAGGAGTAGGGTTGCCTCTCCAACCTTGTGGGATTTCTCCAGGTCCTCTGGTTTCCTTCCACTGCTAAAGACCCTTGAGAGCAAGTGAATAATGAAATAAAAATTTAACCATAATTTATGTTAGTCCCAGAATGACCTAGTCAGTCTCTCTCTCTCTCTCTCTCTCTCTCTCTCTGTGATTGTTTAAAGAGAATATTATATTTTGTTTTATTACAGGCGTTTAATCATACAGCAGAATATGATGCGGCTATATCAGATTATTTTAGATGTCAGTATAGTAAGGGTATATCACAGTTACCTTTAAGATATGGAATGAATCCACATCAAAAACCTGCTCAACTTTATACAACATTACCACAGCTTCCTCTAACAGGTACATATTTATTTCTTGTTGTGACGCTGCACTCTAGAGAAGACTGAGCCGACAAAAGCCGTCAGGATTTTCAAGCCCCCTTACCACTTGTCAGGGGTGATCCTTGCGAAGCCGACAAGGAAAGTGTTGCCTAGTTGTTAAGATGAGAAAACGATCAACAATCCTCTGTGTACATGTTGGCGTGCATCTAAAAGATATATGATTTGTGTGTTTACGGTATTACATATGTAAATGATATTGATTTGTGTATTTCTAGTATTAAATGGATCACCTGGTTTTATCAATCTGTGTGATGCTTTAAATGGTTGGCAATTAGTTAGAGAATTACGTAAAGCTACAGATCTTCCAGCTGCAACATCATTTAAACATGTTAGTCCTGCTGGTGCTGCTGTGGCTAATACCCTCTCCCCTGAACAAGCTAGATTATGTATGGTAGATGATATGGATGGCTTATCTCAACTTGCAACAGCATACGCAAGGGCAAGAGGTAATTTAAACAATTTAGAGAAATTACAGTGTATTTAAAGTTATACACAACAAATGCAAGAATTTTATGAATTTACCATAATCAAACACAAACCAAGAGTATTTAAAGTTTAGACAATATATTTTGCAATAGGGGATTGCAACATTATGATAAGAATATCTTGCAAAACGAATACAAACTATATATTAACTAAGGATTTTTAGTATCTAATTAATTTGGCAGTAAACACAATAGCTCGCATACTTGGTGAGATAGGATTATTATTATAGCTTAGTAGACTGCAAGTTGCTGTATTTAAATGGACAGATTTTAGTCAAATCTCGGTAGATCAATGAAGGATCGTGATCGAAACTCAAAATACTTACTACTAATATATTTAAATGCACATACGTGGATCTGCAAGTACTTAACAAAATTATATAATGTTTCCTCGTTTATATAGAATATTTACTACTGTTTATGATAAATAATTTATTACAGGTGCTGATAGAATGTCATCATTTGGTGATTTTATTGCTTTATCAGATGTTTGTGATGTATCGACAGCTAAAATTATCTCCAGAGAGGTAAATATCCCTTGTTAAAATTATCTCTAGAGAGGTAAATATCCCTTGTTAAAATTATCCCTAGAGAGGTAAATATCACTTGTTAAAAATATCTCTAGAGAGGTAAATATCACTTGTTAAAATTATCTCTAGAGAGGTAAATATCTTTTGTTGAAATTATCTCTAAAGAGGTAAATATCACTTGTTAAAATTATCTCTAGAGGGGTAAATATCATTTGTTGAAATTATCTCTAGAGAGGTAAATATCATTTGTTGAAATTCGATTCCCCGCTTGCTAGTGGCAAGGAGCTGGTTCTTCTGTCCAACCTCGTGGGTTTTCTCTGGGTTCCCCAGTTTCCTCCCACTGCTAAAGACACTTACAGGCATGCGAGTTATTGAAATAAAATTGAACCATGTTAGTCACAAAATAACCTTGTTTGTGTCAAAGTGGACGTTAAACCCCATCTCTCTCTACAGGTATCTGATGGTGTTATAGCTCCAGGGTATGATAATGCTGCTCTAGATATATTGAAGAAGAAAAAAGGAGGAAATTATTGTGTGCTTCAGGTATTAGAATTTAATATGATTTGTAAAACTGTGTTTAACACAAGTGTCATCACTCAACAGAAATATTGAAAATGTGGAGACACACCAGTTTGAACATTTGTTCTTCAGGAAGTTTTGCTTCCTATATCTTTTGTAATAAAATTTAAAAACAAGTGTAGCTGGGTGCTCTTCTAAAATAATTACACAATACATCATACACCATACTCAAATTTTACACAATACATCATACACTATACTCAAATATTACACAATACATCATACACTAAACTCAAATATTACACAATACATCATACACTATACTCAAATATTACACAATACATCATACACTATACTCAAATATTACACAATACATCATACACTATACTCAAATATTACACAATACATGCACATTATTAAGATCCCAAAGAACTTGGTTAGATACTCATATTTTGTCTTTAAATAATATTTTTGGAGAGTGTTCTTTTACTTTCAACATATTTTCATTGTCTAGTACCTTTTTATTTATTTTGTTTATTACTATGATTATTGTGTATATAATTATATTGCTATCTGCAGATGGATGCCGAATACGAAGCTCCTGATTTAGAGACAAGAACATTATTTGGATTACAGATGGCACAGAAAAGAAATGATGCCACCATAACTAAAGAACTGTTTACAAATATTACCACAGCTAGGAAAGATGTAAATATTCTTTGTCATTTCATGTATTCAAATATTCAATTTACAAAGCCTCATTTGGTACATTAGCTGATCTCATCGGGCAATATCTCATTTTGTAATGCTTAATCCAGGCTAAAATATACTCCAATTGATCATGTAACATTAAATACAAAAACACAACTAGAATAGCAATGGAAGGTATTAAATCTCCAGAATTCAATTAGATTAAAAAGAGACCTATCAAAAATTGAACCCAACACTTACAGATGGCTGTAATTTCAGTTCATTTACAACACACACTCTAGTAGTAGTAATTTATTTTTCATTCTTTTCTCCCACAGTTACCAGAGGCTGCTGTGAGAGATTTAATTGTAGCATCTATTGCCTTGAAATATACTCAATCAAACTCTGTGTGTTATGCTAGAGATGGACAGGTAAACATATTTGTTTATTATTTATGAAATTTATTTACCTATGGTGGTAGCTCACTAACCAGGATGTTTCGGTTTCGATCTGGTCTGGTTTGCCTTTGTCAGTAGTGCAGGACAAAGAACCTGGAAAGAAAAGTGTTTAGTCTTTCAGGGTGCAGCTCACACTGATCAGCAGTGAATTTTCGCTAGGTCGCTACAATCACTGATAAGGATGACATCGATGCGACTTAATAAGTCCCAGATATTAACTTTTTTCTTCCGTCAAATTAAATTCTAAAACATTATATTCTTTTATTAGAAAAATAAATAAAGACGTTTGAATTGTTTGTAGGTAAAAATCATTTCCTATTTAGTGTAAATGGGTATTAAAATAAGTAAAATTCACCATTTAGCCTGAATCAGTAACGTCTTATGTAAACAATGCACACACTATTGAGCCAATGATTGACGCCGCGTGAATGACATCACATGTCGAAACAGTCATCTGTAACAGAGATATTAAAAGATCTCTGTGAAACAGATTTGGTGCAGCTGTTGGGTATGTCTGTCTTCATTAATCTGGTTGATGCAGAAAAGTAGGGCTTTAAACCCCTGCATTCTTTAAATACAAAGATCAATTGAATTCATAGTCGCTGATAAGCTAGCATGAAAGTCTAGCTCATTATGAAAGTAGACCTGATTCGAGACGGGCTGACATACTAATTGTGTGTTTGTTCATGGGGTTTAATGTCCGCTTAAACCTTGGGGGATAGTAGGAACAATATCCATCAAATGTCTGTAGAAATGGTGGTACAGCTAGCACTGTAACATCACTCAAAATAAACGAAATTGAACATATATTTATCAGCTAAAGTGATAGTCTGGAACAATATCCATCAAATGTCTGTAGAAATGGTGGTGTAGCTAGCAAGATGAATGATAGAGAATATGAATTTATACTATATATTTTATATTTAACTCTTCTGGACTCTAAATAGTATTTGATAAATATTCTGGTCTGATGTCTCTACTTAGAATAATTCTGTTTCAGGTTATTGGAATTGGAGCTGGTCAACAATCACGTATTCACTGTACAAGATTAGCTGGTGATAAAGCTAATAACTGGTATGTCATTTGTTTTTATATAGATACATGTATATTTCTATGTTTTCTGTACAGCTCTGATTGAATTTCTGTATTTAAACATACATTATCCAAGAGCTGAATCTGCCTATTGCAGGTCTTTCTTTATTCCTGAAATCAATGTTATCTAAATTATTAATTAGACATTAATTAACTAACCCAGACCATAATCAACTCTCGATGGCATCAGATTTCACCGATATTAAATAGATTAGAACGGGTCAGCCATATTTTGATTTGATTTAAAAATGGAGGAGCGAGACTTAGCTTCGAACAGCCAGTACGGTGGTTGAAATTATTGCACACATCTTATCAAACTATCAAAGCCCAATACCTTTGCTCGCGATAGAGTAATTTGAATTAAATTTTCAAATTATTCGTTTTACATTATCTATTTCCGAATTATCGCAAGAATGGCTAGCTCTTTATCTACCGTAAGTAAATCTTACATAATGTATAAATGAGGGTCAGCAAGAGTTTTTAACAAAATTCTATTAAAGTGCTTTATTATAGTGCTAGAACTTATCAGACATCAGTGTTATTCTTCCGAAATGGACTTGATTTCCACTTTCACCTAGTATTCAAATCAACGTTATAGTGGCTTGTTTATTTTATAGGTGGTTACGACAACATCCTAAGGTTCTAGGTATGAAGTTTAAAAAAGGTGTTAAAAGAGCAGAAATGTCCAATGCTATTGATATCTATGTTCTAGGAACTGTTGGTCAAGTGAGTCATTTATTTCTAGTGTCTACTATACTGTAGGGAAGAGGGGGGGTTGGATGGCTGAATGGTTAGCGTGCGCGCGCTGTATCATAAAGTCTGTCATTGAGTCGACTGGCGTGGTTTCGAATCCCCGGTTGTACGTGGCAAGGAGTAGGGTCGCCTGTCCAACCTCGTGGGTTTTCTCCGGGTCCTCCGGTTTTCTCCCACTGCTAAAGACCCCTACGCGCAAGCGAAATATTGAACTAAAATTAAACCATATGTTAGTCCCGAAATGACCTAGTTTGTGTCGAGTGGACGTTAAACCCCATTTCTCTCTCTCTCTCTCTGTAGGGAAGAGATTGAAGAATACCCTTACTTTTTAATATAAGGCCATATAGAAAAAAAACCCAAATAATCAATAAGGCCATATAGAAAAAAACCCAAATAATATAGTTCTCATCAGATACTGGCACATTACTTAAAAAGCTACGTGATCCGTACTTATTTTTAAACAAAAGTAACAACTAATCTAGTTCTCATCAGATACTGGCACATTACTTAAAAAGCCACATGATCCGTACTTATTTTTTAAAAAAATAATCATAAATTTATGATATCCTTGATTTTATAAGACGGCGTATAAAGCTAGTATTAATCTTGTAACAGGTTCTTATATTATATGTATGCATCTATTCTATCTATTTGTTAATGGGAAGGAATGTACTGCTGAATGACAGAAATCCTCTGTTGAAAGTGTAACAACTCATTTGTTGAAATGAAATAATACAATATAAAAAAAAATAATTTCAGGATATGAGTGTAAAAATGTGGGAAGATCAAATAGAAAATCCTCCATTACAACTTACCCAGGTAACTGTTTTATATTAATTGAGTTATAGAATCGATATTTGTTAAATTTTACACCTCACATGTGAGAGTTGAATCTCTGATAACAATATTAGCCCCAAAATGGTTTAATTGTGTTCATTAATTTCAAAGATTTGAAAATTTTGTAACATTGGTAGATGATATATACAAACTAGTGCCACCTTTAAGTGTTGGGTGGAATCTTTTAATGGGCCTATTTTACAGACCTGTCAACTCTACCGCATCACGCGGTAAAGTGTCGCGAAAAGGCCTCATGTACCGCTCTACTGCGCGGTAATAGATTTCTACCGCATTTTCAAACAAAGAGTTTTTTAATTTTCTTGCCAAAACTATGGAACTAAGGGAAGCAACTCTTTGCATGTAAACAATAAAGATCGCGACTTTCGGTTATCAACATGATTTAAGATATTGTAAATTGTAATTTAGCTAAGAGATTTGTTCTCAAATTCTTTTCAATCTATTTTAGAGTAAATAAAGTGGATATAATTATTGGCACGTGTTCCAAATACTCTTAAAATGCGTAGCGATAAACTAAACAAATAGCGACCAATTTACGGCAGCAATGGCTGACATTTTCGTTTGCGCGCGTACATACAGCATCTAATACAATACTTCGAATGCAACACAACCTGGATATTTAATTTCAAGATGGGAATACGCCTCGCCGATTCTGACTTACATGGAACACTCTGTCGAATAAATGTAAAAGCAGATTTACGCAATCATGGGGGGCATGATTAAATCGATACCAATATTTAGTCGTTACCGGTACGTTATGCAAAACTAATTTTTTACGCCCCCCCCCCCCTCTATTCCTAATGTAGAAATACTATAGAATCTAAGAAGCACACCAATTATCTTACATGAAACAATATTGTTAAAAACTCTGGAATGGGGAACACGTCACAAAGATATTTTTTAAAATCATGCTAAGTTAAAACAAAAGAAAAGTATTACTGCCAGTACTACTGGACTGGTAATTTTAATTATTTTTTTCTTTACTAATTATTTCTTTCTGTACGACTGTAGGCTACATATTCAATTTTGGTTTAATTACATAAATAATTTTAGATATGGTACCATTGCTTGTGTATATTTTATCTATTACCCATTTAATGCAATTTTTGTATTTTTGGGCCTACAGTTCAGTGTATCATTTCTAAATTAATTACCCTTGGAAGTGCGAATTTACGCGTGTTTGGAAATCTACTGCCAAATCATGGTTTCTACTGCATTTTTTACACTACCCAAATGCATTTCAGCTCTGAGGGGTTGACAGGTCTGCTATTTTATATCCAATTCTTTCTCAGCCAGGAACCATGGAGGCCAAGTGAGTAAGACGCTGGCTCGCTTGCCTGGAGGTCGCGGGTTTGTTCCCAGTGTTGGCCGAGAAAGTTCCTCAGGACATTCCGGAGTGGTTTCCCCTTGCCATTAGCCTAGTCGTAAATAATCAATCTGAGTATATTTTACCATGCATTTAATTGAGAACATTAGATATTGTCTGAAAAATAAAAAGAACGATGAGAGGCTTTTAGAGGAAGAGACAAGATATCATTAAGTATATATATGATATATATTATTTATTTATTTGATTATAGGAGGAGAGAAAAGAATGGATTAATAAGCTAGATAATGTAGCTTTAAGTTCTGATGCTTTCTTTCCATTCCGTGATAATATCGATAGAGCTCGTCAGGTAAAATATTTCTTTTATTTCTTGTCGTTTTTCACATCCAATAAAGAATTCTTAAGAAATTAAATCAATAACTTTTACTATACAGCGAATGTCTGTTTTTGTGGCCAGGTTGTACGTGAGAAGGAGTAGGGTTGCCTGTCCAACCTCTTGCGTTTTCTCCGGGTCCTGTGGTTTTCCTCCCACTGCTAAAGACCCCTACGCGCAAGCAAATTATAGAAATAAAATTGAACCATGTGTTGGTCCCTAAATGACCTAGTTTGTGTCGAGTAAACCCCATTTCTCCCTCTCTCTGTTTTTCTGGAAATCTGGAAGTTCTGAAAAGAATTATTAATTGCTAGGAAATTGGTTTCCTTATTACCAAAACTCACTTTTCAGTGCCAATTAAGAGTACATTCAGGGGCGGATCCAGGAATTTTCGCAGGGGGGAGGGGGGTGCCAGGTTCCTGAGACAATGTAACCCCCCCCCCCCCCCCCCCCCCCGCATGGTCTCTATCCTTATTTTGGCGTATATACATACACATTGAGCTTTTTCAACAGAAATTCAACACCTCGTTTGACATCAATTTTTATTATGACTTAATACAATGACATTGTGATTCAATTTCATGGATGCAAAGCATTAATTGTGATATCACATAATGTCTATATCATTATCTTGTGCTTTGAGTGCCCATCCTGTCCCACATCTGACGATAAAGGATAAAGCACACAGCACACGGCCGAGAAACTTTTCTCATAAAAAGTGTTGATTTACAAAAAAATTTATGTAGCTGAGCAAGGGGGCAACACCCCCCCCCCCCAAACCCCCCTGTGGATCCGCCCCTGACATTGATTTATTCTAAATAATTACTTAAAACACAGGATATTTTTAAATTAAAATTAAATTAATATGTATATTTTTTTTTGTAATTACAGAGTGGAGTTAGATATATTGCCTCACCTGCAGGGTCTAATAATGATCAAGCTGTTATTGATGCTTGTAATGATCATAGTATTACTCTAGCCCATACCAACTTACGACTCTTTCATCATTAAACGTAATATTGACTCTTCCGTCATTAAACATAATATCTACTCTTCCATCATTAAACATAATATCTACCCACTTATTCCTCTATACAATACTCATCATACTTACATCCACTTATTCCTAGTATTATTCAGATTTATTACTTCTATACAATACTCATCAACTTACTTCACTAAACATATATACACTTGTATCAATAAAGGATGCTAGTGCATTAATAATAATAAGGGTTCTTATAAAGCGCTAGACTCCAAACAGTATTATTTGCTTAAAGCGCTAACAAAGTTTACTATAAGGTGAACAAGTGTTGTTTTTAAATATGGTCATTTGATTTTTTCAAATAAATCCATTTTTAGCAGATTTTCTTGTCCATTTTTTTCATTCTGATTCCCCTTATTACAATATATGTCAGTTTTAGTCTTCTGGTCTAAAAATATGCAAAAAAAATATTTTGGGAAATTGCACTCTATTGCACCTTATTGCATTAGCATCCTCAATTTATTTCTAGTAATAATCAGATTTAATACTTCTATAAATAATAATACTTATCAAGTTTCATGCAAGGTGGGGGCACTGAATTAAAGTATTAAAAAAAGGATTTATTATTCAGTTTCTATATGTATAGCACTGCATTAATGATAATAGATCTGATTCATTTTCCATCAAGGACATCAACTGTTTCTAATTTACATAATATATCCTTCCTACATACAAGTTAAATAAAATGTTCATATAAAATTGGTTTTTAATCGTGTTTAAAAATGAGATAGTTAATAAAGGTCCTACAGAATTCATTGATAATTTAATCAATAATTCAGATTAAAAATTTTGTATTTTATATAGTGTAGATAAATTCAATGTGCTTGTAATCCATTCCATTTACATGTACAGCTTGTGTGACTCAAAATTTTCAAGTTTTTAAGTTGATTTTTTTTTTTAAGAATGAGGGGGACTCCAGTTGAGTCAACCTAATCTGTCTCGATGTGAAGTGATAGAGAACATACTGACAATTTGTAGACCATTACTCTGTGTTGTATTCATCATAAAATATGTTCAATAGTCATAAATATTTTGCTTCATTTAATTGTAGAATGTCTGAACTATCAAGTTCTAAATGTTGATTCCTGATGTAGTTTTGGTTATAAATGTTATACGGTATATGTAAACTGCTTGTTGTTTAATTTCTCATATAGTTGGCATCATTATTCATATTCGTAGTCACAAATTTTGGGCAGTCAGACCTTTCAGCTACAGATGTTCAGTAGGAGCTAACAGTATGGATATGCACTATATATGTTACCTTTTTATCATTCTAGATCTCATATTTACTTGTTTTGCATTATAATATGTGGATATCATTGAAGTAAATAAATATTTGTTCCATTATTGAAGAATTCTCATTCTTATTGAATTGATATGTGTATATGTTACTATTTTTGTTAAGTTAAAATAAAACTACATGTTAAATCAAAATTTTAAAGAATTCATCTATGTTCCATTAGAACATTTTAATTCTGGTATGGTGTAAGTGAACACCCATATATTTTTATTTGGGCAAAATTAGTAGTATATTTATAGATCATGTGTTGCCCCTAAATATGCCAATGTATAATTAAAGATGGGTTCCCGCGTACAAACTGGGTGATTTAATGGTATATATGGACTAAAAACATATTCAAACTAATTAATTTGTCATAATTATTCTTCAAATCCTTCTCAAACATTGTAATTGCGAATGAATGCCCTGCTATTAAAATTCGATCAAACCAGGTCATGTTTACGTCACGTCTTGGAAATCAGAGGAGAATTCATTGCATACATACAACAATGTTGTCTTTAATCGTTTACTATTTATTACAAATATCGAATCTTAATTAAATTCTCGGATTATCCACTACCCTCGTCTTTTTCCGTCATTTTTATCTCAGAAAGTGTTGTACCTCTAACTCTTCATAAAGTTTATCAACTTGTACATCAAGCGCTCAATGTTCGCGTGTGACCTTTGACATTACGCGTGATGAAATTTTTAATGGTCGGGCTGTTGATTAGGGGAACCCTTACATTTTTGTCCTGTATACGCTCCATGAGGGTTTTTCGGGGAATCCAGTATTTTTCTAGTAAGATTGGATATCTCTACTTTCCATATATACCAAAATTGCCAAACTTTTATTGGAAATAACCACCCGATAAATACTTTTCTGGGAACCCATCTTTAAGATATCTTGTATATGAATTGAAATATAGTTCTGTGTTATCATTAATAAATATATAAATTCATTATCCTACTTGCTTGTCATTACTTTTCATCGGTACATCCCAACCATCTCAATCATTTTAATTTGGGGCCTACAGATTCTATTTATATATTTTTTTAAGGTTTAAATTAGACATACAGTGCACTGTCTAGCAACCAGTAATCATTTTTACTTGAGACAGGTTGCTCAGAAGTATCTTGTGTTTCTCTATAAGTGAATATTAACAAGGCCTTCTGTATCATTGCTGGATTTTCAGGAAGACTTCAGAAATTTTGGTCTTTACACAAAATTTAATACATATTAATAAATTTCCAACCAACCTGTCCGATCTTTTTCAAAATTAGTATGAGATACAATTGACCTAATAGTTTTTCCATGTTCCTTGACAGTTGGAATGTAATTAAGTTTTGGTAATAACGTTAATGTCCTTGCAAAATTTCCATCATAGTACACTAGGCCTACATATTAGGCCCTATATACCCGTTTTCCCATAAACCCAGTTACTGCAAAAAAAGTGGTTAAATAAAATATTTGCAATCTTTATGAAAATCGGTGCAAGAGCTATATTCTATATTTTGAAAATGAAAAACAACTTTAAAAACTTTTCAACATATTTGAAAAGAAAGGCCATTTCAGTCAGTTGGGTGCCGGAGACAAGCTGGACATTAAACCCAAACCCCCTTTCATTCATCGAACCCCCCGGTTGTACTTGACAAGGAGTAGGGTCGCCTGTCCAACCTCGTGGGTTTTCTCCGGTTTCCTCCCACTGCTAAAGACCCCTACGCACAAGTGAATAATTATTGAAATAAAATTAAACCATATGTTAGTCCCGAAATGACCTAATTTGTGGCGAGTGGACGTTAAACCCCATTTCTCTCTCTCTCTCTCTCTCTCTCTCTCTCTCCTTTCATTCATTTATTCCATTTCAATCGACCACGTGTTTCCCGTCCTTTTCATTGATAATAGATCGCGGATCCAGTACAGTAGCATTCTGGGAATACTGTGCGAAAAGAAAGTAAAATTAACTTCCTTGAGGTAGCCTACGATATGAAGATCTGTAAAAGATTTGGCCTAAGTAAGTTCAGAATTTCGATCTTAATAATAAGAGTAGATCTTATCTATGTTGCTAGCCCTAGCTGTAGCTATATATATAATGTCATTAAGTTAGTAGTATAAGAATGTTACCTGAGTCAAGTACGGCCTGTATTAGTGTATATGGCATAAAATTAAGGTGCTATATATGGAAATGACTAACCTTATGTCGGCTACGTGTTTGTATAATTCATTGGAGATGTTTACGTTGAAAATTTTAAACGGAACCTAGACTATTAATATATAGGCTACTCATAGCCTACTGTGAATGAACAGGTTAATATTTAATAACACCATGGACCTTTATATAAGGTCTATGATAACACGAAAACGCCCATAGGCGTACGGGCTCGATGACAGTTAGGGGGGCAGAACCAGAAATGCCCGGAAAAAAATTGGGGTTTACATAGAGCGCTGTTCTTCCTTGAGATACGAAGAGAGCGGAGCTTACCTTGCCCCCCCCCCCCACCCTGTCAAAAGAAAATTTTGGAATATTTGACGGCTGCAAACCCGTTTTCCTGCTATTTTAGCCCGTGAACAGTAACTTCAAAGTGGTCTTATATAACCTTATTAAGGTGGCTGGGCTGACTCAAATTCCAGTCAATCGTATACAGTCCACGAAGGCAGGACCGTTGGGAGAAAATTTTGAAAATTTAACTGCCGCAAACGCGTTTTCCTGCTATTCCAGCCTGTGAATACAGCAACTTCAATTTGGTCCAATATAGCCTACCTGGTTGACCGGAATTCCAAACAACCAATCAATCGTCGCTCGGTTCGGGGGTATACCCTCCCGGAGAAAATTTTAAAAAATAAAACCACCGCAAATCCATTGTAAACTCCAAAAGTATCCAATGGTTTTGAAACCGAAATCCCACTCTGAATTCCAACCATCTAATCAGACTGGTGCAGCTGCATTCACAAACAATAATCGATGCCCGAAAAATGTCGCACAAAGTAGAGTGGCTCCAGGCAACATTTTTTAATCCATAGTCAACTCAGTACAAATTCATGGTATTCAATTAAAAGAAAAGTTAAATTAATGTTATATTAGGGCTCGATAACAGTAAGGGAAGCAGAACAAGAAATGCCCCAAATAATTTCGGGTTTACAGACAGCGGCGCCGGTTTTCTTCGACAGGCGAAAAAGCGGGACTGACCTTGTATGGAGTCCCCAAGAAAATTTTGGAATATTTGACAGCCAGAAACACGTTTTCCTGCTATTCCAGCCCGTAAAATTAGTGTTTTATTAGATTTCGGGCACTTTATTTTGCCAAGTAGATGAAATACAAAATTTTTTCACTTTACCCATCTGCCCGAAAAGTCAGCTTGGCCGAAAGTTAGGGGGGCAGCTGCCCCCCCTGCCCCCCTGGCTCGTACACCTATGAAAACGCCGATTAAATGGCAGTTATAAAATCGTTGAATTTTCCTGTTAGATATACCGGTAGCCGATGTAAGTTGTTTAATTTATATTTAATCATTGATAGCTCAAAGTATATTCCTTTATAATTAATAAGTGTGTGTCAGTTTTATTGGGAGAGATAAAAAAAAAATAATTTTGTTTATAGGCCTAATAGACTATTGGCCAACAGATGATCATGAATTGTGTAAACTGCACTTATTCCATTAGATTAAAAACAAAGAGGTCTGATTTTAACATACAAGTGAGACTTCTTGACGCAGAAAACCCTGCTATGCTCTATACTGATCCCTGGGTTAAAAAACCCACGGTTGCTAGGGTCATGATTAGATAACTGAGCAGTCGATCTTTATTTCTAGTCCATCTCACATGCGTTGCATTTATGACAGATTAGCTAGATAATTAGAAAAACGATGGGATAGAGTTTTATTTATAGGCCTACTCTTTCCGCTAGTCTCTCCCCTAAAGACCTAGGATAGTACCCCCTATCCCCCTCCCCCCCCCCCCACACACACAATTAAGAAGTGCTTCCTCCAGTCCAGAGGAGATCTTTGTGCTGATATGAATTTTACTAAAAAAAAATGTGAAATAGCAAACAATGGTTCAGGGTGGGGGTAAATATAGAAAGCGATGCTGGTGTTAATAGGCTATCACTTGGATTATCACTGATAATGCCTCTCTAAATCTAAATGAATTCCAATATATGTTTCAGGATATTAAAGGCTGGTTCAAGTGAATTTCTAAAACGATCTGGAAAAATGATGGCAAAAATATTTAGTAAGAAACCGTTGTTTGCATCCGAATTGAGAAAGGAAGATGGAATAAAATATAAAAAGCTAGAGCTAAAAGCCATTGATACAGCTAGGCCAGTCAGCAGTGATAAACTGAGATTTGTTTGTATATCAGACACCCATGATTGGTTTTTAAGAATGATTGAGAGAAGAAAGATACCAGATGGTGATGTTTTATTACATGCTGGTGATATTACAATGGACGGTGATCCAGTGTCTATCAATGATTTTAACAGATTATTACGTAAGTACATGTACGAATATAGACTGTTACTAGGTCACAGAAATGAAATGAAATGGGGTTTTAATGTCCTACTGTTCTATTTCGACTGGGTTAATGAAGCCGGGCATACATGATACAGTGTGCTCTGTGAGGGAAATTTTGCATAGACAGTAGTGCTACAGCTTACTCTTATACGTGCACGCCAGTCTGTACATTGTCCCTTGCCCGGCCCTCTATTCTCTGCGAGCCAACATGGTACTCCCTAATTTGGAAGTGAGTGTGGCTCTTGGTTATTGAAGATAAATGTATTTCTCAATCTCCGACTAAAATTCTTTTCATATTCTCCTAGTTTACGGATCCCTGAGGGATGCATTGATTCCTAAATTCTCCAGTTATCCAGGAAAGCGACATGTCAATTATGTCATGTTTTTACTTGATACAAGCCGGTTGTATCTTTAAAGATGTGAAAATTATTTATAGTAGGATAATATGCTAATAATAAAACATGTATATTTCAGCTCAATTACCACACAAAGTGAAAGTAGTGATAGGTGGAAATCATGATCTCTGTTTAGATCAGCAATTATTAGATACAAACAATCAATATTGTGTGAAGCGATTTGAATTAGATACATATAAATCGGATATTAAATCTTATGTTAGATCTAAGACACAGTTACATGATAAAACAGAAGCAAGACATCTATTTACAAACTGTATATATTTAGAGTCAAGCATGGTGGATATATGTGGTGTTAAAATTTTTGGTGCTCCCTGGTAAGATTTCCTTATTGTTGTACCTTGGTTAAGATCTTTGCATTGATGATTTATTTGGTGCACTATGGTAAGATTTCCATATCCATCCTTTTTAATGCATCATGATAGGATTTCCATATCCTTTTTAGTGCAACATGGTAAGATTTCCATAATTATCATTGTTAGTGCAATATGGTAAAATTTCCATATTCTTTTTGTTGCATGTTGATAAGATTTCCATATTGTGTTTTGTGCATGATGGTAAGATTTCCATATCATTTCTGTGGCACATTGGTAAGATTTCCATATCCTTTTTGTTGCATATTGGTAAGATTTCCACATCAAATATACTTGATGTCACTGGAGTATAATATTAAAAATTAAGCAAAATACAATTGACATCCATATTCATCAGAATGGATACATTCTTCTGGATGTGTGTATATATGAATATAATTTTCTAAAGGTAAAATCGAGGGATTGGATGGCCGAATAGTTAGCATGTGCGAGCTGCATCATAAGGTCTGTCATTGAGTAAACTGGCATGATTTCGATTTTCTGGTTGGACGTGACAAGGAGTAGGGTCGCGGGTTTTCTCCGGGTCCTCCAGTTTCCTCCCACTGCTAAAGACCCCTACGCACAAGCGAATTATTGAAATAAAATTGAACAATCTGTTAGTCCCGTAATGACCTAGATGGTGTTGAGTGGAGTAAAGGTAAAATCCATATAAACCCCATCTCGAAAGATACGATTTATATGAAAAATAATCAAGTCTGACATACAAAGCACCAATTCACTAAATTGTCTCCCTTAGTTGTATTTTCTGTTTAAATTATTTCAGGAATGTGAAACATGCTAGATATTGGGCATTTTCACGTGAAAGAGGAGATCCATTGTTAGAGAAATGGAATCAGATTCCTGAAAATGTAGATATTCTGATGACTCATTCTCCACCTTTTGGATATGGTGATAAATCTTCCAAACATTCTCACGTTGGTTGTGTGGATTTACTTAACGTGGTACAGAATGTGGTTAAACCTAAATATCATATCTACGGCCATATACATGAAGGTAATATTTTTATGTGTTCAGTCATAGTTTTATAAGCATGCTGGGGGGTATGACTGGTGACCCAATGCCCTTTAGATCACAAGGCCTGTCATTGAGTCAAGTGGCGTGGTTTCGATTCCCAGTTTGTGCATGTGTGAGAAGGAGTAGGGTGGCTTGTTCAACCTTGTGGGTTTTCCCCGAAATGATCAAGTATGTGTCCAGTGGATATTAAACCCTCTCTCTCTCTCTCTCTCTCTCTCTCGGCATACTTACTAACCAGGAGACCAAGAAAGTTGTTCAGGATTTTGTGACCTTGTTTTTCCTTGTCAGTAGTGCAGGATATAGGGCCTGACCCGCCTACATTAGCCATTAAACCCCATTTCATTTTATCTATAGTGCCTGACAAGAAAAAGCATCTAGTTATCTAATCATTCTGATGGAAGGACAATCCTAAAAGAAAAACATGTGTTTTTTCTTGGAAATGCTTTCTGTTTGTCAAAAAAGTGGGATTACTAAAATATTGAAAAGAATTGCTATATTCACATGTAAGATTTATTGTTTTTTAAGATACTGTATAATCTTCAATAGTTTATATCTGTTTGTAGATTATGGTATAAGAACTGATGGAGAAACTATATTTATAAACGCAGCTAATTGTACCAAATCTTACCGACTTATGAACCGACCAATAGTCTTTGATTACACTTTGCCCGAGGGTCACTCCAAAGCTGAACTACTTCAACCAATGCTTTGGAAAAAACCCGATTATAGCAATTAATGACAAGGGCTTTGGATTTTAAGGACAAGTTAAAACTGGAATGAAGATGTCTTTAGTTTTTTTTAAAATATATGGAATCCTTAAAGGGACAATAACACTCTTGCTGGCTTGACAGCTCCAGAAAATAAAAAATAGCCTTATTCTAAGTACTAGATGTGCTAGTGTCCTACCTGTTGTGTAAATTATCCATTAAATCCTATTTTACTTGTCCAAATGGTTTAAAAATATTTTTAAATCCAAGTCACATTTGAAAAGCTTTACGTCAGGCTTTTCAAATCATTTAGTTGAAGTTTTCCAATTTTTTAAATTAAGTGTGTTAAGATGAAATTTGTATCATCAATTAATTGGAATATTGTAAAATAGTACAATTTGTTGACCAGAATAGAGATTAGGACATATTATTAAGTTACAACAAGAATGGTATTGAGCCTTTAACATTATGAATATGAATGAAGGTGGATGTGAATGAGTGTTTTTATATTTATATCCAAGAAAGCACAAAAAGTAAATTCAATGGATAAGTTAAAAGTTTGGATATAAATTTTGTTTATCAGTGAATAATTTTCAATATTAGTTAATTTCGACCTCATCTTCTCTCACCTTTTGGAGAATGCATGGGACTATTCACTGTAACCCAGGTATCGTTTAATCTTGTGTATCTAGCATTAATTTCTTTCACATTCGTTTAATATCCAATCTTTGTTTAAAAATTTGTAAAAACTGTTTAAAATCACCATAAATCGTTTAATTTGTACTTCTGTCCAGTTTAAAGCTGACCATTCAAATTTGATAATTAGTGTCCAATTTACAAGTGTTTAATTTCTCAATCATTGTTAAAAAATAAACAACCCAATTGATTACTGAGGTATAATGATTAATTTTTGAACAGTGATCAGGAAATTAAATACTTGTAAATTGGACACTCATTATCAAAATTAATCATTCAGCTTTAAACTGGACACATGTACAAATTAGATGATTTTTGGTGAATTTAAACGATTTTTACGAATTTTTAAACAAAGATTTGATGTTAAACGAATGTGAAGAAATTAGTGCTAGATACACAAGATTAAACGATACCTGGGTTACAGTGATTATAGAGCATTCGTGTTCATGCACCAAAAGTTTGGAATTCGTTACCTTTTAACATCAGAAATTCTACAACAATTACAATTTTTAAGAAAAATATTAAAACTCATTTATTTAAAGAAGCTTTTAATCTACAACTAAAATATTTTTTGAAGAATGTATATTTTAATCCAGATCGTGATATTTAAATACTCTTATTTTGTTATCAATAGTTTTCTTATATTATATTATTTACAGTTTTATGTATAAGTTTATTAAATTTTATGTTAGTTTATTTTATTTCTGAGTTATTGTATTGTACTTTGTGTGTGTTATATTAAGTAGAAATTAAAACGTAGAAAGGCTGTCTTATCTACGTTCAGATATTTAAAAATCGTGGCACTACAGCAGTAAAAGTAGACTTGCAGTCAGATGAGAGATGGTGTATTGGGTTGAAATACCCTTTATCTATTGTTTACTGCTCTGTCTCACGGCATCTTAATTTGATCCAGCAGCTACACAGAACTATCGGCCGGTCGAACCACTGTTAATCTTTCAAGAAAGCGTTGCCCCCCCCCCCCCCATTCCTGTTATCTATGTTCATTAAATATTTCTCTGTAGCCAGGAAACATTTTTCAATATATCCAACGGTTTTATAATTGCATGTGATAATATTATTTTTTTTTTTATTAATTATATTTGTATTTTATTTATAGATTCACATTTTTGTTGATTGTTATATATATAGCTTTATTTTTTATACATATTAAACTGTTACATCTAGTTATACATGTTCATTTTTAGCTGGGAGGTTTACTCCTGGTTTTGAGTTATTATTTACTGAAATGAAAGTGGGTTTAACGTCCTATTGTTCTACTCCGATTGGGCAAATGAAGCTGGGATTTCTGGAAAAGAAACAGTGTTTTGAGGACCACGTACAGATAGATAAAGAAATACAGTATATTTTATCCTAATATAATTGATTTCTTATAATTTTAACATTTAAAGCATCATTTTCACGATAATAGGGCCATTATTATTTTATTGATAACATTGATTAGTCTATCATGTAATTAATGATGGTTGAATATTGTCTTGTTTTGTGACAAGGACAGCTGTCTAGTCTTTTGGATGAGACGAAAAACCGAGGTCCCGTGTATACATTGGAATGCACTTGTATACACGTAAAAGATCCCTTGGCAGTTGGAATTCGATATAAGAGTAGGCGATAGTGCCGCTGCCCGGGCAAAATTTCCCTCATAGCACACTGTATGGCGTATGCCCGTCTTCATTAGCCCAGTATAGGAGCAGAACAGTAGGACCTTAAACCCCATTTCATTTCATTTTGTCTTGTTTTGAGGATGTATGACAATACTCCTGATTTACAAGACAGTAGACATGTCACATTAATTTTTTACTTGCAGTATTTCTTGTTTTGAGGTAATTTCTGTACCATTGTGTAGAAGAATTGGGAGGGATTTGTGGTTAGGAAATAAAAGGGAGTCTTTAGATGTTAATGGGGTGACCAACGGAATAAATTACACAGAACATAAAAAGGAATCTTAGTTTACTTAGATTGGATCAATTAATGTCATTGTCTGGTTTAGCTGTTGGGGACTGTAGCCTAAAACAGGGGCAAGATTTTTTTTCTGGTGGAAACTTTACTTGTTACAGCAATTTGTATTTTTGTAGTACACAGGAGAGAGAGAGAGAGAAATGGGGTTTAACGTCCACTCGACACAAACTAGGTCATTTCGGGACTAACATGTGGTTTAATTTTATTTACATAATTCGCTTGCGCGTAGGGGTCTTTAGCAGTGGGAGGAAACCGGAGGACCCGGAGAAAACCCACGAGGTTGGACAGGCGACCCTACTCCCTGCCACGTACAACCGGGGATTCGAAACCACGCCAGTCGACTCAATGACAGACTTTATGATACAGCGCGCGCACGCTAACCATTCAGCCATCCAACCCCCCTAGTACACAGGAGAGAATTTTTCCCAGAAATCAGCGCTCAGTGTTTTCCATCCCACCTGAAGACCATTAATGGGTACTGGTGGTGCAACCACTGACCAGTAAGTACTGAGCTTCTTGGCCCATGCTATTTGAACTGGGTGGTCCCAAGCCAAAACCACCCTACTCTGTCTGACTCTGTCACATACAATCCTGGAAATATGGTGTTAATGCACTAAAGATAAGCAGCACCATGCTTTGAATCACTCAGCCAACCATCCTGCTTCCTAATTTTTAGACTTCTTCAGCATTAAACATAACTAATAAAAAAAAAAACAACTCTGGCTTTCTTTTTTTAAATATTTATATTCAACATAAATAATGTTGACATGTTTGATGATTTCTTATAGCTAGAGTTGACAAAGATAATAATATAATAATAATAATAATACATTATCTTTCTCTGTATACCAATAGTAAATCTACATTAAAGTGCACACACATATGAGCACATATAACAAAGTCTTAATGGACACAAAATAACAGTTTTGTTATATATATATTACATTACAAGAATTTACAATAATAATTATAGTTAAATGTTTTTGCATCTAGAGGTGCTTTGAGCACAGAAAAAAAAAACAATGAACACAAAGATAATAAAATTACTGGTTAGTACATAATATATTACCACATGGCACATTAAAACAAGGGGGTTTTATCGGTCTATATACATATATTAAGAACAAAGAAAAATCAATTTGTAATATATACAAGTTCATAAAGATTTTTATATTAGCACTAATTCACTAATAAAAGTATAAATTTTCTTCATATAGATGGACTTAACAAAACAAAAACATCCCTTAATATAATATTTTGTATGTATAAAACAATCGAGAAATATTTACATTTATTACAAAATATTTATATCAATAACATTAGAAATCACTAAAGCCACAAGAACAAAAAACATTTTATGCCATTTTATCAATTGCTTTTCATTAACTTAAACATTCAAGATTACATTCATAATTGTCATCACCCATCAAATGGTTACATTCAATTATTCCTTAATTTGCACAACTCGGTAATTTTCTATTTAGCTCGATAACTCGAAAAATGAAATTATCTATACTATAGTTTAAATGAATTTTAAAGAAACAGGTTTTATTTATTAAAGTTTAAAGAAACGGATATATAAAGATACTATAAAAGAGATTTATTAGAAAAAAATGTCCTCTAGTCAACATGTTAAACATGATAGGAAATAAGATAAAATATACTTATTAAAGAACACATTCTGTACAGTAAAAACACTTATATCATTTACAGAACCTATATTGCATCTTACAAATTCAATAATATAATACAAGTGGATTAGCTCCCCTGTTATAATAGTTAGGTTTAAAATTGTATGGTCGTACACACTCTATTTGATTACAATCTGGGGTGTCCTTCACTCCACTACAAGATAAAGCTATAGACTATGTCCTTTACATGTACCTCATCTAACTTCTTTAAAGTGACTAGGCCGCTTTGATTTGTTTCAAAAAAAATAAAATTATAGATTTGATTTGTGTCAAAAATAAATTTATCATTTCATTTATTTTAATCTGTATTGTGGAATTAAAATTTTACAGATAAAGCCAGTGTTGACAGAAACTGATTTTATATTCCACTGGTGACAAGAGTAAGCCAATATTTAAACTAAATTAAGTAAACAATTGATTTTCACTTAATCTTTGGATCCAAAAATTTAATTATACAGCTTGCTCCTTCCCAAACCAAAATAACCAATCAGATCAAACCAATTTAAATACTTCATTTTGACATATAGTACATCAAAGATGTTTAATTCATTTGAGGTATCAATTCAGAATATACCATATATAAATTAATTGCCATATAAAACTACCTGCAAAATAATATGTTTATAATCAATCAAACCATGAAATAGTCAAGATTTTTAAATCACAAAATAATCTTTAAAAAATCCTGACGTTGAAATACTTTTAAATAGAAAGAAGTATCTTATGTCATGTTTTGGATTTCTACACAGTAACTAGAACATGAAATATCGTAAATATATAGGTTGGTTGAACAGCAAGGGGAAAATAATCTAAAATTAACATTATGCATATAAAAGATGTACACGTCATTCAACTCCTGACTAACTAAACCACCATCTTCGTGAAGTCATGGTGTTGTGACATCTGATGTATATTGAAACAACCTCTTTTGATCTTAAAACCTTGTCATTGTATCAGACATATTTTGTAAATGCTTGATATTGTGAAGATGACAAAAGGACAGACACCAACAAACAGAGACTGCATATTAACAATATTTATAATAATAATAATAATAATAACAATTAGTAATAATAGCACTATGCAGTCAGAAATAAATAAAAGAAGTACTACATATATATGATATAGATATATATATAATATAGTACCAGAAAGCTTCATAAGCTACAAGGGTTAAAAGTAAAACATAAACTTAACAGAGGAGGTTATTTAAATTAAAATTAACAGTTTGTATGTTATCTCAAGTACATGTATTCCATTGTCCCTATATACCTACATAATGGTCTCTTTAATGTTGGCAAAAAGAGAACCTTTTAGCTTAAAATACACATATTTATAGTAGTGATCTCTCATTTTGCTCAAATTAACTAGTATTGACCAATTGATAGTGAAATTAATTGTTGTCTGGTTGGGAAGTTTATGTGAGGAATAATATTTCTTTCAAAAATTCTGTGAAACACAACAATTACAGTAAAATTGATAGCTTTATCTGCAAAAATACTTAATAGTTGATTTATAAATTAAAACAGTGATAAAAAATTGACATATTTTTGAAAGAAAATGTTTTACAAATCTGAAATAAACGAAATATGTGAAAATTTAAATGTTGGGCAAAAAAAATGTGAAGCCAGAGCCCTGATTTGTAACCATGCTTATTTCAGTACACTGTATTTTACTTGGAACAAATATTAAACTCTTCTTTTTTTTTTTAGGTAATGTCTCAGATTGCTCTATAAATTCATCTTTTACAATTTAAAGTGGAAGTGATAAGGCCAGATTGTTTGTTGTGTTTATTTTAATTTCATAAATTTCTGAAATAAAATGTACTTTCTTTTGTAAAAATCGATAAAAAAATGAACAATTATCCTCAGTTTTATAAATATAGTTTCACATGTTGTCAATATACAAATAGTAAAAATCTATGGACAGCGAACAGGACCAAGTATTACCAATACTTTTCGAAAATCTTATTTTTACTTGTTGAACCACTGATTATATATCGCAGCAGAATGCCCTTATAATAAATTTCTGTTAAGATACAATGTACACTAACCTAGCAAATTTTTTTTTTTTATTTATCTAATTAATTGAAGGGTTTTTTCAACAAAAAAAACAACAAAATATAAAAATTAAATAAAAATCAACATTATAAAATTCATTTTCACTTATTAAATATTCAAAAATAAACAACCGCAATATTTTAGAAACATTAGAATTTTCATTTCAAGACCTAGTCAATAAAGAATTTAAACTTTAAGTGATAAATAGAGTAACAATTTTTGACTATGAAAAAAAAAACAAAGGTACAGAAGACATAACCATAAAATTAACCCCTAATTTTAATCAGGGGAGCAAAATGCCCATAACTCACCAACTCTGTTTTAAAAACCTACAAAATCACGACAAAATATATTTTCTTTTTGACAGTAAAAATAAACATCATTGATATGAAAAGATATTACTTCATTTGAAGAGAAATATATTCCTCATATAAATACAATTATTTACAATTTTAATACCAGAATAATAAAGTATATCTATTAAAAACTCAAACTTTCTTTTTTTTATTTGCTCTCACCATAAGAGGTAGATTATTTGCACGTTCTTGTAATAAAGCTTCTTTAATGGCTTCTTCTAAAGTAGCATTAAAATGTCGCTCTCTGAAATAAAAAATATGGTTATCTAAAATAGGATATAAATTGATTTTCAAATCCATAAATATTCAGAATATAAAATCTCTACTAATTAAATAAAAGCCCCACAGAATTCATCATCATATCAAATTACATTATGCTCCTCATTAACCATATTTTGAATCCCTTGATAACTACAATATTGTGAAAGTTGATGAATCGCAGGAATATTGGTCCAAAAATGATTCCATTATAAAAACATCACAAATTGGAAATTTTATAACAGTTGACATCTTAAAAAGACAACATAACCAAGAAAGTGTCATCTTGAGCCCTTTTTTTTAATCCCTTACAGATGACTCTAACATGTTGAATGTTGAATAATCCATTCAATAGTACATTTTAACACAAACTGTTAAAAATGAGGTACATTGTATAATCATAAAAATACAATATAGTAATCTGTGACTTTAAAATAACAGCCAGCTACAATACGTGAGAAGCAGTGGGATTTGTAGTTATACACTGACATGTTCATGTACATCAACAATCCAGGCTAATGCTGTATTCAGTGACTCGTGTCAATTGGAATTGTAAATAAATTATGTCGTAATTACTATCAGAAGTGTTTGGGGATATTACTTTCAGTCGCATGGGAAGCAAAAAATTATTTGCTTTTCCCAACATATGATCAACATTTAATACATTATATTATACTTTAAAATCCCATTTTCTAAATTGATAACTTGTAACTTTTATCTTATAAATACTCAATTTTTCATTTTGGTGTTGTAAGCTCAAACATACATTGCCGCAAACATTACTGAAGGTGAAGGTTACAAACTCACAAGAAGATATTATTTCACAAATTAAGAAGTCTGCTGCTAAAAATGCTTTTCACTAGCTATAAACAGGTAAATTTGAATTCAAGAATGAATCAAAAGTTGCAGAAGTGATGAGTTTGGATATTAAAAAAAATGTACAAATACAATATATCCATTTAGCGCTCTTGAGCAACCAGTTTGTTGAATATTCAGCGCTTTATAAATAGATTATTATTATTATTATTTAATATTAAAGATATATCATTATATTCAACCAACCTTTTATTTTTAGTTTGTTGTGTTTGTTGATAGGCTAACAAACCTTCATTCCATGACTTCAAGTGAACTAATTCAACACGAGATTCACCACAATCTCCAAACCATTTTACTAATACCTGTATATATAATAATAATAATAATAATAATAATCTATTTATAATGAACAATATCCATGCATGAGTATAAAGTGGTGGACACACTAGCGGAATGATTCGGCCGAATCAATCGGCATCGAAATTCGCCTAGTGTGTCCACTGTCATTCGGCCGAATGATTCGCCCGAATCAAACAGGTTTGATATATTCGGCCGAATTCGCCTGGTGTGTCCGCTTCGCCGAAGCATTCGGCCGAATATAGAATTCATTAGCCAATCACCACTCATATCGAGAAGTCACGTGATACAGTGAAGACATAGACGCCGCCATGTTTAATCATGTGGCGTGAAAGGTGATGCAATCGGCAGGTTGAATCGGGCGAAGCATTCGGCTAGTGTGTCTACCCATTCGGCCGAATAAAATTCGGCGCCGATTGATTCGGCCGAACGATTCGGCTAATGTGTCCACTGCTTAATGCGGTGGACACACTAGCCGAATGATTCGGCCGAATCAATCGGCGTCGAAATTCGCCTAGTGTGTCCACTGTCATGCGGCCGAATGATTCGCCCGAATCAAACAGGTTTGATATATTCGGCCGAATTATAATCGCCTAGTGTGTCCGCTTCTCCGAAGCATTCGGCCGAATATAGAATTCATTAGCCAATCACTAGAAGTCACGTGATAGATTGAAGACATAGACGACGCCATGTTTAATCATGTGACGTGAAAGGTGATGCAATCGACAGGTTGAATAGGGCGAAGCATTCGGCTAGTGTGTCCACCCATTCGGCCGAATAAAATTCGGCCCCGATTGATTCGGCTGATCGATTCGGCTAATGTGTCCACTGCTTAATGTATGCTCAATCAAAGAGCATATAAGAACAATATAATTATGACTGCAACTGTCTGTCACAAATTAAAGTGAATGTATTTTGAACAGAAATGTTTAAAGTCTGGATCTAAATACAACAAATTCCCAAGATTCAAGCTTCCAGTGGCTGCATTTCACTTAACCCACTGACTTCGGGATGGGGGAGAATAGTAGGAAAATGCCATTTGATCAAACAGAGCTGTAGGAGTTTTAAATTTGAATTTGAATCTGTAACTACATTTTGTAACAGATTAAAAAATCCTAGTTCTTTAAGAATTTGTGCTAGTGAATGTAGCAGGGAGCGAGAGACAATATCTTGGCTGCTGTGTTCTTAATCCTTTGGAATTTTACATGTAGCTGCTGTAAATACAACAAATTATTACAAGATCTAAATTCTGTTGCAAATAACAGCATTCAAATTATTAGATGCTTTTCCAGCCTACACCACTGACAAGGAGGGTGGGGGGGGGAACAAACTGGAAAATCTTGGGGATCAGAGAGAGAGAGAGAAATGGGGTTTAAGGTCCACGAGGCACAAACTAGGTCATTTCGGGACTAACATATTGTTTAATTTAATTTCAATAATTCGCTTGCGCGTAGGGGTCTTTAGCAGTGGGAGGAAACCGGAGGACCCAAAGAAAACTCATGAGGTTGGACATGCAACCCTACTCCTTGCCACGTACAACTGGGGAATCGAAACCCCGCCAGTTGATTCAATGACAGACCATATGATACAGCGCGCACATGCTAACCATTCGGCCATCCAACCCCCCCTCTTGAGGATTATATCCAGGATCCCCTGTTCAGTGATCTAGTTCCATATAGTACATGTAGTCATAGTAGATTTTAAAATCATATACTTACTTTTTCTTCACCATTAATACCATTACTATCTGTATTGTTAATGTGATTGTTACAGTGAATTAATTTCCCTGGCCAATCAGAACCAGCTACTTCTCCCCATACTAAATCACCATGATGAAAATTTCTAGATAACTTCTCTCTTTTTACTAATATACCACCTATTTACATAAAATGAAATAATACTTTAATTTTATCAGTTTTAAAAAAATTTTCTAGAAACAAACTGTATACATGTACATTTTTACGTTGTACTCTGAATGCTGTTATATATCGTACTTGATTTTATCTGATGATAATAAATGTATGTGAAATGGCATAGAAGGACAGTAGAACTTAACTTATTCTGAATCCTTCTAATTACAATGTACAGTTTCAAAAAGTTTTTGGGAAAAATGATATAAGTGATAAAACAAATCTAAAACAACTGTCAGAAACATTCCCTAGATAAAACAAAAAGAATACAAATTACCTGAATTGTTCAAATCTTCATCTCTTGACCTTTTTAAACTGGCAGTATTAACAAGAGTTATCTCCCCATTATAATGATGGACAGGTCTATTGCTACTGTGTTTCACATTAGTTTCAGTTTGAACACAACCACTAGTTATATGATTTTCACTGGTATTACTAGCAACAAAATTTGAACTAGTTACATGTAAATGATTGGAACTGTCCACTTTAGTTTTGTCATGATTAATGTCGTGCTTTAGCTCCTGCTTTAACTTTTTTCTAGGCACACACTTTATTTTATCAGATTGCATCAAATTCCACCCATGATTAGTTTCACTAGTACTGGCAGAGTTTATTTTTTTATTCACATTTTTTGCAGATGATTTACTAGTGTTCCTTTTTATAACCACACCAACATGAGGTTTTTCCATTACTTTGGTTTCAAGCAATGGCTTCTCCTCCTCCTCTTCTTCAGGCTTCTCAGTGTCATCTGGTTCATCTTCTCCATCTTCTGCTTGAGCTACTTCTTCTTCGCCATCACCGCCATTACAATCCTGCTCCACTTTCAACCCCTGTGTTTGTTGAGTACCACTTTCCAATCCCTGCTGTGATACAGTCTGAAGACTAATTTGATTTACTAGTGTCTGCATACCTTGAAGTTGTTGTAGCAGAAGCTGCTGAAACTGCAAAGTCTGTACTTGTTGAAGTTGGGCTGGAGTCAGGTTCCCTACAGCAGTTGTGGACAAATTGTTCCACATTTGCTGCATGCCCAATAAACCAAGTAAGTTGTTTTGGTTCTGTTGGTTAGCACAGAACTGACCTGTTGGATCAACTATAGGATTTGGTACCATGTACTGTGGTGTGCTCTGAAGACCTAATTTTTCAATTTCCGCCTGCTGAAAATATGGATTAGATCCTTGAACTTGCATCATAGGAAAATTTAAATTGGGCAAGAAAAGAAGCTGTTGGTTTGCATTATTTCCCAACTGATCATTCTTTTGGGCTTGTGCCAAAATGTCTGGATTAATATTACCAGTGACAGCAACATTATCAACTGGTGTAGGGCTTGATTTGGGTACAGCTTTATTTTGTTCTCCAGGTTGCATTATATCCATCAAAGTCAAGTTCTGGTTACAATGTTGATTTGGAGCAATAGGATTAGTTACAAATAAACTGTTCATGGCAGGAAAAGTCATCCCTCCTAACATCTGGGTCAATGGTTGTTGATTCAGTATTGGCTGTGTGACTCCAACAGTGGGGATAACTTGCGAAATACTGTTGGTAACATTGGACACCAGAGGTACTGATATTCTTGGCATGGGAGTATTAACTGATGATATACCTTGATCTGTATTCATCATCTCTGTTGCTTGAACTTGGTTTGAGGCTTGCACATGAGCCACAGAAGATTTTTGATGGTTAGGATCCTGGGACGTAGTCAATACTGTTGAAGTAGCGTTTGAAACATCAGATTTCATAAAAGGAACCTGCTGGTTGACATTCAGTAACAGATTAGAAGGTGACAAAGATGACGGATCTACAGCTTGTCCTAAAGGAAAGAACATGTTCAAAGGCAATCCTGTCATCCCATTGAAGGTGTTCACCAAACCTCCATGACCACCAGCTAAAATATTAGGATTTTGTTGTAGCATTATGTGAGTGTGTTGATCTAAAGGTACATTTGCTGCTCCATTGTTAGCCAAAACAATTTTGTTCATCCATTCAGCAACATTAGCATTATCGGCCACAGTGTTAGTTATAGTGTTAATATTGTGTCCTAAGATATTCTGAGTTTGCTGTTGAGTGATCTGAGCTCTGGCAGCAGCAGACAAAAGATTACTAGCTGGGAAATCACCCTGTTCAGTATTTATTTGTTGAAGATTATTTCCAGATTGGTTGACTTCATCATTCATAGTTGCACTAACTTGAGCTAAAGGAGTGTTAGGGGATCTTTTCTCTGTTTGGTTTGAGTTTTGGGGACATTGACCCAGTCTTACAACCTTATCACCTGAAGTGGCTGAGTCACTGGGATTGTTTTCATTTCTTGATGTCTCTGCGCTATCTTCGGTTTTCTCAACTTTTATGGTTACTGGAGACCTCTGGTGTCTGTCTAATGGTTTGGTTTCTTTCAGATTGGCAGTCGATGTATCATCTTTATTATGGTGTAAGTTAGTTGGTTTGTTAGTTGAAGCATCTGAACTAATGCCAACTGGTGAAGCAGTTGTAATACTTGTGTTAGTAGCAAGAGGTTTAGCTGAGGACTTCCAACCAGATGATGTTCCTTCACAACCCTTCATATTACTAGGAGGAGTTAAATCTTTGGACTGTGCAAGTGGAGACTTAATTGAGTTATTCACTAACACTGTTTGCTGAGCAAGAAATGCTGTAGGATTTTCAAGGAAAGATACTTCAGAATTAGACTCTGGAGTTTTGGGGCCGAGATTTCGAACATCAACATTGGGGCATGGAGATGTTCGATCGACAATACTGTTTAATTTGTGCTTGTCCTTCTTTCCCCTTGGTCTTTTACTCTTTGGTTTTCCAGATTCCAGCCACATCAGATCCGTCATTTGAGGATAAGTATAGTTACCAGCATTCGTATTACACAAAACATTTTGTTGGTAAGGATTATTTGGATTATACATGGCCTCATTACCAAGTCTTGGTGAAACAGGATTGTGTACTGGCATCATCTGTTGAAACATGACGCCGGTATTTGATTGTATGTTAACCGGTACTTGGAACTGAGACTGTAAGTTAGCAGTATTCATTGCTGACGTTGGAACTTGCTCAAGAAAATGTCCTGAAGGCACAGCACAAACTGGTGCTGAATTTTGAAACACAACTGGTCCCTTCATACCCTGAGATTGGGCATTGAACACACTAGGAGGTGAAACGAGTCCTGGTTGTGGAGACAGAAGACCCTGTGGGGAAACTAACCCCTGTTGGTAATCGTTAGGACTTAATGAAGGCTGCATATGGCAGTTCATCTGATCCATCTTAAAACGATAACTAAAATGACTTTCTTGACTAAAATCTAATTTCTGTGGAACATGACAAGTAATAGGACCTAAATCGGCAGCTGGGTCGGGCGTTTGCGATTTCTTTGCCCTAGGTTTACGCTTTCTGACTGGCCTCGGTTTTGTGGCTACTTCAAACGGATTAATGTGAGGCACATCAGTAAATTTTGGCATTCTGTGGTTATGCACCATGAGTCCTGGTGGTAATAAAGTCTGTGCATCTAATAAAGCTGTTCCAAAAGACTGATTACCGAGAACTTTAGGTTGTGTTGAAGTAATATGATTAGAACTGTTTGGCTTTATTTCACTACTAGAAGACTGGTCTGTTTTATTACTTTCTACATCAGATTGATCTAAAAAAAATTTGAATTCAAACTTTATGTAAGAACTGATATAATTTGAAAAGAAGAATCAATCATGTTTTAGAAGTCTCTTCAACTGACCAAGACTCGACTTAGTTAGTGGGTTTTATAAAATTGAATAAGCTTGGTAGAAAGAAGAACTTTAAAGTGGAGGATTATCACTATCAGTGGTTTTAAACTAAAGATCTCGACATAACCAGACCTCCACTGAATATGAATATAGGCAAGCAACCAGTGTATAATTTGTGGGGTATAATCATTAATGTCTACAAATATGCCCTACACTCTCTGCATTCATCTTCAGACAAAATTGGGGGAGAGGGCTCCTTTGCTAAAAGCTTCTTACGGTAAGATTTGGTTTGAATTATTATTTAAGGGAGTGTAATATAAAACTTACCTCTATCATCTCCATGACTTGAACAACTAGCACTTCTACCTGTAGAAGTTTGAATAGATTGACTATGTTGAAATCTGGCCATTGCAATAATTTTTCTGTTATGGTTACAGAGTTTCGAGAGGTCCTGAGAACAAGTTACATCCTCCACATTCCACTGTTGTCCCACAACACACACATCAAAATTAAACACTTTATCCACTAATAGAGGACACTCTAGTCCACACTTACATGTTCCATCTAATAGTAAATAATTACACACTTCCTGTTTATTACACAATTTCATACTGCTAGGACTGAAAATATAAATAAACACACCGATAATTGTAATATTAAATACACGATTGAAATGGGGTAAAGCGTTCTACTTTTCTGCACTGACTGGGCTAATGAAGACGGACATGCACCAAACAGTGTGCTATCAGGGAAATTTTGTATGGACAGCAGTGCTACAGCCCATTCTATATCAAATTCCAACATGTCAAGGGTTTCTTTTACGCCCACCATGTACCTGTACATGGGATAATGGTTTTTGTCCCATCCGAACCATTAGACATGGTCTTGCCAGGCCCTCTGTCATGTACCACTGACAAATGGAAACCATGCTACAAAATCCCAGGGAACTCTCTCAACCAACACCATGATCGAACCCCTGACCATTAGGTTAGGGAGCCAGCACCCTACTCACTGAGTCAATCCTGCTCCCATAAAATAAATATGCTACTCTATGCTGTTTATGGACCATTTAAATGTATCATAAAATAAATACATTTTATTCTATGCTACATTGTATATGTATTCATCATATATCATAAAAGACACAAAATTCAGAAACTTCCAGGATGTTTGTTCATGCTGCTAAATTGCCAGCATAATAAAAAGAACAAAAAAAATACAGAACAAGCAAACAAAATACAGGGAAATATATGTATATTCATGTGGCTAAGGCACCAGCATTTCAAAGAGATTTCATTTAACTGACTAAATACATATGTACAGTGTACAGTTTTTATTATGGGGTTGTTCATGTGGCTCAACAGACAATGTACAACTGTAAATGATGGAAAACTGTATTTAATAGACAAACGTAAGAAAAAAGATAGCTTTATGTTTTGATTTTCATGCGGCTCAACTGTCATCATGATGAAGATGAAAAGAGCACCGATTTGGGAACCTAACATAGTAAATTTATTTAAAAGACAATTTGATTTTTCTGAAAAACTGCAGTGTTTGACAAAACCCAATGACTGTGACAGGTGCCTTATTTCCAGCATGCAGGCAAAGCGTTCCTTTACATGTACATATAGCTTGATCATCAACACAATTCTCACAGCATTGAGCTTTTGAATTGTGTTTACTGGGAGATAATACTAGTCTAGATAGTAGATAGTATTATAAAAGTGAAGACTTGGTGTTCTAACCACATTTACATGTACCGGTAAAATATCTTTTTTTCTAATGATATTGCGTACTGGCAATGTACATGTACGTGAAAACTTGTTGATTTGTAAATATTACTCGCACCATATTATAAAGGGTTTTTTTTTCAGTTTTATCTTTTATGAAATTTTACTGTGAAGAATAAAAGTGCAGGTCACAGGGGCAGGGATGTGAGAAAGAACAGAAGGCATATTGAGAAAAAAAGGTACATTGTGGAATAATATATACCCCTGCTAAAACCTACATACATGTATGTACCGGTATACGATTTTAGTTTTCTACATAAATGTATAAATCAAGTCTATATTTACCTGTAATACACAACTTGATTATTTTCAACCGATCTCTTCCAGCCAAACGGTATTTTAATACCATGTACAGTATCAGTAATACTGTCTTTATTACAACTTGGGTCTATAGTTTGTGGTTTAATAGTAGCCGTTGTACTACTAGTGGGTGATAGAACAGATGTCACTGGGATTCGGGAATGAACCGTAGCTGTCTCTGTTACTTGTGCACTTGTACTACACGTTAAAGTTACTGTGGTGGTTGGTGTGGTCACTTGGTTTGAACTGGCTGCTAAACTAGTTGTCACCAAGCCGTCTGTATTTATAACTGGGGGTTGCGCCATTCCTGGAGGGGCTAAAGTAGATTGCAAGAGGCCAGCATTGGCTTGTAGGTTGGTGGGGATCATTCCTTGATGCCCTATGCCCATATTGGGATGGCAAGTGTTAACTATTTGGGGGTTTTGACCGGCTTGTGGTATTCGATTAATTACAAATCCCCCATAATTTAGAGTGTGGTTTAATGTTCCTGAAGACTGGTTCATTCCATACTGTAGATTTGGATTGCCACAAAAAGTTAAGGTATCGGTATTACTGATGAATTGTTGTTGCTGTGGTGGTGGAAGATATGTGACTTGCTGTTGATTCACATGCTGTTGTGGTTGTTGGATGTTTTGTTTGTTGTGTTGCTGTTGTTGAAAATGAGACCACAAACTACCAATGCTTGGTAAAGCCATAGCATTGGGAGGGTTAGGATTAGTCCAGTTGTTCATAGTTTTATACTGCATGTTAGGTCTAGGAGGTCCCATCTGATTAAAATTGGCAAGAATATCTGCTGTAGGAAATGTTCCTGCCACAACAGGTGTACCCATATTAGCCATACTCGCCACAGGAAATGTAGCTTGACCAGCACCTTGTTGACCTGGGACTGTTTGTGGAGGACCCATGTAGCCATGATTACGACCTTGTGTGGGACTAAACTGGTTGCTTTTTAAGCCTTGATGGTGAACTGGCATCCCAACATACTGAAACTGGCATAAATTAGGATTATTAGGAATCTGCTGCTGTACTCGCCCCACATGCTGATTTGGCCTCTGCCCATTCCCTGTGTTCATTATACTTTAAGAATGTTATTTATCTCCTAACAAATATAAATTTTTAGGGAACACATTAAAAAGTTCAGACGAGCTTCTCTTTAGTCTTTTCATGTTGTCTCTTAACAATTTATAATGATCATCCACTTAGAAATATCCAAAAATATAAAACATTCTTCTTGTCAGGTGGTTTTCAACTTCAGCCATTCTAAAACAATAAGAAGGAACAAGCTTTCATCATCATTATTATAAAAAGCTTTACTTTTTGAACACTTAAATAAAAAAGAATAGAAAAACATGTACATGTATATAGCTGACCTCAAATGTATAATTTTTTATTTCACTTTACAATAATATTAATTTAATATTATAATTCCATGTATGCTAAGTTTATGTGTACTTGTATTGTATACAGTAATGTTCAGTTCAGTGTAATAAATCAATCAGTTTTTTAATTAAATGCAAGTTATGTCAAATTAACGTCACAATGTGATTTATTTAGTTAAATAATAAACTCAGTCATAGGCTACACCTTTAACATAATATGTAATTGAGCACAACATTGTGACAGAGATTTTAAATGTTTTATTGCTTGCATTGATCAATTCTTGTATGCATTAGTTTATAACTAAAAGTATGATACATCTTCAAACTTCCAAATAAAAGTCTGATTTTATGCTTGTACATGTAATTCAAAAGTTCAATATTGCATGATGTAAATCATCTAGCCTTATTGTAATTTAGTAAATTATATTGCATGACAATAATAAACACATTCAGAAAATAATACCAATTTATATCTTGCATCATATCCACAGTGTGCCCTGTGGCTGTAGTGTAGTGATACGATACAGCCTCAAAAGCTTACATAACAAGTATGTGGGCTTCTGCAACTACATAAAATGCATATATTAAATCATATTAATCATAAACTGAAAGCATTTAGTCTCGAGAAAAAGGTTAAATAAACCATCAATATAATTTCCAGCATAATAATAGTATTATGTAATCCAACCATGACAGTGTTAGTAGGCTGTAGTATACATATACTATACAGTATAACTGAGTATCATCAGTGCCTTGTCAAATCCAGTCTCGACACTGAACAGAGCAGACTCGTTGTACTCTTGTAGGTAAAAATAATTCTAAATACCAATTACGGATATATTACGGATATAAATGCACATGCATTTTCTGACATTGTTGACTAGTCTGTTGTATTAATTTATTCGTATTTTAAGCCATTATAATTCTGAAAGGGGACAGACATCGTGGGTTATTGCCAGTGATAGTTCTCTACAACTAAAAACACCGTTACCAGGTGCTTTGTAATTACGGTAAGTTTACCGTTATTTCTCGTTGCAATTGGCATACTCACCAATTTAATTGATGTATTAGACGTTAGCAATATTAATTCCATGTGTGAGAAACGTAATATTTCCTTGCGTCATGACAATAAATGGTTAAATAAATCTAATAATATATTTTGCATATATTTATCTGCAATGGCTGACCATTTCTACGCATGCGTCGATACCCAGAATTCCAAGCAAGTAACATTACCTACAAAAAATCTCTACCGAATAGGCTTGTTTGGCACTATCACAAAGTCAATTAAAATCATAATTTATGCCTGGAAAGTTACCAACAGCACGGAGGTGAACAGGAAATAACTCTGATGGCACTAGCATGTCAGAAAAACAGTTACTTGACACAGGTATAGCTGAGTAGAAAATATCGGGAAGTAGATTTTGGAGGACCAGTGAATATTTCTCTACTTTCGTTTTATTATGGAAGACGTTGAATATATTTTTTTTAAAGCTTCTGGGTTGACATATCTTTTATATATTCTGTCTTAATTAATACAAACTAAAACTTGAAAATAAAAGAAAAGAATGCCAGAAGACCTGTTTATAATATATGAATGATATAGACATACATCCAGGGCCTGTGAGGTGGGGTGTGTGTCTGTAGGATGGGCTGGGTGAGGGGTGGGGGCAGCTGGGAGACTTATAATCTAGCGAAACTAGATTGGCCCGGAGGTATGCTGAGTACTGTTTTTTTAAGAAAATTTCTTGATATAAATTAAAAAAAATAAATACTTTTGTTTGCTTAAAATGTTCTGTCAAAATCGTGCACATCTGATTATTACTATTACATCAGAATGTACACATATGAAACCATGTATTAAATATCTTCTTCCTGGTGTACACAGACTAGCTTCAAAGATAGTATATGATATGAAACTGTTTTATTACCTGTCATTAAAATTCATAATTCAAAATGTCTTTTTTGTATTTTTCTTTTGTAGCTGTCAAGTAAAGTCGTAAGCTGTGAACCTAAACAGTGTCAGTTGGTCTTAAATGGAAAGAAAAGTAAAATTAATGGTTTTGAATTAATCTTAGAAGATACAGTTCTCTTTCCTGAAGGAGGTGGTCAAGTAGGGATTAAGATTTGTGTCATTTGTAGTTTAGGATTTTATTCAATAAAAAAGAGAAACTGTTACCGTATACCGAATTCTATAAAAAATAGCTTCATTTAAATCACTTTAAACTGTTAGCTTGGGTTAATCAATGACATGGCCAGTGGGGAGTTCTATGGAAGATGCTGGACACCCACCACCTCAACCATGTTTTATCAAGCTTTTTAAAAGTATGTGCAACTTTCAGTAAAATCTGGTAGTATCAGTACATAGGGGTTAAAATTCCACTTCTACCTAGGGAGATCTAAGGCAGGAAACTTTTCAGAAAAGGTCAGTGGCTGAAATTGAAGGCTGTGTCAAGTGTAGAAAATGAGACAGGAAGGAAGCACAAGAAATGAAATCGCATCAAATTTCTGAGTTCGACCTGATTAGATATGAACTATTACGCATTTTTGTCAAAAGAGAGAGAGAGAGAAATGGGGGTTTAACGTCCACTCAACACAAACTAGGCCATTTCAAGACTAACACATAATTCAATTTTATTTCAATAATTTGCTTGCGCGTAGGGGTCTTAACCAGTGGGAGGAAACCAGAGGACCCAGAGAAAACCCACAGGGTTGACAGGCGACCCTACTCCTTATCACGTCCAACCAAGGAATCGAAACCACGCCAGTTGACTCAATGACAGACCTTATGATGCAGCGTGCATGTGCTAACCATTCAGCCATCAACCCCCCCTCCCCCATTTTTGTCAAAGGAAAACTGAGATCCAATCCAACTTATATACTATTGCAAGGAGATAAGGTGCTGGCTGGCCTAGATTGCTATCTCCGATGCAACCCCCAGCAATGCTGCTGTGTCGGTGTTCTGGTTAAGGTGTTGTCTGGTTCACAACTGTGCGTAGGCTGGTTCACAAGCTTGTTTTACTCTCACATGAGAAAATCGGACCATCATTTCCCCAAGCACCCCGAAAGTTGTCATGTTGAATGAGAGAGAAGCCACACAGTTATGATTTTCCATTTTTTTAAATTTCAGCCAGATGATAGAGGAACTGTAAGTTGTTTTAATTTGTAAAATGTACTTTAAGATTAAGATATAAATAATTCTGATAATAATGATAAATTTATAAAGCACCTCTCTCTCATCTAGAAATTTTTTACTCGATGGCGCTGAGCCGCACTCTCACGTTTCGTATTCACAATTAAATAAGCGAGTCTTTAAGCATGATTTAAAGGACTCAGATGTTCAGGCTTCCTTTAATGTTGCTGGGAGTTTATATATGTATTTGTGACTTGGATTAGGAATGGAGTTCAACATCTTGCCATCATGATTTAAAGGACTCCGATGTTCTGGCTTCCTTTAATGTTGCTGGGTTTTTATATATGTATTTATGACTTGGATTAGGAATGAAGTTCAACATTTTGTCAGCATGATTTAAAGGACTCCGATGTTCTGGCTTCCTTTAATGTTGCTGGGTTTTTATATATGTATTATGACTTGGATTAGGAATGGAGTTCAACATCTTGTCAGCATGATTTAAAGGACTCAGATGTTCTGGCTTCCTTTAATGTTGCTTGGAATATTTATGACTTGGATTAGGAATGGAGTTTATCATCTTATCATCTTTTCAATCTGTTTCAATTCTATTATTAGTCAATTATTGATTTGTGGCTTTAGCACAAATTACATGGACATATTATTATTTTTATTAGATTGAAGATATCCCTGTGTTAAGAGTGACACGAAGGGGAGATAAGGCTGTTCATTTTGTTGAGAAACCAGTTGATGCAGGAAAAGAGGTTTCCATGACAGTTGATTGGCAGAGAAGATTCGATCACATGCAGCAACACACTGGTAAGAAAATAGTGATATTAAAACATACTTATTGATGAAGTTTACCTGTATTCATAGTTTGACTAGATACTAGGATATAACCACCACTGACGTTACTGGTATAATACATTACACTGAACAAGGGTTAGGGTTAGATTTAACTATGAGAAAAATTGATAGACAGGTTCTGTAATGGCTTCCAAAGATTCTAACCTTTCTGTACAGTGCTGTCTTAGCATAAAAAGTGTAACATTCGATATTTATAATATTACTAACTTTTAGTGGCTGGAGACCAAGGGAAGATAACTTTCATAATAATTGGTATCTTAATGCAGGACTTTATGTGAGAAGTCTTTACGATGCAGAATTGAAAAATATACTGATGATTTGGTATTCAGAGTTTAAAAAAATTTAACCTAATGATTTAATTCACAATATAGATAAATGCTCCTTCCTGCTGTGCTGTAGCCCATTTTGGTGCTGCTATGTCTATGACTTTTCCAGGAACCTATGCCAATGAAATATATATATTGGTTGTTATTTGTATTGTAGGTCAGCATCTGATCTCTGCTTTAGCTGAATCTAGATTTGGTTATGCTACTACATCATGGTAAGTACTTTATACTCAAAGTAAAAACTATCGCTTTTCTCAGATATTTTCAGGGAATTATGGCAGTCAATATTTATATGTATCAGGTGCTAAAGAGTTAAAACCACTAATTTTTTCCAAAAAGCCTTGCAAAGATCCTAAATGTTACTTGAGGTCCTTGATGTGCGTCATTGATTTGCATCCCTGTACCATACTAGTCTTTCAAAGGTGATTTGTGGAATATTTCTTCAATTTGGGGTTTAAAGATCAGTATTAACCCTGAAGTACTCTGCTTTTAAACAAAGAACTTTTTTAACTATTAAGACATTTTATTACAGATGTTCCTTTAAATGTTTAGATATGATAGAAAGGTACCATTATCTTGTTGTACGGAATGAAAAAACTAGCGTAACAAATTTTATCTCTTTTGAAAACACTGATTTAGAGAATACGATTTTCGAAACTACAAGGAAAACCTTTGTTGATTTTCTTGATGACTTAATATATTGTATCAAGATAGAATGACTAAATGTGATATATGGCATCAGTTATTGATGACTAAATGTGATATTTAGCATCAGCTGTTGATGACTAAATGTAATAAATGGTTTCAGATATTGATGACTAAATGTGATATATAGCATCAGATGTTGATGACTAAATGTAATGTATGGCATCAGTTATTGATGACTAAATGTGATATATGGCATCAGATATTGATGACTAAATGTGATATATAACATCAGCTGTTAAAAATGTAATATATGGCATCAGTTATTGATGACTAAATGTAATATATGGCATCATATATTAATGACTAAGTGTGATATATGGCATCATATATTAATGACTAAGTATTATACCTAGCATCAGATATTGATGACTAAGTATTATACCTAGCATCAGATATTGATGACTAAATGTGATATATGACATCAGATATTGATGACTGTTTTATAGGAATTTAGGCGATGGTAATAAATCTTTTATTGAACTAAACACACCAACCATGACAGATGAAGAAATTACAGAATTAGAGAAAGAATGTAATGATAAAATAAGAGAGGGTTTAACAGTTAAACCTAAACTGTTTTATGATAAAGATGATCCAGAATGGAAAAAGGTACTATGATTAATTGTTTATTTAGGATATGTTCACTTATTTTTACTCCAGGGTTATATCTCCCAGAGCAACTATTGATGTATTAAGGTGGGGTTTCCCCATTTATTAAGGTGGGTATTCCCCATTTCAACATTCTTTCATTACTACTGACAATGATTCACTAATAATTCTGTTTTTTTTTTTACAGGCGTCATGTCGAGGTTTACCAGATGATCATGTAGGACCTATTCGTGTTTTAAATATTGAAGGCGTCGATTCTAATTTATGTTGTGGAACCCATGTTTCTTCGCTAGCACATTTGCAGGTAACGAAAATTAAGCTTTCATTGAAATGTATCTAACTAATCTCCAGACAATAAAACATGTTGCTGCACAGGTCATATTATCAATATTACTAATTGAGTCTATTTATTCGAAGGAGCCACGGTGGCTAAGTGAGTAAAACGCTGGCTCGCTAGCCTGGAGGTAGCAGGTTCTCTCTCGATGTTGGCCGACAAAGTTCATCAGGATTTTCCGGCATGGTTTCCCCTTGTCAGTCGGGCAGGACAGAGGGTCTGACAAGGACAGCTGTCTAGTCGTTCGCATGGTACGAAAAACTGAGGTCCCATGTTCACATTGGCGCGCACATAAAAGACCCCTTGACATTTGGAATTTGATATAAGTATAGGACATAGGGTCGCGGTCCAGACAAAATTTCCCTCATAGCACACTGTACGGTGTATGCCCGTCTTCATTAGCCCAGTTGGAGTAGGACATTAAACCCCATTTCATTTCTATTTATCCGAGCTTCAGTGATTGAATGTATTTATTGAAGACCATAGATTTAATTGATCCAGTACAACACTTTATTGCAAAACATAACCATTGAAATGTGGTCATGTATTGTTGAAATCCCTGTCAGTCCACCACAATTTGCTTGTGGATGCTCTAGGCTGGAGGCTAAAGTTTTTATTTTGATTGTCATCCAATTAAAATTTATACACAGTGTTTTATGTTCATAGACGAAGATGCCTATTGATTATTAACAATTTCCAATAATTATTGTCAAAGTTATTGCCCTTGAGCTTAAAGAAAATCCAACTGCATACAAAAGAATATATATGTGAGGACGACTTAGCTGCTGTGGGCATATGTTTTGTTTCTTGGCAAACCATCTTTATCTATTTTACCGTCTATGTTCTACAGGCTATAAAGTTATTAGGTGTAGATAAAGGTAAAAAGGGCAAGGTGAATCTCCTGTTTGTGGTTGGTCAAAGATTACTTGATTATTTTGGTAAATGTTATGCAGTGGAGAAAGGGTTAACAAATGTTTTAAGGTAATCGTCAAAACCATACTTAACACTTTAACACTTAGAGAAAATGTGTTTTTGAACCAGGAACTGGGCCCCAAGTGCTACTCATCTTGTTGTGCTTGTTATTGGGGGGAATGCTCTCTATAAGATTTAGATAAAGAGCTGACAGTTCTCGCTATAATAGTTAGAAAATAGATAATGAAAAGGGAATATGTTGAAAATTTCAGTCAAATTACTTCATTCTGAGCCGAGTTGCCAGAATAGTGTAGTCTCGATTGTCATTGCTACTGTTGTTACGTTGATAAACAAAGTCTCCATTAACCATTTTTATACGCCCACATTGAAATATGGTTGTATGTTTATACACAGTATTTAAGGTCATGAAACGAAGAAGCCTATTGATTTTCAATTATTTCTGATAATTACTGCGGGAGTTATGGCTCTTGACCTCTTTGAAAAATCTTGTTGAAGCTCTAGGAAGCTAAAGTTAATATCCAGTGAACTTAAATTTATACACAGTGTTTAAGCCCAGTGATTTAAAAAAAATTCCAATAATTACTGCCAGAGTTATGGCCCTTGGATGTTCTACAGACCAATGTTATCATCCGATTGACTTTAAATGTAATATCATGAGACGAAGAAGTCGATATCCGATAATTAGAGTTATATCCCTTGACCTCTTTGCATATTCTTGTTCATTCTCAACAGACCAAAATTATCATCCGATTATCTTTGAATTTATACATAGTGTTTATGGTCCTGAGACGATGAACATTATTGATTTTTTTTTTAACAATTTCTGATAATTATTGCTAGAGTTATGACCCTTGATGACTTTGAAAAATGTTGTGGATGCACTCAAGACCAAAATTTTTTACTTTAAATTCATACACAGTGTTTAAGGTCATGAGACGATACAATCTATTGATTTTCAACCATTTCCGATAACTTGAAAAGCTAATTTCATGATATTCATTGTTTTGTATACTAAACGTAAGCATGTGGCAGTCGAACTAGAAGCCAAACAAATTCTGAAGATTTTTTGATAATTACTTAATGGGTTGTTACTCTTAATCAGATTTTAGTGTGTTGTAAATATTTTCATTAGCAAAAAATATGTGACACCCCTTGTTGACGTCTCAGAAGACTTAGCTGCTGTGAGCATGTTTTTCATTGCCGGGCAACCTATCTTTAAATGAATTCATTTATTTAAATCTGTTGAAAATCAAAACCATCCGAAGTTCTAAAGAGTTAATTATGGGCCTGGCATGTAAATAAATGTCTAATAAAATAACATTTGAGGCCAAACGAAAGATCTGTATTTATTTAGCTCTTGAATAATGCCTGTTTAATCTGTTAGAAATGGATACTAAAGTTGTACTAATTATGGGGATCACGGTGGCTTAGTGTGTAATACGCTGGCTCGCTAGCCTGGAGGTCAGGTTTTCGATCCCTGCATTGGCCGAACTAATTGTACTAATTATAGAGATCTCTAGTAATAATGATTGTTCAGATTGTTTTGATGCTAATAATAAACAGATATGATAGAATTATCATTCTTGTTTTATTATTTCAGTGGTCCATTAGAAAAACAAGTAGAATTAGCTGATAAAGCTGTCAAAAATCAGAAAGCCTCTCAGAAGGTAAATCATTAAAAAGTTTTGTGTTCATTTTACCGACCTGACTTTTCATCTCACTAATGAACAGGCACTTTGGCAAGAATGATTTTAACCAATGGCTCCAATGACAACTGAGAATTGATAAAGAAATAGTTAGGTCTAATTGGTCAATCAAAATGAAAACCGCAATGAAATAAAGATCAAATTTTAATGAGATTCATATGCAGTGTCGGAAATACAAGAATTGTCTCCCTTCCCTGCTGTTTAGTTTATACTATACTCATACACAGGGGGAGGGGTTCATTGTCAAATTTGACACTTCAAGGAAGGGTTGATGAAAACTGCCGCATGCTGGTTTATCCTATCCATTTTTGCTTTCCTAGCAGGTCTTGCATAAGATTTACTGTTTAGTGTATCTTTGCTTTAGTGTGTTACGTTAATTTGATCAGGAGACATGTTCGTCGACGTCAACGTCAACTGACAACACTGCAAGAATTGGCCATGGCACTGAAAAAGGAGTTGGTCAGATTGCCCCAAATCGTGATTGGACGGTTGATTAGGAGCATGCCACGACGAATTGCTGAATGTCTGAGGATTGGTGGAGCAATTACTCATTATTAAGACAAAAATCAAAAACGTCCATTTTCACTTTTGACAGCGTATCTCTTTGCAAGTGATATGGTTACCTCTAATAAAAACAGAAGTGCATTTTCGCAGTTTTGTATTGTTTCTGAATATCCCCTACTTTTTTTGAAGAGTATATTTGTATTATTTACAGTTGGCACTAACACTTCTAAGAGACATGGCGGTTATGGAGGCTAAAATGTTTAAATTAAATCCAGAAAAACAGCCTTTGTTCAGTCATCACAGGTGAGAATAGGCTATAACATTTTCATATATTATGTATGGGAAAGTCTTGATTTTTATCTGAGATTCTGATTTCTCACCGTGGAATGAAGTGGAAAGTTATCTTGTATGTCGTTTACAAGTTTCTTTTAGAGATGTATATACCAGTAGTGGTACAAATTTTAAATTTGATAGATTTAAATTCAGAAACAGCAATAAATTTTTGTTTTAATGTCACTTTTTCTTTTTGATACCTGTTACAATACTAATCTTGTAGTAATCTTTAAATGGCATTTAGTAACTGGATAGAGTAACAACAAAAAAGCATACTTATGGAAAACAGCTACTAGTGTATTTTTAAGACGACATTTCGTAGAGTATTCTCTTAACGTTATCAAGCTAATACAGCAATACAGATATGAGACACACATATATATAGATAAAATACAACAACATAACTGAAACCATACTTGACAACGACCAACACTAATAATCTGATAATCTGATCAGTAATTATTCAAAGGCAGTGTTTGATTATTTTTTGTAGAAAAGAAGGAGATGGTGAATATATGAATATCATAGCCACTGAAATAGGAGATGTAAGTTTAATACTCAATCTATTAATCAAAGTATTTGGTATCTAGCATACACTAAAAAAAATACACTAATTAACTTACACTCCAAAAAATACACTAATTAACTTACACACCAAAAAATACACTAATTAACTTACACTCCAAAAAATACACTAATTAACTTTTCTTGAGGTGGGTTATGCTGTATTTGATATATCTTTATGTCGTAATGTCAGGGGTGGTGGTCGAATGTGCATGCTTTAGATTATAAAGTCTTTCGTTAAGTCCTGTGGCATGATTTCAATCCCAGAACTGTACATGGCATGGAGTAGGGTCACCTGCCTAACCTTGTGTGTTTTCTCCAGTCCTTCCCCATCAGAATACCTTTATCAAGTAATTTATTGAAATAAATATATTCGATGTTCGTCCTGAAATAACCTGGTTTGTTTCTCTCTGTTTATCTTACATCATTAAACATTATTTAGGTTGCTCCATGTTTTTTGACAACTGGTGATGAAAAAGGATCAGGAATGTTTTTATTATGTGGTTCACAAGATTTACTGGATAAAGCTGGAAATCAGTAAGTTATTTTCTTAGACATGTTTGAACTAGCAGAGTAGAATTTTAAAAATATATTATTAATACAATATTGCGCATAATGATCCTTTTGAAAGATTTGTTTATCAATTTTAACAAAAAGCTTTATCAATATAAACAAAAATACTTTTTCTATCAATATTTTTGGGGTTTTTTCCAATGGCCTCTTCTATATGAAATCAAATATGAGCGATGTTTTAATTAGATTGCAGTTAAAGGATCAATATGGAAGATTAGATAAAGAGCTGGCAGTTCTCACTATAATAGTTAAAAACTAGATAATATAAAGGGAATATGCTGTAAATTGCTCCACTCTGAACCAAGATATTAGCAATTGGATTTTAGGCCTAGCCTTGATCATCATTACTAAAGTTGGTACGATAAATAACATAGTCTCGATTATCCATTTTTGGTTTTAATCATCAATGAGCGTTGAGCAGCAGATCGGATTCAAATCCAGTGAAAATCCGATGCATAAGTTGGCATCGAGAATTGATTAAGGTTTTTTCATGTTAATAAATGTCTAATTAATAGTTTACATAAAATTTCAGGCCCAAAGAAAGACCTGCAAGAGGCAGATCTAGCTAATGTATGTTTAATCAATAATTAAATCACTAAAATTATTATTATAGAGTAATGGATATATTAGAAGCCAAGGGTGCATGTAGTGGTGGAAGATACAGAGGGAAGGCCAATAAATTAGCTAATAAACCTAAAGCTGAACAACTTTTATTAGATTTAATAGCAGAATTGTGATGTAAATGTTTTAATATTAAAATAGATATTTCTAGATTTGTTTTTTTTCTCATCTTATTGTTGAAATGTAAATTGTTTGATATTTTACAAATACTTCTGACAAGATGTTTACACACATGGTCAACAGTGCAGGTCAGCAAGGAAATTGGAAGGTCACAGAAAGATTTTGGGTAGTTACTTCCCCTGACACATTTTTAAATCCCTCCAAAAATAAATTCTCTCGGTTCTACAAAAAATTGATATTAAAGTAACCATGACAAGGTTAGCTGACTAAAATTATATGTCCACCGATCATCACTGCTGACATGGCCAACTGAATATGATTATATCTCCTCCAATCATCACTGCTGAAACAAGCTCCCCATGGTCTATTATGTAACCGTTTTACACACCTCACCCCAAGTTATCAGGATTAGTATATGTGACAGAACTCAATTCTGTGTCATTCAATCACCATTCATGTCAATTCACAAACGAACACCCCAAAAATTACCATATTCATGCAGGTGCAGTTAAAAAAAATTTGTACTGATGATTGACTAACTAGAAAAGTAGAGAAGTCAAATGACAATCCTGCCATTACAAGATATTATTGAGATTTGGTCAGGTCGTTTTCTTGGTTGTAAGCATTTCTAAGTAGAAAAATATGCAATAATATTGCCCTTACCATCAAAAATTTATGACTGGTTTACTGGAAATGAAATGGGGTTTAACATCCTATTGTTCTGCTTCGACTGGACTAATGGAGAAGGGCATGGCAAGGGCATGGCATATGCCATGCAGTGTACTATGAGGGAAATTTTGCCCGGGCAATGGCACTACAGCCTAAGTCGATTGTCAAGTGATCTTTTATATGTACGCCAATGTGTACACAGGACTTTGGTTTTTCATCCCGTCCAAACGACTATATGTTGTCCCTTGCCAGGCCCTCGACCAATGCAGGGATCGAACACGTGACCTTCAGGTTATCGAGCCAACGTCTTACTCACTGAACCACTTTGGCTCCCCTGGTTTACTGGTCAAGAGTATTTGAATTTTTTTAAAACTTGTTGTCAAGACTTGTAATATAGCTTTCTTTTACTGAGATTTTTTATTGAGAATTTCTTGAGATTGTTTGACTAGTGCCCTTTTTTTTTAAATTTTCTAGGATTCTGGCAACATTCTTTTGAAAAAATGAAAACATTAATTTGGTGACAACCTTGTTAAGTCTATTTTTTATAAATTGAGTATATCATAAAGGATAAAAACACAAAAATGTTAATAAAAACTGTATATAAAACAACTTTATGTCAAAATTATAAAGTATATAAATGTAAATTCAACAAAAGAAACAAATATTAAGACTATCATTCACTTGATGGTTAGAGAACATTCAATGAAACACTGCGTTAATTAAAATAGTAATTGTAATCAATATATTATTTTTGTGTTTATTACGTAGATCAATTATTGCTAAATACCGCCCAAAGATGAATAAAAATATCTTTTTAAGTTGGGGAAAATGAGGTATACACCAGGATCTCACTAAAGCACAGTTTGTTGGCACCCAATGTGTAGGAAATCCAAGGGTCTCTCTGTGAGGTAGATTTTGCATTATGGACTTCAGCATCTTGCTAGCGTGTCGTTTGTTAACGGTCTGTTAAATTTCTGTTGCTGGAAAGTCAATTTCATTATCCGTTAGGACTGATTAAAGTTAATCCAAGAGAAGTCTGTTTGTTCATTGGCTGAATTTTAAATTTTTAAATTCAATGTACATGTATAACAACTTCATAGAAGTTAGTATTAACAAGAAACTGAAGACAGTGGGACAACTGTGCAGTCTGTTCACAAAACAGATAACAGAGCCCAACAGCTCCATTAAATATAACGGCAGGTTAACGACATGTTAAAGTTCACAGAGCTTCCAGTAATAGACTTTCTCTCCATTAAAGACAATCTATTAACTCTATTTTAATGGTGTATAAATGACAGAAGTCTGACTATAGACAGACAATATCAACAGTGTGGCAATAAACAGTTATAGAATTCCCTGAGACTCTTTAAACTCTCGATAACATCAAGAGACATAAAGAAGTTCTGATTTTGAATGACCATCAGGTATAGGCATATCAAATACAACTGGAGGATTGACAGCTTTATAACGTAGATTACATGTTGAGGCATTTATATAAGTAGTAAAACCATCGGTTGTAACACCATAATCTGAAAAAATATAAAAGTATGTCTATGATAAGTAATTTTAAGGGATAGTACAAATATGAACTTATGCTTTAGTTATATTCTAGCCAGCTTACTGTTCATTACGAACAAAAGTCACCAATATCTGATAGGTATTACTGCCTCGCAAAAAGAAATTTTTTTTCTAATGGGAAAGTAGAAGGATACAAGGCATCTGACTCACTCAGAATTTTTTTTTTTTTAAAAGTTTAAGTATCTTTGATGTGTTGTGTTTTTCTTTTGTTGGGGGAGGGGGGGTGGCAAACACAAGTACCACCCTAAGTGTCACAAACTCTACTAGCTACAACACTGCATTATCAGTAACACAATTATTTACAGAGTTACTGCCCTTTTCTCAAAAAATGTAAATGTGGTACATACAAAAACTGATTTTTCAAAATGTACTTAGAACGTTGTGGAAAAGAGTGTGTGCAAACTTTGTTAATCTGTTGCGCAGACGCTCGTGCATCAAATTTTCTAATGTTATTCAATATAATATTACAAGTATATAAAAATAATTATTATAAGTGATAATACCTCTTTAAAGTAATAAATAAAGATCCAAATTTAAACAGAAAAGACATTATTGAAAAGGGGGATCACGTGGCTAAGTAGGTAAGACGCTGGCTAGCTAGCTTGGAGGTCGTGTGTTCGATCCCTCCATTGGCCGAGAAAGTTCATCCAGATTTTCCCGGTTTTCGGCGTGGTTCCCCCTTGCTAGTCATGCAGGGCGGAGGGCCTGACAAGGACAGCTTTCTAGTCGTTTGGATGGGACGAAAAAACTAAGGTCCCGTGTACACATTGGCGTGCATGTAAAAGATCCCTTGATCTGTCCGGGCAAAATTTCCCTCATAGCACACTGTATGGCATATGCCCATCTTCATTAGCCCAGTTTGGAGCAGAACAGTAGGACGTTAAACCCCATTTCATTTCATTATTGAAAACATTGATTGATTATTGAGTTTACTTACCTTCATGTATATGGCCAAATACATGATATTTTGGTTTAACACGTCTCTGAATAGTGAAAAGAAGTTCAGCACATCCTGCACGGTTATTACCAGAACACATATCGCCATAACCTGGTCAAAATAAACATTTAACATTTAATATGATGGCATCTGTTTACACTATCAAGATTCAAATAACAGATGACAATTTAAAATAGGATTCAGAGTCTCTATTTTCATAAACGGCACAAACAATCTCCTGGAAATGTAGGTTTATTGTTTAAATAGGATAGCAAATAACTCTTTATTGTTCTAAGATATTTGCCAGTTGCCACTTGGTTGCCGAATATCCACTCGGCTACATACAGAATATTATTTCATGAATGGAATGAATATCAATTCTTGCACAGAAGCAGTGAATGTAATCCAAAGTATTATGTGAGGGTGAGAGGCTCAGTGGTCTAATGTGATTGCTTTAGATCATCAGGTCTGTCAATGAGTCAAGTGGTAAGATTTCAATCCCCACACTTGTACGTGTCAAGGATTAGTGTCGCCTGCCTGACCTTGTGGATTTTCTCCAGGTCCTCAAACTGCTTAAGACCCTTACGTCCCAGCAAATTATTTCATTGTAAATCACTCTCTCCCGCCCCAAATAAGGGATTTGTTCAATCATATTCAAATGTTATCCTAGGAAATGAAATGAAATGAAATGGGGTTTAACGTCCTACTGTTCTGCTCATATACTGGGCTAATGAAGACGGGCATACGCCATACAGTGTGCTATGAGGGAAATTTTGCCCAGGCAGCGGCACTATCGCCTACTCTTATATCGAATTCCAACTGCCAAGGGATCTTTTACGTGCATTCCAATGTATACACAGGACCTCGGTTTTTCGTCTCATCCGAAGGACTAGACAGCTGTCCTTGTCAGGCCCTCCGGTTATCCTAGGCCCATACTGCACTTAGCAATGGAATGAATAATTTAACAGATAAATACTAATGTATGTTATAATTCTTGTCTTTTACCTAATGGTGGACCATGACTCATTAAAATATCTGTATCTTCTGGTATAAGATTCCATTTATCTAAACATGGTTGACCACGTTTTAAATTAAACCCCCAACCACAGAATTCTGGCTGCCTGTTAATAAGAAAAAAAACAACTACCATGTAAGGCCATTCAGAACATATTTTGGTGAGTTCAAAAATCATGCCACAATTCATATTTCTGCTGTAGGCCTATATGTATTATGTTTTGACAGCACCTCCAGCCAAATCAGTAGTGCACTTTCACTGCGTCTCAGAATATTAACTAAACTTGATATTTAATTGGGTCCGAACGTGAAATACTACCAGAAATTATCAACTGAAAACATGTTCTTTATCTCAATCATCTAGTGAGTTGTAATATGACAATTATAGCTTCATCCTTAACAAGGCCTACATGTATAACATAGTTGTAGTGAACTGAGGGAAGAAATGTCTAACATAGGGGACATAAATGGGGCCTAACATCCTACGGTTCTAAAACGACTGGACTAATGAAGACGGGCATACACCAGTGTGCTATGAGGGACATTTTGTTGGGAAGTAGTGCTACAGATAGAGAGAGAAATGGGGTTTAACGTCCACTCAACACAAACTAGGTCATTTCGGGACTAACACATGGTTCAATTTTATTTCAATAATTCTCTAGTGCGAAGGGGTCTTTAGCAGTGGGAGGAAACCGGAGGACCCGGAGAAAACCCACGAGGTTGGACAGGCGACCCTACTCCTTGTCACGTACAACCGGGGAATCAAAACCATGCCAGCTGACTCAATGACACACCTTATGATACAACGTGCACGTGCTAACCATTCAGCCATCCAGTCCCCCTCAGTAGCACTACAGCCTACTCTATTTTATATTCCAACAAGGGAGCTTGAGTTTTCGTGCTGTATGAACAACTAGTCACTGTCCTTGCCAGACCCTACGTCCTGAACTACTGAAAAGGGAAAACCAAAGTGGAAAATCCAGAGAAACTTTCTGTGCCAACACCGGGATTCAACCCGAGATCTCCTGGTTAGCGAGACAGTGCCTTACTCTCAGAGCCACTGCAGATCCCCTAGGCTTAGGACTATGAGTATGAAAGGAAAGTATAATCTGAATTAATGGTACCTACCATGGTGTTCCATATATTTTAATACCACACAGATTTAATGATTGATCTTCTAAATAAATACAATTCGTCAACATTTCCTTTATATTGGTGATATTCAGTTGTTTTAATCTATCTTCAAAATTTTTCTCAGTTATACAGAAACAATGTTTTAATCTTTCTCTATCTTCTTTAACAAACTGATCATCAAATGTCAGTTCATGATTACCAGCTATTGCTACTTTCACTTTATAGGGTACTGTTTCTAAAAATAACAGAAATGACATGAAATGGGGTTTAACATCCTACATATCTGCACTGACTGGGCTAATGAAGATAGACATACGCCATACCATGTGCTATTCAAATTTCAACTGTTAAGGGTTCTTTTACGTGCATGTCAATGTTTACACAGGACCTCAGTTTTCCGTTCCATCCAATGACTAGCCAGCCAGGGGCAATCCCCCCAGAAAAAATGATTTGCCCCCCCACCCCCCAAAGTTGCCGACCATAGTTCTAAAATACCTACTGTTTGTAATAGACAGCAGTCAGGGATCACCATGTGGAATATTGATTTTGGGAGTTATTATACATTACATATTATTGGTTATGCTCTGATATTTATCTGCCATATATTTAGTACTGACTTGCTCAATGGCCCACTGTCGTGTGGGCCCCTGTCTTGTCACTATGTTCATTGTTCAGAGTTCGCTAGAGAACGATTTTCTGGGCTGGAAAACGCGTTGTCCAATTTTCAAAATTTTCTGGGGGAGAACCCCGGTACTCCCCTTCGTCTGGGGGAAGAGAACCCCCTAGCTGCCCCCCTAAAAATAAGCTATGGGCCTGGACAAGACACTGTTAAAATTCAATATCCTAACTTGTCGGCTTTTTGAAAAGTCATATTGAGATACACAACAATCTAAACTCTGAATCTGTTTGGCAACAAATCTGCACATATAATAAAACATCTGAAAATATCCATTTTTAGATGAGAAAAGACCTACATACCTAAATAATTATTAAAATTCTCTATATCAGTTGGTAATCCTATATTGGAGAAATCACCAGCGTGCAATAAAACATCACCTGCTGGGAGTTGGTATCCTTCTGTCTTTTCTAACACACTATGGGTATCTGATAAACACACAAATCGTATTTTATCCTCTGTAATGGGTGTATTTACGTCTAATGGCTGAACTGTCTCCTTTTTCTGATGAATTCGTACTTTTTGCCAAGCTTTATTTGGGTCATGTGTGTTGGGATGAACTGTTATCTCTTTCATCTTATCTTCATCTTTCTTTGAAAAGAGATCTCCAAAAAACATTTTACATATAAAAATATAGCTGTTTAATTTGTTCCTGAAATAAGAGAAGATATAAGACTTTTATTTGACATTTTGAAACAACAGAAATCGAAGCATTTCCGAAAGCTGTGCAGATGGTAAAAGAAATAAAATGGGGTTTAACGTCCTAGGCGATGGTATGACCTATTCACAAATATCCAATTCCAACTGCCAAGGGATCTTTTACATGCATGCTGCAATGTGTACATGGGACCTCGGTTTTTCGTTCGATCCGAACGACTATATGTTGTCCCTTGTGAGGTGCTCAGTCCTGCACCACAGACAAGGAGGAACCATGCCGAAAAATCCTGATGAATTTTCTCTGCCAACGGGATCGAACACGTCTTACTTACTGAGTCACCATGTCTCCCGAGCAGAAGATAATGCATAAGAGTTTTTAAGGACTCCAAAAGTTGGAAGGGGCACTGGAAACAGTAAGTGTCCGTCTACTTGTAATTTAAACTACAAGGGTCCTTTATTGTGTGCTTCAACATATAGACTACACCAGAACTTTTTAACCCATCCGAATGACTAAACACTGCTCCTTCCCAGATTCTCCATTCAGAGGAACTTTATAACTGGGAGAGAATCCTTAACCTCCTGCGCCCCTCTGTATTCATGGTTGATGTGAAACCCATTCAAAATCCTATCCCTTACCCAAAAGATTGGGAGTCGCCACTGTCAACGTGAACGTTTATCTGCTTCAGTGCTTGGGCTAGATTAAGATAGAATGATAGATTATATTTTTGTTATCCGGGAGTTCAACCCTTCTATGGACAGTTTCCACAACTGACGAAATGAAAAATGTTATTTATATATCACAACTAACCTATCTACCTCTGTATTTTATGTCCTACAAATGTCTAAACACCGGAATGCGTCTGTTATGATGTCTCAGTTGTTTATACTGATGTAAACAATTTATTTTTAGAATGTTACGACATTAAAGGGAGTTAACACCTTTTGTGGATACAGACCACAGATGTTAATGTCACACTAATATATTAGCTGGGTATTCTTACCCTTCAAGAACACCTACCTATAACAATTATGTATTTATCTCATCAGCATGTTAAATTTTGTTATCATAGTTTGTTATATTTTCTTTATTGTTGGTTTTTCTTTTCAGTAATTGGGCTATATGTTGTTTATAAGGATTGAGTCCACTATAGAATAATCTCGTTAGTTGGCTTCCGAATTGATGTTTTCTCTTTAAATACATATTTTATTATCCTTTTATTCTTATATAGCCCACACTCATAATTATATTCATTGTTATCTCCTTAAACCTTGACCACGTTGACATTATGATTAAATTGTGTTTTATATTTCTTTTATGTTACTGTAAAGCACTTTTACATTTTGGATAATCTGAGCTGTGTTCATGTACTGTTAGTTGATGTTTTACAGGGCTGTGGCATTCCGAACATATGTCCCGAAAATCAGCCAGTCCGTAGAACGTTTTCTGCGATGATATGACAAAGTCAGTGAAAATTATCAATTCTAGCTTATTTAGTTATGGCCTTTTAAATTTGGTATTCGTTTAAATATTTATTTGTTAAAGATCATGAACATAATTACAATTCAGAATGATTTTCATACTAACCATGTCATTCTGTGTACAGTTCGATTTACATGGGGGTTGGGTGGTCGAATGGTTAACACATGAGCGTTGCATAAGGCATAGACGTACGGGCTCGATGACAGTTAGGGGGGGCAGAACCAGAAATGCCCGAAAAAAATTTGGGTTTACAGATAGCGCCGGTCTTCCTTGAGAGGCGAAGAGAGCGGAGCTTACCTTGCCCCCCACCCCCCACCCCCCAAAAAAAAAAAATTTTGGAATATTTGACGGCTGCAGCCCGTGAACAGTAACTTCAAAGTGGTCTAATATAACCTTATTAAGGTGGCTGACTCGAATTCCAGTCAATCGTTAACAGTCCACGAAGGCGGGACCGTTTGGAGAAAATTTTGAAAATTTAACTGCCGCAAACGCGTTTTCCTGCTATTCCAGCCTGTGAATACAGCAACTTCAATTTGGTCCAATATAGCCTACCTGGCTGACCGGAATTCCAAACAACCAATCAATCGTCGCTGGGTTCGGGGGTATACCCTGCCGGAGAAAATTTTGAAAATATAACCACCGCAAATCCGTTGTCTGCTATTCTATCCCATGTAAACTCCAAAAGTATTCAATGGTTTTGAAACCGAAATCCCACTCTGAATTCCAACCATCTAATCAGACTGTTGCAGCTGCATTCACAAACAATAATCGATGCCCGAAAAATGTGGCACAAAGTAGAGTGGCTCCAGGCAACATTTTTTAATCCATAGTCAACTCAGTACAAATTCATGGTATTCAATTAAAAGAAAAGTAAAATTAGTGTTATATTAGGGCTCGATAACAGTAAGGGAAGCAGAACTAGAAATGCCTGAAAAAATTTCGGGTTTTCAGACAGCGGCGCCGGTATTCTTCGAGAGGCGAAGAAGCGGAACTGACCTTGTATGGAGTCCCCAAGAAAATTTTGGAATATTTGACAGCCACACACGCGTTTTCATGCTATTCCAGCCCGTAAAATTAGTGTTTTATTAGATTTCGGGCACTTTATTTTGCCAAGTAGATGAAATAAAAAATTTTTTTCACTTTACCCATCTGCCCGAAAAGTCAGTTTGCCCGAAAGTTTGGGGGGCTGCTGCCCCCCCCACCCCCCTGGCTCGTACGCCTATGGCATAAGGTCTGTCAGTGAATCAAGTGCCGTGGTCACAGAGTAAAAATACGTGCCGTGGTCGCAGGTCCAACCTCGTGGGTTTTCTCCGGTTCCTGATCCGGTTTCCTCTCACTGCTTAAGACCCCTATGCACAAGCTAATTAATGAAATAAAATTGAACCATATGTTCGTCCCGAAATGACCATATCTCCCTCTCTCTCTTTCTCTCTCTCCCTTTCTCGGAATGTGAATTGTTTGATATTCTTCAAAAATACTTCAAGAGAGTAGGTCAGCACTCAGTAGGGAAATTGGTATGTCACAGAAAGATTTTGGGTAGTTACCACCCCTGACACATTTTTTAAATCCCTCCGAATATGAATTCTCTCAGTTCTACAAAAAAAGTTGATAATATGATATGGCCAACTAAATAAGATTATATATCCGCCAATCATTCACTGATGACATGGCCAACTGAATATGATTACATCTCTTCCAATCATCACTGCTGAAACAAGCCCCCTATTACCCATCCATATCAAGTTATCAGGGTTAGTATATGTGGAAGGAGTCAATTCTGAGTCCATCACTCACCATTCATGACAATTCACAAGCGAACACCCCCCAAAATTACCATATTCACGCAGATGCAGTTAAAACAATTTGTACTGATGATTGACTAACTAGAAAAGCAGAGAAGTTATTGAGATTTGGTCAGGTCGTTTTCTTGGCTAAAAGCCTCTCTAAAAATATGCATTTAGCTTTCACAAGACCATATTTCACTTGAAGAGCTAATGGGAAGAGAATAGTGTTCATTTGTACTGACGTTTAGTAGTTGTGAGAAATTCCCTTTCTTTGTGAAAGACAAAAGAAAATGAAATAGAGAGTAAACATCCTACTTGTGCCGAAGACAAATGGAACAGGCTGATTAAATAGTTCCCCCATTTAAATTCTCTTTTTTATACATCCGCATTCATGTGATCCTATATTTTGTTGTTACGTCTGTCTATCCTTTGGATATCACTCTACAGTCTACTCTGTAGAACTTGACCACCTTATTCATCTACTCATGTTTACTGGAAGTGAAATGAAATGCGGTTTAACGTCATACTGTTCTGCTCCTATTGGGCTAATAAAAATGGGCATGACATACACCATACAGTGTGCTATGTGGGAAATTTTACCCGGGCAACTGCACTACAGCCTAGACTATGTCGAATGTCGACTGCCAAGTGATCTTTTACATGTACGCCAATGTGTACACAGGACCTCGTTTTTTCATCCCATCCAAACGACTATACATTGTCCCTTGCCAGGCCTTTGGTTCTGTACCACTGACAAGGAGGAACCATGCCGGAAAATCCTGATGAACTTTCTAGACCAATGCAGGGATTGAACACAGGACCTTCAGGTTATCGAGCCAACATCTTACTCACTGAGCCACCGTGGCTCCCCTGGTCAAGGGTATTTGAATTTTTTTAAAACAAACTCCCTATGACTGGTCAACTTGTTGTCAAGACTTGTAATTTGGCTTTCTGTTATTGAGATTTTTTGTTGAGAATTTCTTGTATTGTTTGACTATTATTCTTGGATTTAGTGCCCTTTTCTCAAAATTTTCTTGTACTCTGGCAAAATTCTTTTGAAAAAATGAAAACATTATTTTGGTGACAACCTTATTGGGTCTTTTTTTTAAAATAAATTGAGTATATTATGAAGGATAAAAACACAAAAATGTTAATAAAAACTGTATATAAAACAACTTTATGTTTAAATTATAAAGTATATAAATGTAAATTCAACAAAAGAAACAAACATCATTCACTTGATGGTTAGAGAACGCTCAATGAAAGATTGCTTTAATTAAAATAGTAATTGTAATCAATATATTATTTTTGTGTTTAACGTCCACTCGACACAAACTAGGTCATTTCGAAACTAACATATGGTTTAATTGTATTTCAATAATTCGCTTGAGCGTAGGGGTCTTTAGCAGTGGGGGGAAACCGGAGGACCCGGTTACTATGCACCTCAACATCAACATTATAGTGAAGGCCTGGTGTATTAATGATCGAAGTCTGACTATAGACAGACAATATCAACAGTGTGGTATTAAACAGTTATAGAATTCCCTGAGACTCTTTAAACTCTCGATAAGATCAAGAGACATAAAGAAGTTCTGATTTTGAATGACCGTCAGGTATAGGCATATCAAATACGACCGGAGGATTGACAGCTTTATAACGTAGATTACATGTTGAAGCATTTATATAAGTAGTAAAACCATCGGTTGTAACACCATAAGCTGAAAAAATATAAAAGTATGTCTATGATAAGTAATTTTAAAGCGATGGTACAAATAGAAAATTATGCTTTAGTTATATTGTAGCCAGCTTACTGTGCATTACGAACAAAGTCACCAATATCTGATAGGTCTACTGCATCAAAAAAGAACTTGTTTTTCTAATGGGAAAGAAGAAGGCTACAAGGCGTCTGACTCATCTCAGAATTTTTTATTTAAATGTCTGATGTGTATTGTGTTGTGTTGTTATTTAGTAGGGAGGTGGGGGGGGGGGGGACACAAGGAACACCCTGAGTGTCACAACCTCTAACTACACCACTGCATTATCTGTGCCACAATTATTTACAGAGTTACCGCTCTTTCCCCAAAAAATGTTATAAACGTGGTTCAGAGAAAAACTTATTTTTCAAAATATGCTTGTTTTAATCATATCCTCATAAGCATGAACACTTTCGATAAAACATGTGCAAACTCTGTTAATCTGTTGCGCAGATGTTATTGAATATAGTATTACAAGTATATATAAATAATTATTTTAAGTTATAATACATCTTTAAAGTAATAAATAAAGTAAACAGAACAGTTCCATGGATAACAGAGAGAGAGCAATGGGGTTTAACGTCCACTCAACACAAACTAGGTCATTTCGGGACTAACATATGGTATAATTTTATTTCAATAATTCGCTTGCGCATAGGGGTCTTTAGCAGTGGGAGGAAACCGGAGGACCCACGAGGTTGGACAGGCGACCCTACTCCTTGTCACGTACAACCGGGGATTCGAAACCACGCCAGTCAACTCAATAACAGACTTTATGATACAGCGCGCACGCTAACCATTCAGCCATCCAACCCCCTCCATGGATAACAATTACTGTATTTCTATTAAAGATACATTTCAATAATAATTCTCTTGTCGTTATCATTGTGCTTGAGTAGCTTTAATAGAAATACAGTAATTATTATCCATAGAACTGTTCTGTTTAATTCAATGTGTTTAATTACAAAATGCCATTCAAACAGTACAATAAATAAAGATTCAAATTTAAACAGGAAAACGTTGATTGATTATTGAGTTTACTTGCCTTCATGTATATGGCCAAATATATGATATTTTGGTTTAACACGTCTCTGAATAGTTGAAAGAAGTTCAGCATATCCTGTGCGGATATTATCGAAACATTTATCACCATAACCTGGTCAAAATAAACATTTAACATTTAATATGATTGTGTCTGTTTACACTATCAAGCTTCAAATAACAGATGACAATCAAAAAAGGATTCAGAGTCTCTATTTTCAATAAAGGCACAAACAATCTCCTGTAAATGTAGGTTTATTGTTTAAATAGGGTGGCAAATCACTGTCCATATTGTTCTAGGATATTTGCCAGTTGCCACTCGATTGGCAAATATCCTCTCGCTACATTTTTAAAAAACATACAGAATATTATTTCATGAATGAAATGAATATCAGTTCTTGCACAGAAGCAGTGAATGTAATCCAAAGCATTATGTGAGGGTGAGAGGCTCAGTTTTCTAATAGGGTGTGCTTTAGATCGTCAGGTCTGTCATTGAGTCAAGCGGCAGGACTTCAAACGCGACACTTGTACATGACAAGGATTAGTTTCACTTGTCTGATCTCATTGGTTTTCTCCAGTTCCTCCCACTGCTAAAGATACTTCATACTCCCTGCAGTGTTTCATTTGATTAGACCTAATCCCACTTAACACTGTTGTAATGGGTGCAAATTTCTGTTCCAAATTATGATTGGTCAATAGTCTGATTAACAACCAATGTCTAACTGCGTAACAATAGCATTCGGCCTTAAACAGAGCTCCAAATTGAAGTTTACATAACGTTACGTCATGACTCACGAATTTTATTACGCCCAATTAACCGGTGCATAGCAGAATATTGCAGATAAACTATTGCATCACAAACGAGGCTATCAAAACAACTACAATGTAAACAATATTGTTTGAGACGAACAACACTTTTACTGTTTTAATACCCAGATTAAACGAAGGGCTGTCATGTTGCTGTAATTGGGATAGATTTGATTGAACCGGAAGAATAGACACACTCCCTCAAAAGCTCAAGTATCAGAAGTCAATCCAGCAATGGCCAGAGAGGGCTTTCTTGGGTCAGTGCTTCAGGAATATCAAGATCCTTACGCCCCAGTGAATTATTTCATTGTAAATACCCCCCCCCCCCAAAAAAAAAGAACTAGCTCAGTCATATTCAAATGTTATCCTAGGCCTATACTGTACCTAGTAAGTTACATGGAAAGTATAATTTAACGGATAAATACTAATGTATCTTAAAATTCTTGTCTTTTACCTAATGGTGGACCATGACTCATTAAAATATCTGTATCTTCTGGTATAAGATTCCATTTATCTAAACATGGCTGACCACGTTTTAAATTAAATCCCCAACCGCAGAATTCTGGCTGCCTGTTAACAAGAAAAATAAACTAATATGTAAGGCCAGTTAGAACATGTTTTGGTAAGTTCAAAAATCAGTCTTTAAATGCTATTTTTTTCAAAATCATGCCCCAATTTACATTTCTGCTGTATTAAGTTTTGCTAGCATCTCTAGCCAAATCAGTGGTGCATTTTCACTGCTTCTCAGTATATTAAAGGACAATATTTTGGTGTCAGTCATTATCACATATGTGATAGAACTAATTAAACACATTCCAAATATAATTTTAACACAGAGATCATTGCTACGATAGCTGAGTAATACAGGTTTCCTGAATCAGAAGTGACAAACGCCAAAGGAAAACACGAGTCATACTTCTATATAACTGACTGATGTGACGAGTGATAACAGATACACGGCCGAATTTCTGCTCACTAATAATTCCTTCCAAGACCAAAAGTTGTTGTGTGAGACTGTGAGTGGATATCTGACAATTCATAAAAAGAATTGACTGCCACTATATAATGACTGGCACCAATATTGTCCTTTAACTATACTTGATATTTGATTGGCTCCGTACGTACCAGAGATTATCAATTGAAAACATGTTGTTTATCTAAATCATCCAGTGAGTTTTTATATGACAATTATAGCTCCAATCTGATTTAAATACAGATCTATATTTTGTTTCATTTTTTATACTTTGGATGGCCTCTACTACATGAAGATCTGACCAGTTGTAGCAGGAGGTCGTGTCGGGGGTCATATGAGTGACTTTTGACCCTATGACGACAGACATTGAAGTAACCAATCAGCATTGATGTTTCTCGTAGGATATCCACATTTCCGTGCATCGCACGCCACAAACTGGCTACAACAGACCGTTTCATTGGGTAATCTCGCACATCAACTAGAACGTGGGTTATATAACAAGTCTTCCAGATCCTAGTGTAGCATAGACAAGTAAAACGAAATTTCGAACCACAGACCAGGATAATCGAGACTTTGTTAATTATAGTGACAGCGGTAAAAATGATAACAGGAGCTACAGAGATTTTAAAATAAGGTTTTCTCGCCTTAGAGTGAAGCAATTTGACTGAAATTTTTTCAGCATAATCCATTTACATCATCGAGGTTTTAACTATTATAGTGAGAAATGCCAGCTCGTAATCTAATCTTCGATAATGTATCTTTAATGGTACATATATGTACCTACCATGGTGTTCCATATATTTTAATACCACACAGATTTAACGACTGATCTTCTAAATAAATACAATTCGTCAACATTTCCTTTATATTGGTGATATTCAGTTGTTTTAATCTATCTTCAAAATTTTTCTCAGTTATACGGAAACAATGTTTTAATCTTTCTCTATCTTCTTTAACAAACTGATCATCAAATGTCAGATCATGATTACCAGCTATTGCTACTTTCACTTTATAGGGTACTGTTTCTAAAAATAACAGAAATGAAATGAAACAGGGTGTAACATCCTACATATCTGCACTGACTGGGCTAATGAAGAAGGACATACGCCATACAATGTGCTATTCAAATTTCAACTGCACATCAATGTGTACACAGGACCTCAGTTTTCCGTACCATCCAACGACTAGCCAGCCGGGGGCAATCCCCCCAGAAAAAATGATTTGCCCCCCCCCTCCCCCCAAAGATGCCGACCATAGTTCTAAAATACCTACGGTTTGTAATAGACAGAAGTCAGGGATCAGTCACCATGTGGAATATTGATTTTGGGAGTTATTATACATTACATATTATTGGTTATGCTCTGATATTTATCTGCCATATATTTAGTACTGGCTTGCCCAATGGCCCACTGTCGTGTGGGCACCTGTCTTGTCACTATGTTCATTGTTCAGAGTTCGGTATAGAACGATTTTCTGGGCTGGAAAACGTGTTTCAGGTCGTCCAATTTTCAAAATTTTCTGGGGGGAGAACCCCGGGTACTCCCCTTCGTCTTGGGGGGAGAGAACCCCCTGACGCCCTAAAAAGTTCAGGATAGCTACGGGCCTGGACAAGACACTGTTAAAATTCAATATCCTAACTTGTCGGCTTTTTGAAAAGTCATATTGAGACAACAATCTAACCTCTGAATCTGTTTGGCAACAAATCTGCATATATAATAAAACATCTGAAACTATCCATATTTAGACCAGAAATGACCTACATACCTAAATAATTATTAAAATTCTCTATATCAGTTGGTAATCCTATATTGGAGAAATCGCCAGCGTGCAATAAAACATCACCTGCTGGGAGTTGGTATCCTTCTGTTTTTTCTAACACACTATGGGTATCTGATAAACACACAAATCGTATTTTATCCTCTGTAATTTGTGTACTTAAGTCTAATGGCTGAACTCTTTCCTTCTTCTGATGAATTTGCAGTTTTTGCCACGCTTTAGTTGGTTCATGTGTGTTGGGATGAACTGTTATCTCTTCTATTTTATCATCATCTCTGTTTTTCTTTTGAAAAAACATTTTACATATAAAAATATAGCTGTTTCATTTGTTCCTGAAATAAGAGAAGATTTAAGAGTTTTATTTAACGTTTCGAATCAACAGAAATTGAAGCATTTCCGAAAGTTGAGCAGATGGTAAATGAAATGAAATGGGGTTTAACGTCCTACTGGGCTAATTGGGCTAATGAAAACGCCATACAAAATGCATTGAGAGAAATTTTGACCGGAGAGCGACGGTTTGGCCTATTCACAATTAATAGCCTATTCCAACTGCCAAGGGATCTTATACATGCATGCTGCAATGTGTACATGCGATCTTGGTTTTTCGTTCAATCAGAACGACTATATTAATTTTGTCCCTTAATTGTAAGGCGCCCAGTCCAGCACCACGGACAAGGAGGAACCATGCCGAAAAATCCTGATGAACTTTCTCTGCCAACACAGGGATCGAACACGTCTTACTTACTGAGTCTCCGTGGCTCCCGGGCAGAGGATAATGCATAACAGTTTTTAAGGACTCCGAAAGTTGGGAGGGGCACTGGAAACAGTAAGTGTCCGTCTACTGTGCAATTTAAACTACTATTTAGGCTATGGTGTACGTCACACCAGAACTTGTTGTCCCATCCGAAAGACTAAACACAGCTCCTTCGCAGATTCTCCATCCCAAGGAACTTTATAACTGGGATAGAACCTGGGACCTCCTGTGCTGAGCTGCATTCATAGTTGATGTGAAACCCATTCAAAATCCTATCCCTTATACCCAAAATAATTGGGAGTAGGGCCTAATGGGAGTCCACTTTATTAAACCTTTAGTTTATCTGCTAGCCTAGGGCTAGAAAGACAGATTATATTTTTGTTCAACCTTTCTATGGATAGTTTCCACAACAGACAAAATGAAAAATGTTATTAATATATCACAACTAACCTATCTACCTCTGTATTTTATGTTCTACAAATGTCATAACACCGGAATACGTCTGTTGTGATGTCTCAGTTGTTCAAATACTGATGTAAACAATATATTTTTAGAATGTCACGACATTATAGGGAGTTAACACCTTGGTGGATACAGACCACAGATATTTTATGCTACACTAATATCTTAGCTGGGTATTCTTGTAACCGGGTCTAATTCAATCAAAAGACGAGGCTGTTTAAATCTTTATTTAAAAAAACCTGTAAAAATATACATACATAGAATTAATATCAATGACACTTAATTTATAATACATATAATACACTTTAAAATACATCAAACATTACACCGTATTATATTATTATACTATATATTTAATTCTATACCGGTACTCATATCTTTGGTTCATTCCCATATCGCCGACTCACCGAGTTTTAGGGGAAAAATTTTGGTCGACGTTAGAGTAATAATTTCTATAATATCTCTAATTATTAGATAACACCTATATAAAATAACATACCCTGAAAGTGGTTTTAAAGATCTGTGCTGAAACAACACTAACTTGTCACTAACAGCTAGAAGGTATCCTGTATAAACAAATGATTCCATAATTATTTAATGCTAAAACTAACCTAAACTTAAATTACTAAATGATAATACTTATTGCTTAAGAGCTGTAGAATATGTATAAATGTATTTTACTGCGTATGTAAAGAATAATATATGAAATCACTAATTAAAACATCTTACATTCACCCCATCCCAGACAATACCAATGATATTCAAATCCACATACATGTACCTTAATTTGACCAATGAAGACTTGACCAAAAGTATTAACAGTAACTGCAATAACTTATAAACTTCGGCGCGAAATACAAGTTTAAGGTTTAAAAGATAATCTTATGCATTCAAAATCCTAAGTTACACTGATTTAGATTGTTACACAAGAGTCGCTATTCAAAGGATATCTTAAGTCTAAGATTTCACTCAAATATACGCAACTTAATGTAAGTTAAGGGTAAGTGGTATTCAAAGGCAGTGTTAAGTATCGAATTTTCTCTTAAAGTTACAATTTCATATTTTTAAGTTATATTTTAAAAATGTATTAAAATAAAGCCCTAAAATAGATGGTATCTATAAACAGTCCTACCGTGTTAAAGAATAATCCTAGTAATCCTTGGCAAAAATATCATTTTCAACTTCAAATTCAAACGTTTGAAGATAGCTATTCCATGGTGGGGAATAGGAAAACAAGGGAGGTAATTGGGAGGTAATTGTGTTATTATTTCCGGTGTGAAGATTTTTATGTGTGAGAAAGATAACCTATGATCGAAAATAGTGAGTTGACAACCTATTGGGCAAAAGACATAGAAATAATTATGTTTTGACTTTTTTAGAAAATATGAAATTGTAACTTTAAAGTCAAGCTGCCTTAACTTCTTAGTGTTTGGTCTTTTAGTGGTATTCAAAGGCCAGGGGCCTGTTTCACGAAATTTTAACTAAGATAAAATCCAAATTTTAGTACTTTGATTGGATAATATTAGATTGATTTTAGTGCTTAGCCAATCAAAATTGAAGTATCTACTAAAATTTTAGTAATTTGATTTGATAATATTAGATTGATTTTAGTGCTTAGCCAATCAAAATTGAAGTATCTACTAAAATTTGGATTTTATCTTTAGTTAAGATTTCGTGAAACAGGACCCGGCTTAAGTGAGAAAAATCCATTAAACTTTAAGTGACTTATGGGAGGTACCTTAAAGTTAAGTTATCACTGACACTGGGGATTACTAGGTCTTCATAGCCACTCGTATCTCTGAGATTATAATGGCTTCTTTTAACCGGAGTACACAATGTAGTAGCAGGCCCGTAATGGCGATTTTGACAGTTAGGGAATTGCGATTTAAACCAAGACAATGTCGCGGAGCATAGCTGGCATCAAACTTTTTTCTTTGCCGTCATGGCCAGGAATTTGGGATTCTAAAGTGTAGCAACTGACACAATTTCTATGAATTTTTCAAATGATAGATTGATAAACAACACCGAATGGTTTGTTCAGTTTAACTTTAAAGCCAACAGCTCTGTGTATTACTAATATGTTGTTTTATATTCGTTATATATTGTAAAATAATAAAGTTTACAATATCCATCATACTACCACTATTCGATAACTGCTATTGAAATCTATTGTTTTTGAAAAACATCTACGAAAACAGCTGTTCCGGCAACGGATGCGTACTATCATAATTTATCATAAATTATAGTCATACTATTTTCGTGCGTTACAATATAATATCTCGACAAATATGTTCCTAGTAATGATAACTTCATAAGATTTTGATAGAATATAGTGGTACTCTTAACGTGGCATAACTTGCGTGCGACGTAATTCGTGATTTTTGGCAGTGGACTTTATTCCCTTAGTTAAAAATTCACGCTTTTTAGCTAGTGTTGGTATTATATATTTTAAGTCTGCAGTTAAGTTTTCACATAGCCAAGTATATATAAAATAGAGCCTTTAAATACCGATTTATGGTAAGTCACAGGGTTAAGTGGAAAAATTAAGTATTTTTACTTAACTTTGAGAAAACCTTTGAATACGGACCCTGTAACCCAGGAAGTTGGGTTTGTTAAGAAAAGTATCCAAGGAGACGATGAGATGATAGTCACTGATGTTGTTACAAAAACCTGTCCAGAAGCTGAACATCTAGTGACTATGAAAATAAGGGTACAAAGATCAGATGAAAGTGAAAGTTTGTTATTGTTTATTAACCTTCTGTCAGTTTAGTGCAGTGTAGACTAAAACCTATTATATAATTATAACACCAAAATTCCACTCTATCACATTCTTACCCTTCAAGAACACCTACCTATAACAATTATGTATTTATCTCATCAGCATGTTAAATTTTGTTATCATAGTTTGTTATATTTTCTTTATTGTTGGGTTTTCTTTTGAGTAATTGGGCTACATTGTTTATAAGGATTGGGTCCACTATAGAATAATCTCGTTAGTTGGCTTCCAAATTGATGTTTTCTCTTTAAATACATATTTTAGTATCTTTTTATTCTTATATAGCCCATATTTTAGTATCTTTTTATTCTTATATAGCCCACACTAGCTTATTTAATTATGGTCATTTAAAGTTGGCATTCGTTTCAATATTTATTTGTTAGAGATCATGAACATAATTACAATTTAGAATCATTTTCATACAAGCCATGTCATTCTGTGTACAGCTCATACAGTTAATTAGTCATATATTAAAGTCACACGGTTAGATTATTTGTGTTATATGTATAATTAAGTCAAGTAGAGCGACATTAATGTCTATATATAATAATATTGATTTCCTATGACTCTTCAACGGGATGTTTGTGTATGGATGTCATAGTACTGAAAGGTGTTCAGTCTCCAAAAATATCTGATTTAGATTTTGAGATATGAGAGAAAAACCTATTCCAATCTTAATAACGCAATTACGATATCAACATTTTTAAAAGCAATTTTTGTGAAAGTTACGACCTTTGTGAAATTTTGCATAGAGAATCAACCTCAATATGATTAGTGATCCTATGCAGAAAAAAGCTATTTCAGAACTATGGCATCGGTATGTCGATGTGCAAATAAAATTGAATGCATTTCTTCACACATTTGGCATAACTATTTTGTCATTTCATTTGATATCAATTTATAGTTTGGTTCATATTCTAGAAAGCTGATTAGGACTAAACAATGTCTAACGTTGAAGGAGCGAAGAAAAAACTTTTCAAATTATTTAACCTTAATCAGCGATTTGGAATATTCTGTCCCTTAACGACATTTTTTTGTTTTATAGTCTTGCTAATAGGAGTTTTGTTATACAGGTGTCTATATAACTAGATATTATAATGTCATGTATAACAAAAATACATAGGTGTATATTATAATATTATGTTACCAACATTATTATTACTTTATTTTCCAAGACACATATAGGGATGATGGTGTGGAATCAGTAGAAATTAATATAAAATTTAAACGAATATAACTTAAGTCTCTAACTCAATATCATCCAAAGTCTTCTGGCATGTTGAGGCTTTAAGTGAGCAAACGAAATTCAATTTATTATACCAAACTAGAATATAAGACAAAGTTTAGAAACATATTTCCCAATCGATGCAGAGCAGTAGGGAGCTTAACCCCATTTCATTCCACAAACATATACATGTATACTTTTTAACAAAGGGTTTACTACACAAAATATGATTACACAAACAAATATCTTAGAAAATTATCAATGACTTAGCCCGATCAATTGGACAAATAGCTTGTAATCTTTGAATTACTTTGAGGAAAGCCCTTTTCGAAATATCACTGACTTACACTCTGCCTTGCCCATAATAAATGTATAGGTGAATAATATATTAGCAATAGGAAATGATATTCCATATATGCTGGAGAAATCAATTTATTCAGTACTTCCCAATAAATCTTTCAATTTAAATAAATAATACAAAAGCACAATTATGCATGCAGTTGTTGTCGGGATTGAATGAAACGCTTCCTATATCAAGCAGCTGGGAATAGCGATGAATTGTGTAGGCTATAAATAATTTAGTATTTTTTTACTACACCACCTAATGAAATAATAGTGCTTATATCAGCATTGGGCTAAATCAGGTACTCGTAATCATATCCATCCAGGGTATAGACAATGAGTCAACTCGAACACTATATCCTGTTTGTCATTAAAAGTTATATATATATACTATATCATTTACAAACAGTGGGGCTATTTATGAAGTAAATAACAGTGATTTAACTACATGTACTTTACTAGTTGGATTGGTTATAGTTCTTCTAATTGCTGTCATCATGTCCCAGAAAGAACAATATAGTATTCCTCCTGGACCATTTGCTTGGCCGATTGTTGGTAATGCCTTTTCTATGGGTGGTAAATACAAAGGAAAGCGGCACAAGTACTTTGACGACATGCGAAAAAGGTATGGAAGTATCTATAGTTTCTATTTTGCCAATCAGCTGCACGTAGTATTGAATGATGCAGAATCCATTGAAGAAGCATTTGTGAAGCATAAGAGTGAGTTCAGTAACAGACCAGCAGATGCATTCTGGATAGTGAGGGAAATCAACAAATATGGAACAGGCATCGTCTGGTCAAATGATGACGCATGGAAGGTAAAGACGGGGTTAGCACACCAGATTCTCGGAGAATCAAATCTTGAAGATATGGTGAGAGCGGAAACAAAAGTTGTGTTAGATGTTTTATCTCAGTCAGATGGAAAGCCATTGGCCAGTCAAAAACTGTTCTTAAATGCAACGGTAAACATCATTAGTCGTATACTTTTGGGTTCCAGATTTGACGACAATGATCCTGACTTCCTCCGCATTATCGATGTAGTTTCAACAGCTTTTACAAACGAGGGAACGTTTTCAATGCTCAACGTGTTCCCAAAACTACGCTTTTTACCGTGTATAGCATCCAAATTAAGAGTACTTTTTGACAAAGTTGGCACAGTACGAAATTATCTGTCTGGACAAATTAGTGAACACGAAAAGCAACACACAAAAGATAAACCAAACGATTTAATTGACGTTTACCTGTCCAAAAAAGATCAAGATGACGGAATGAAATTAGTTAGCGAAGGTGATCTTGTAAGACTTATCTTGGAGGTATTCCCAGCAGCTTCGGTTACAACAACGTTTTCTTTGAACTGGGCGTTACTTTATATGATTCTACACCCAGAGATACAAAAGAAATGCCAAGATGAAATTGAAAGCGTTGTTGGTACCGATCGGATGGTACATTGGTCAGACAGATCAAAGCTGCCTTACACACAGGCAACTCTTCTGGAAATTCAACGTGTTGCAAGTGTTACCGCAACATCTATTCCATATACACCAACCAAAGATGTCGTTCTATCAGGTTTCTTGATTCCAAAGGACTGTATAGTTATTGGTAATTTGTATAGTTGTCACTTTGATGAACAAACATGGGACGAACCCTTAGTTTTTAAGCCCGAAAGGTTTCTTAATGATGATGGAAACCCGACAAAACCTCCTGCTTTCATGCCGTTCTCTGTGGGCCCAAGAAGTTGTCCAGGTCAAACTCTTGCCGTATTGGAGTTATTTGTATTTTTTACTAATATTTTACAGAAGTTCTCTCTGACTGGTAGTGGAGAGTTGAGTACAGATGGTAATTATGCCATCTTCTTGTCGCCGCCTCCATTTCTTATTCATGCAAAAAGTAGACAGTTATAGTATAACATGTAATTAATAATGAGGTATTCAACATTCAATCAGCATTATATTGTGTTCTTAAACGTTTAAATGATTTCAGTTTCATCGTTACTTTCTATCGTTAATATAATTGGTCCATTGTTTTAATCGCTTTAATATTTGTACTTAATTGATAGTTAAAGGAGCTAAATCGCTAATATTTGGCACCTAGAAATTGACACAAATGGGTCACAATGCATATAGGCTAATAATGTAATATGAATGTATATATAAACTGATTTACATTCAAACGTTTCTGTTTTTACTATAATTTCTAATCAGTTATGTTCGGCGAAATACGCCAGAAGTCTCTACATCCCTGATATTTGGGACCTATAAATTGACACAATTGGGTCACAACGCATCATATAGGCTAATAATGTAGTATACTACAGAACAGTATTGTGGTCATTTCATCTACACTGCAAGTTATGTTCGGCGAAATACGCTAGAGGTCTCAATCCAATGGCAATCTCTAGCGTCTGGTTTTTCCAGTCTACACAGACAGTATTTATTGCGCATGCTCTCCAGATAAGAATATGGCGTCACCGTTTGACATGACTAGCGGAATATATCTAGCCTCGTTCTTCGAGCCCCTTGTTACAAATGGCACTGAAACGCATTATGGTACACGATTCGTGTATTTTACACTTAGACTGCTGGTTAAAATTCATAAAGATATTATCACCAAAACAAAAATTGAATTAGTTATTGTTCTTTGAATAAAGGTCATTTTGGATCTGAATAATCAATAGATATATTAATTGGCTAGGTCGACTGATTTTTCTTATCCCGGAGATAAATTAAACAATTTTGACAAATGGCTTTACACTTGGGGGTATCAATTAGCAATAATCCAGATAATTGGATAATCCACAGTAATTCAAACGGCTTAAAAAATCTATTAATGTTTAACTTTATGTCTTAGAGATCATAAAATATCGATGTCATTTTTTATTTATATTGTATGTATGTCGATTGTCTCTTCTGGAGTGTGTCTATAGCAACCCTGAGTATTTGTATATAATATTCTTGACTTATCCTCCCTTTAAGAAGTTTATTCTTATAGTCCGTATATTTAGCCTAGATATAGCAGCATGAATTGAGACTGGACATGTAAGAAAATTCAAGTAAGTTGTTTCTACTCTAAATTCAACTACCGCATTACATGGACTAAAAATACCGATAGCAAGAATGTATCAAAAGCTGTCCAAGCAAAACGCTATTTGTAACCCGTAGTAATTTCAGAAGACATTTTTTTAATATTAATAAATGGTGGTTGGTCAAGAAATCCAACACATAGACTATAACCTGCATTCATACCGAAATTAAATGGCGTAACAAATGTCCAGTCTAAGATAGTGGCGTGGGTGGAGTTGAGTGGGGTATTATGCATGTATTAAGGGTAGTTACTTGTACAAAGTTGTTTAGTGTCCGCGGGGTCATCATTTATCAACAACGAATAAAGATTTCTGAATTTAATTGAGCTTGCAACACACAAACTACTCCAGGGTAATATTGGATCATCTCATTCTCTGGTTTACTGTTAGGACAATATTCTCAAATAAAAAATAAACGGCAAATAAAAAATGGTGTAGCTACTGCTTTTCCTATCAATGTGCGGTGATACCCCCCCCCCCCCCCCCACTAAAAAAGAGAAAGAAAAACCAACAGTACACGTTAAAACGCGAAACGTTATAGCTTCGCAAAAACCTACAGTGTTTTGTTTATTTGAATCAATGTACTCCAATCTTAAGAATTAGTATGTTAGTCCGGTGGCTGAAGTGGTGGGGGAATCGCCACCCGAGCTGTGAATTTATGAGACCAAGGTTTTCTAGACCAGTTTTTTGCGTAGATTCCGGATCTGGGTGGTGATCAGCCGTATGATTACTGACTTACATTCTGTCTTGCCAATGATGAATGTTCAGGTCAATCATTAGTTGCAATAGGAAATGATATTTCAGTACTTCACATTAAATCTTTCAATTTAAATAAATAATACAAAAGCAGAATATAAATCGTATCGATCGCGAAATATGCATACAGTTGTTTTCAGGACTGAATTTTTACTACACGACCTAATAGATAAAAGTTCATATTTCACATAGGAATCTGGGATAAATCAGACAGAATTATAACCAACCAGTGTATAGACAAGGATCTTAAATTAAATAAGTCAACTCGACAACTATATTCTATTTGTATATTATTTACGGAAGAAATACAAACTGTGTGACTATTTATAAAGTGAATAACAAGACTGCCATTAAGGATGGATGTGTTAAACATGTTCAGTGATTTAACTACATGTACTTTACTAGTTGGATTGGTTATAGTTCTTCTAATTGCTGTCATCATGTCCAAGAAAGAACAATCTGGTATTCCTCCTGGACCATTTGCTTGGCCGATTGTTGGTAATGCCTTTTCTATGGGTGGTAAATACAAAGGAAAGCGGCACAAATACTTTGACGACATGCGAAAAAGGTATGGAAGTATCTATAGTTTCTATTTCGCCAGTCAGCTGCACGTAGTTTTGAATGATGCAGATTCCATTGAAGAAGCATTTGTGAAGCATAAGAGTGAGTTCAGTAACAGACCAGCAGATTCATTCTGGATCGTGAGGGAAATCAACAAATATGGAACAGGCATCGTCTGGTCAAATGATGACGCATGGAAGGTAAAGACGGGGTTAGCACACCAGATTCTCGGAGAATCAAATCTTGAAGATATGGTGAGAGCGGAAACAAAAGTTGTGTTAGATGTTTTATCTCAGTCAGATGGAAAGCCATTGGCCAGTCAAAAACTGTTCTTAAATGCAACGGTAAACATCATTAGTCGTATACTTTTGGGTTCCAGATTTGACGACAATGATCCTGACTTCCTCCGCATTATCGATGTAGTTTCAACAGCTTTTACAAACGAGGGAACGTTTTCAATGCTCAACGTGTTCCCAAAACTACGCTTTTTACCGTGTATAGCATCCAAATTAAGAGTACTTTTTGACAAAGTTGGCACAGTAAGAAATTATCTGTCTGGACAAATTAGTGAACACGAAAAGCAACACACAAAAGATAAACCAAACGATTTAATTGACGTTTACCTGTCCAAAAAAGATCAAGATGACGGAATGAAATTAGTTAGCAAAGGTGATCTTGTAAGACTTATCTTGGAGGTATTCCCAGCAGCTTCGGTTACAACAACGATTTCTTTGAACTGGGCGTTACTTTATATGATTCTACACCCAGAGATACAAAAGAAATGCCAAGATGAGATTGAAAGCGTTGTTGGTACCGATCGGATGGTACATTGGTCAGACAGATCAAAGCTGCCTTACACACAGGCAACTCTTCTGGAAATTCAACGTGTTGCAAGTGTTGCCGCAACATCTGTTCCACATACACCTACCAAAGATGTCGTTCTATCAGGTTTCTTGATTCCAAAGGACTGTATAGTTATCGGTAATTTGTATAGTTGTCACTTTGATGAACAAACATGGGACGAACCCTTAGTTTTTAAGCCCGAAAGGTTTCTAAATGATGATGGAAACCCGACAAAACCTCCTGCTTTCATGCCGTTCTCTGTGGGCCCAAGAAGTTGTCCAGGTCAAACTCTTGCCGTATTGGAGTTATTTGTATTTTTTACTAATATTTTACAGAAGTTCTCTCTGACTGGTAGTGGGGAGTTGAGTACAGATGGTAATTATGCCATCTTCTTGTCGCCGCCTCCATTTCTTATTCATGCAAAAAGTAGACAGTAGTATAACATGTAATTAATAATGAGGTATTCAACATTCAATCAGCATTATATTGTGTTCTTAAACGTTTAAATGATTTCAGTTTCATCGTTACTTTCTATTGTTAATATAATTGGTCCATTGTTTTAATCGCTTTAATATTTGTACTTAATTGATAGTTAAAGGAGCTAAATCGCTAATATTTGGCACCTAGAAATTGACACAAATGGGTCACAATGCATATAGGCTAATAATGTAATATGAATGTATATATAAACTGATTTACATTCAATCGTTTCTGTTTTTACTATAATTTCTAATCAGTTATGTTCGGCGAAATACGCCAGAAGTCTCTATATCCCTGATATTTGGGACCTATAAATTGACACAATTGGGTCACAACGCATCATATAGGCTAATAATGTAGTATACTACAGAACAGTATTGTGGTCATTTCATCTACATTGCAAGTTATGTTCGGCGAAATACGCTAGAGGTCTCAATCCAATGGCAATCTCTAGCGTCTGGTTATTCCAGTCTACACAGACAGTATTTATTGCGCATGTTCTCCAGATAAGAATATGGGGTCACCGTTTGACATGACTAGCGGAATATATCTAGCCTCGTTCTTCGAGCCCCTTGTTACAAATGGCACTGAAACGCATTATGGTACACGATTCGTGTATTTTACACTTAGACTGCTGGTTAAAATTCATAAAGATATTATCACCAAAACAAAAATTGAATTAGTTATTGTTCTTTGAATAAAGGTCATTTTGGATCTGAATAATCAATAGATATATTAATTGGCTAGGTCGACTGATTTTTCTTATCCCGGAGATAAATTAAACAATTTTGACAAATGGCTTTACAATTGGGGGTATCAATTAGCAATAATCCAGATAATTGGATAATCCACAGTAATTCAAACGGCTTAAGCAATCTATTATTGTTTAACTTTATGTCTTAGAGATCATAAAATAACGATGTCATTTTATATTTATATTGTATGTATGTCGATTGTCTCTTCTGGAGTGTGTCTATAGCAACCCTGAGTATTTGTATATAATATTCTTGACTTATCCTTCCTTTAAGAAGTTTATTCTCATAGTCCGTATATTTAGCCTAGATATAGCAGCATGAATTGAGACTGGACATGTAAGAAAATTCAAGTAAGTTGTTTCTACTCTAAATTCAACTACTGCATTACATGGACTAAAAATACCGATAGCAAGAATGTATCAAAAATTCTCCAAGCAAAACGCAATTTGTAACCCGTAGTAATTTCAGAAGACATTTTTTTTAATAAAGGGTGGTTGGTCAAGAAATCCAACACATAGACTATAACCTGCATTCATACCGAAATTAAATGGCGTAACAAATGTCCAGTCTAAGATGGTGGGTTGGGTGGAGTTGAGTGGGGTATTATGCATGTATTAAGGGTAGTTACTTGTACAAAGTTGTTTAGTGTCCGCGGGGTCCTCATTTATCAACAACGAATAAAGATTTCTGAATTTAATTGAGCTTGCAACACACACACTACTCCAGGATCATATTGGATCATCTCATTATCTGGTTTACTGTTAGGACAAGATTCTCAAAAAATGGTGTAGCGGCTGCTTTTCCTATCAATGAGAACTCCCCCCCCCCTCCCCGCCCCCTCTCCGCCCCCTCTCAAAAAAGAAAAGAAAACCAAACAACAGTACACGTTGAAATGCGAAATGTTATAGCTTCGCGAAAACCTAGAGTTTTTTGTTTATTTGAATTAATGGACGCCAAGCTTAAGAATTAGTATGTCGATTTCAGGTTGGTCCTATATGTCTCTTGTGACCCATGGAAACGAGTAACACCAACACGATTCCTTTTCCGTTTCTAGTCCATTCTTTTAATGCTAATCAATACTACAAGACCAACAAGTGAGTTGATCGATTCTCTACAAACATGAAGGCTATAAATAATTTTAATACAAAAGAGAATTAAGGTATTCGTATAAACAATTCATAATACAGTCTAAGGGTTTCTGGTATCCAACCATTAGTCAGCATTGATTCATAGATTTACTAAAGAAATCCCAACCTTAAGTCTTAAAGGAATAGCCCTTTTATTGTTTGACATCGATTAACAACGTGTAATTCCGTCTTGGTGCTTTGAGAAAAGTGGGAAGCACATGGTCTGTCGAGTGCCTGGTAAAAAACAATTTCGTTATGGTTCTGAATTTTAAAGGTACCTCCTAACCAATAGCTTCTGAAATTCAAGTCTAGTCTATTATTCTATTTTTCTCTCATTTACGTTAGTAAAATATACTCCCATCACTCATACGTTTCAATGTTGAGAAAATCAGGATTATAGCCTCCTTGGCAGAGTATATTTGTTCTTTGTACAACACCCGAATGTAAACCGATGCTACTAGAAATTTTGTTCCACGTTCACTGCAGTTGTTGTGCCCCTGTCACCAGGTATTCAGAGCAGACGTATTAGCGAAATGTGATGGGATTTCAAGAATGTTTATTAGCCCTTTGATGATATTGTGTTTAAAAATAGACCTAATAAATGGACTTTATTTTTAACATGACTATTTGAATGATTAGATTTCATAGTCTTTGTGTTCGCAATTAAGCAATTACTGGCCACGTAAGATAGATCAATACACACAAAAACTTTTTTTTTTAAATCCCCCCAAAACAAAGAGCATCGTCATTTGGTTGCGTAGATCACATTTTGAAACAACGTTGATATTTTTTTAACTGCTTATCATGCTTTACTTTAATGCATTCGGTGTAAAACGGATGAGTCTATTCTTCAAGGTTACCGCAATAGTCCAACATGTATTTCATTCTCTCTAAATGTAAATGAATAGGTCACCACGTATGAATAAATGATAATATAGTTAAATTATTAGTCATTACATGAAAGTCACACGGTCAGATTATTTGCGTTGTATGTATTATTAAGTCAAGTAGAGCGACATTAATATCTACATATAATATTATTGATTTCCTATGACTTTTCAACGGGATGTTTGTGCATGTCTATGTGTATTTCTTCATACATTTGACATAACTAATTTGTCATTTCATTTGCTATCAATTTAAATTTTGGGTCATATTCTAGAAAGCTGATTAGGGCTAAAAATGTTAAACGTTGAAGCGAACAAAACTTTAAAGTTATTTAACCGTAATCAGCTATCTGGAATATTTTGTCCCTTAATGACGTTTTTTGTTTTATAATCTTGCTAATAGGAGTTTTATAATACAGGTGTCTATATAACTAGGTGTATATTATAATATTATGTACATAACCTTGATCCTAAATACATAGCCTATACAAATAATTATAAAACGATTTGATATAGTGTGGGCTCAAATAGTTTGACCCAATTTTATTTGCCCACGATGTAGGCGGTATTTAAAAATGAACCCACCGAACTCCTCTTCACTTTGTACACATTCATGGCTTTCTTTTAGTACGTGTAGTTCAATGTGCTTTATTTACAAAAAAACCTCCTTAAAGGCACAAGAAGCCAGATAGAGAAACGCACGCACACACACACCCTCACACATATCACACGCTGTTTTAATGTAGGTAAGCATGCGCTAGCTTGTACGAATAAGATACCAATATATTTCTATGACTTTATTTTCTAAGACAAATAAAGATGATGGTGTGGAGTCAGTAGAAATTAATATAAAATTTAAACGAATAAAGACTTTTGATATGGTATTGTCTTAAACTCTGTGCTAAATTCTTTATATGACATGTTTATGCTTTAAGTGAGCAAAGGAAATTTAATTTATTGTACCAAACTGGAATATTAGTTTATATAGAAACATAATTCCCAATCGATACAGAATAGTAAGGCGCTAAACCCCATTTCATTTCACAAACATATCTACTTTTTAACAAAGGGTTTGCTAACGTATATGCAATAAACCGTTTGCAATATAATTACACAAATATTTTAGCCCGATCAATAAAACAAATAGCTTGCAATCTTTAATTACTCTGAAAAATGTCCTTCTCTAATTATTAACAGGAGCAAATCCAGTGGGTGGTGGGTGTGGGGGTATAACCCCCCTCCCCAACCCATACTCAGCTACATAAAAAACGGTAAAAACAACACTGTTTATGAGAAAAATGTAACGGTCGAGTGCCTTATCTTTTATCATCGGATAGTGGGATGGGATGGATATTCTAAGCACCAGATAATGATATAGACATATGTGTTATAATAATAATAATAATAATAATAATAATAGCGAGTTCTTATATTGCGCACAGATCCATTAAAGTTAATGCTCAAGGTGCATGACAATCGTTATGACAATTAATATTTTGCATCAATGAAATTGAATCACAGTGTGGCCCTATTAAATCATTATAAAAATTGACGTCAAACGGTGTTTTGGATTTCTCTCTTCAATGTGTATGTATATCTACGCAATTTGGAGACTATGATGGCATCATGCATTCGGGCCCGTATCTACAGGGGGCGCGGGGGGGGGGGGGGCATGCTAACAATCATTAAAGTATACACAGTTCCTTATATTGACCTAAAAAAAACTAGGATTCCCTAAGCAGGGGGAGGTATAATTCAGGCGACTATGCGCATATTAATCCCACGGTATCTCATTACTTTATAAACCATTTTTTTTGTACTAATCTAAAATAGTTTTAAATAAATTTAAAAAATCACGATTTTTTTTTTGTTTGAATACTTATTTTAAAATGCTTATTAGACGCCTAGGTAACTACATAGCATGATGATTACAACAGTCTGTTAGAATGACCTTTCCGAAAATTTCCTCAAAATGTTCGCCCCCCTACCGAAAGGTAATCCCCCCCCCCCACACTTAATGGTGTCTAGATACGGGCCCGCATGCATTGTCAACTGCAATGTCAAATTTCCATAACAGGACCCTGGCCATACCCCCACCCCCCTTGCAAAAATTCCTGGATCCGCCCCTGATTACTGACTTACATTCTGTCTTGCCAATGATGAATGTTCAGGTGAATCAATAGTTGCAACAGGAAATGATATTTCAGTACTTCACATTATACAAAAGCACAATGTAAATTGCGAAATATGCATACAGTTGTTGTCAGGATTGAATGAGACGCCCCATAAATCACGCAGCTGGACATAGCGACGAATTGTGTAGGCTATAAAGAATTTGGTATTTTTTACTACGCGACCTAGATAGATAAAAGTTTTATATTTCACAGTAGGAATCTGGTAAAACCTGCGAACCACTGGGATGAATCAGACATGCTTATAACCGTCCAGTGTATAGACAAGGATCTCAAATAAAAGAAGTCAACTCGACAACTATATTCTGTTTGTCATTAAATATATATCATATTTTTTACGGAAGAAATACAAACTGTGTGACTATTTATAAAGTGAATAACAAGACTGCCATTGAGGATGGATGTGTTAAACATGTTCAGTGATTTAACTCCATATACTTTACTACTTGGGTTGGTTATGGTGCTTCTAATTGCTGTCATCATGTCCCAGCAAGAACAACCTGGTATTCCTCCTGGACCATCTGCCTGGCCGGTTGTTGGTAATGTCTTCGATATGGGTGGTAAATACAAAGGAAAGCGGCACAAATACTTTGACGACATGCGGAAAAAGTATGGAAGTATCTATAGATTCTATTTCGGCAATCAGCTGTACGTAGTTTTGAATGATGCAGATTCCATTGAAGAAGCATTTGTGAAGCATAAGAGTGAGTTCAGTAACAGACCAGTAGATGCATTCTGGATAGTGAGGGAAAGCAACAAATCTGGAACAGGCATCATCTGGTCAAATGATGACGAATGGAAGGTAAAGCGGGAGTTGGCACTCCAGATTCTCGGAGAATCAAATCTTGAAGATATGGTGAGAGCGGAAACAAAAGTTGTGTTAGATGTTTTATCTCAGTCAGACGGAAAGCCATTGGCGAGTCAAGGCCTGTTCTTAAATGCGACGGTAAACATCATTAGTCGTATACTTTTGGGTTCCAGATTCGACGACAATGATCCTGACTTCCTCCGCATTATCGATGTAGTTTCAACATCTTTTACAAACGAGGGAACGTTTTCAATGCTCAACGTGTTCCCAAAACTACGCTTTTTACCGTTTATAGCATCCAAATTAAGAGTACTTTTTGACAAAGTTGGTAAAGTGCGAAATTATCTTTCTGGACAAATTAGTGAACACAAAAAGCAATACACAAAAGATAAACTAAACGATTTAATCGATGTTTATCTGTCCAAAAATGGTCACGATGACGGAATGAAATTGGTTAGCGAAGGTGATCTTGTAAAACTTATCTTGGAGTTATTCCCAGCAGCTTCTGTTACAACAATGATTTCTTTGAACTGGGCGTTACTTTATATGATTCTACACCCAGAGATACAAAAGAAATGCCAAGATGAGATTGGAAGCGTTGTTGGTACCAATCGAATGGTACATTGGTCAGACAGATCAAAGCTGCCTTACACACAGGCAACTCTTCTGGAAATTCAACGTGTTGCAAGTGTTACCGCAACATCTATTCCACATACACCAACCAAAGATGTCGTTCTATCGGGTTTCTTGATTCCAAAGGATTGTGTAGTTCTTGCTAATTTGTATAGTTGTCACTTTGACGAACAAATATGGGACGAACCCTTAGTTTTTAAGCCCGAAAGGTTTCTAAATGATGCTCGAAACCCGACAAAACCTCCTGCTTTCATGCCGTTCTCTACGGGCCCTAGAAGATGTCCAGGAGAAAGTCTTGTCGTATTGGAGTTATTTGTATTTTTTACTAATATTTTACAGAAGTTCTCTCTGACTGGTAGTGGTGAGTTGAGTACAGATGGTAATTATGCCATCTTCTTGTCGCCGCCTCCATTTCTTATTCATGCAAAAGGTAGACAGTAGTATAACATGTAATTAATAATGAGGTATTCAACATTCAATCAGCATTATATTGTGTTCTTAAACGTTTAAATGATTTCAGTTTCATCGTTACTTTCTATTGTTTAATATAATCCATGGTTTTAATCGCTTTAATATGTACTTTAACTGATAGTTAAACCAAGCTGTATTTGATGTATGTAAATGTTAAATAACTTTCTTATACCTTGTTAATATTGTAATCTGGATTATACATTGTTATTTAAAAAATACCATGGTTTATTGTCTGTTTGGATACATTTAGGTTTGATTTGTGAAGGCAATATAATTATCAGGTCACTGAAATTACCACATATTATTAAGTTTCTTACTTCAACATTTTTAACTCAAAGATACCAAATTCTTGTTTGTTACATTGGTGACGCTCACAAATTCAATGAAAAATAGATTAAGACTACATGAATTAAATTCTGAACACCGTCTTTTGTTACAGTATTGTCTATGGATTAGTTAGTTGTTCGTGGGATCACACCTTACTAATTATAATAATTCCCAGGATTATCGCGACCCACATTATTAAAAGACCTTAATGACTATCATTATTTGTATTCATAATAATGAAGCTAGAAGTTAAGTAACTATGGGGGGGGATGAATGAACACGATTTAAGAATAAATGTAGCGGTGCAGTTGTAAGAAGCACGCGGTGCTGGGATCACATTGGCACCAATTTAAACGCCCTTGATTTAAAGGGGGCAAGTCTTTAACTCAATATCATTCAGTCTTCGAAGTTGCAAACAAAACTTATTGGCCAGTTTAAATCAACAATGATGTTGTTATCTTACCGTGAAAAGATGGGCTGCTGATATCCAAAATGAACATTTTAAAATTGGCACACGAATCGCGTGTCGGGATGAAAATTTAAAATTGGCACACGAATCGCGTGCCAGAATGCGTTCGAGCGCCATTTATTATGAAGCGACCCGATGAACGAGATTAAACAGGAGAATGCTACCGGTGTAAACTGGAATAACCAGACGCTACAGACTGCCATTCAATTTGGACTCTTCGCGTATTTCGCCGAACATAACTGATTAGAAATTAAAGTGAAAACAGAAAAGATTGAATGTTAATCTGTTTATATGCATTCATATTACATTATTAAAGGAGCCAAGTCTCTTACTCAATATTTTCCATAATATTCGAAATAAAAAATACGAATTAGAATTCAATATTGACCAATTTCAATCAGTATTGATGTTGTTATCTTGCCGTGAAACTATATGATCCTAATATCCAATATTTAAGACACAATTAACATTTTATAACCAGTACACGAGTTGTGTACCCTCTTGTTTCAGGTGCCATTTTGTAATGAACAAATAAAAACATATCCTACAGCACAATGTGGAAGTAATTAGTAAAGGCTGATACACAAACGACAAAATAATAATTTAAAAAACGTGAAGAATGGACTAAGCAGGCGTAAACATTTTATAATCAGTACACGAGTCGTGTACCCTATGGTTTCAGGTGCCATTTTGTAATGACCAAATAAAAACATATCCCACAGCACAATGTGGAAGTAATTAGTAAAGGCTGATACACAAACGACAAAATAATAATTTAAAAAACATGAAGAATGGACTAAGCAGGCGTGAACATTTTATAATCAGTACACGAGTCGTGTACCCTATGGTTTCAGGTGCCATTTTTTAATGAACAAATAAAAACATATCCTACAGCACAATGTGGAAGTAATTAGTAAAGGCAGATTCACAAACGACAAAATAATAATGGACTAAGCAGGCGTAAACGACTGTCGTTCAATTTGAACTGTTCACGTATTTCACTGAACATAATTGATTAGAAATTATAATGGGTTTTTTTTTCAAAAATTCAATATAAATCACTTTACATACATTCATATTACATTAATATATGCTTTTGGAACCATTTTCGTCTATTTCAAGGTTCCCAAAAAATAAAGCCATACGCCCTTTAAACATAAAGTTTTACAAAATGTATTTGATTTATACTCCTACATGTCATAGATGAATTATCACCCAATGATTAAGATGACATCAATTTACCATCTCCCAGGTATACTTTTAAATGCCGGCCGATCTTTTAAAGATAAAAAAATGATGTATTTGTGTATGACGAATTAGCTATCTTTGATGTATACACGTGCACCACTGAATAATATGAATGTATTTCATATTTTAATAACATATTGCTTCATAACTGACGTAAACAATCCACCTAAGGTTTTATTTAAGTAGTGAATGCTCATATACCTATATTATAATATACCGTGATATTTGACCTTAACCACTGTAGCGTATCCATCTTAAGAAATCAACCTCGAGCTATGGTATGGATTATATTAATAATGTAAACCTTGGTAGTCTTTACACACAGGGCCGTCGCTATAAACACAACTTCAAATAATATCAATGAATTGACGGTAACATTACCTATAGCTATTTCTATACTGCTGTATATGGATAAAACGTAAGTAAACCTTGTAGATTTAATAGCATATTTTAGAACAGCTGCACATTTTTGTGACTTTAATGGCTAATCAGTCTTGGTTGGTCATTAATCTCTTAGTTACATGTTAAGTATGTTTCCATTTTTATAAATAACACAAACGTATTTCCATTTGTAGAGTCATAAATACTGCTTTATGCCATAGTTAAAGATGCGGAGCGAGAGAAGGTCAATACAAATTTTCCATATTTTTAATGTATCTCCTTGTAATCGATGTTTGTGGTTTGAAATGGGTTATTGGTCAGACAGAAGTATTGTTTTATTCCTTTAGTAAAGATATTACTTAGTTTATTATGTCTGAATTTAAACTCCGAGGTCCCGTGTATACATTGATGTGCACGTGAAAGATCCCTTGGCAGTTTGAATTCGCTATAAGAGTAGGCCATAGTGTCACTGTCCGGGCGAAATTTCCCTTATAGCACATTGTATGACGTATGCCTGTCTTCATTACCCCAGTCAGAGCAGAACAATAGGACGTTAAACCCCATTTCATTTCATTTCATTTCGTTATGAAGTTCCCATCTAAAAAATCAGTGGTGCAGAGAGATTGAGCACAACATCGTGTAATAAACTTATGCAGCCCCACTACCCCATCCCTCTCAGATTCGTGCACAGAGCCCCCTCATTGGACAAATTCTGATTACTATTTACTGCAAATGTACTTTGCCATATCATAACCTTGATTTTGTACTACTCACAGTCGTCAATCAAAAACTCTTAATAAGTAACATATACTTATATCTCCAAGCTAAATAATTAGTAAGGCAAAAAATATTAATCACGGGTTCAACCATTACAGTTGTATTTAACACAACTCAGCAGGACACATAACTTATCTTTCAGATAATAATATATCAATTAATAAAACACTACATAAGGAAGTGTATATTAAGACTTGTGGGCTATTGAAGATACATCATGTAAGATTTAGATAAAGAGCTAACCATTCTTGCTATACTAGTTCGAAACAGATAATGCAAAATGAATATGTTGAAAATTTCATTCAAATTACTCTACTGCGAGCAAAGATATTAACCTATGAAGGTTTGACAAGATGTGTGCAAAACATCGTACTGGTTGTTCGAAGCTAAGCCTCGCTTCTCCATTGTTTAAAATTAAATCAAAATATGGCTGAACCATTCTAATCTACTTAATATCGGAGATATCCGATGGCACCGAGAGTTGATTACGGTCTTGTCATGTTAATAAATGTCTAATTAATAGCCTATATAACATTTCAGGCTTAAAGAAAGACCTGCAATAGACAGATTTAGCTCTCGCATAATGCCTGTTTAATGGAGTCTCACATCCAACATCGTAGGTTTTCTTCGCGTCCCCCTGTTTCCCCCAGTGTTAAAGACCTCTGTTGAAATAAAATTTAACTCTCTCTCTCTCTCTAGAGTCTCGATAAGATGTGCCGTTAATATGGGTACATATAACTACAAATGCAGTCATAAACCATGACTAACAATACAGTGCACATGGGCGTTCCCCCGCTACAATTGACTAAAATATCACCTAAACAAGTATATATTATATATAAGACCCGTGGGCTATTAATGGAGTATGCCATTAAAATCATGTGTTAAGATATGATGTTAATATGGGTACATATTATAACTAATGCAGTCAAAAGCCATACAATGACGAACCATATAATGCACATGGGCGTACCTCTGCTAAAATTATTCAATATTAACGATAAGGCAGTTCGGAACCCATCATAAATTAATCATAAAACCTTTTCTTGTAGGCCGTGAAAGACCAGATTTTGTGAAATGGCGTCACCGAAACCAGCGAGACTTCGACGTCTGACCAAACAGACATCATTTTTTGTTTCTCCTGGCGATGCTTCAGAAGATGGCGATTTTGTTGCGTTGCGCAATATACGAGAGGTAAGAAATATGACATAAATATATTTTGTAACCATTAATTAGAGTTTTAACTCAGGTTTATTAAAATTTCAATTTACCGATTTAGATGAAAAGAGGCACTAGGATATTCCATTTATGAGGCCCCTCCCCACTCCACCCACCCCACCCCTCAACCCTACAAGACTAGAGAAAGGTGAAAGTGTGTACAGCAGGGAATGATGACGGATGTTTAAGACTACAGCGAGTGCAAGAAAGGCCTACACACCTTGGCCGCAAGCTTAAGCCTGCAAAGCCTATAGGTGAATTCGACACTGAAAAGAATAGGTCAGCACCTTATGTGTGGCACAGTATCTGAATAACTATGTAAACACAGAGCGTGTTATATTTTCTTTCATTTGTGTTTCAGCATAAACGATCCATCAAATCATCTAAACCAAGTTTGGATCAGATAGACGAGTCTCCTCTACCTATTAGAAAGGTATCCCAAAGTGAAATAACTTTAAAATCAGAAAGTCAGAACACTAAGGACGTATTAAAAGAAAAGCTGTTCAAATTCATCGAAGTTGGTAAGATAGAACAAGTCAAACAGTGTATAGAGAACAACGTTCCTGCAAATATATCTGCACTGTCAGGAGATGCTTACCGTAGAAAAGTTACAAAAGAAAACATTCTTCATGTCGCTCTTGCTAATAAACATATTGAAATAGCTCGTTATATAATTGATAAAATTAACGAAAGTCAGCCAGACTTACTTTTCCAGGCATGTGAAGTTTCACTGAAAACTACTCAAGGAGTTAAAAATGTTCTACACATGGTAACCGAGCTACACGATTTGCCCTTGGCCAAAATCATCATTCAGAAGATCCATAATAAAGAAAAGATTATGTCAACACTCCGCGAAGAAAGTCCTGTACAAATCCAGGGCCAGAGACCTAGAACCTTCCCGTGTCTTCATTTGGCTGCCTTCAATGGTTTCACAGATATGGTTGAGTTTTACTTAGATTGCGGAATGGATTGTAATTATCTGAACCAAAAGAAAGACACGGCTTTGTTATGGGCAGCCAGGTGGAATCATACCGAGACAGTTAAAGCTTTGTTGGCAAGGAAGGCGAATCCGAATGTTGCGAATGATAAGGGTTCTACTGCCCTTTATTGGGCTGTCAGATACGGTCATACAGAAACCGTGGAGCTGCTACTAACGCAAGGAAAAGCTAAGCCGGACCAAACAAGAAAACTTGGTTTAGTTGCTCCCATAGTGTTGGCGTCAGCACTCGGATACAACGAAATAGTTAAAATCCTACTAAGAAACGGAGCCAATGTTAATCATGTTATTAGGGGGAGGGAAATGCCAATACACCATGCTGCACGAGAGGGGCACGTGGATGTTCTAAAAACCCTGATTACCAGAGGAGCCAGTTTTGACAAACCCGATGAGAGAGGAGACACGGCGCTGCTCTTGGGAGCTAAATATGGGCATCCAGATATCGTTAAGACATTAGTGAAAAATGGTGCCGATATGAAGAAAAAGAACTTGCTAGGTGAAGATGTTTGGTTGAATGCAGTTAACAATTCCAACGAATTCTTCACTTTGCTTCTTAATACTTTGGTAGAAATGGATATGCTTACACCCACTGTGACAGACGATGGTGATAAACTCATTAAAATAGGTTGTTCCAAGTCACCACTCTTTCATGCAGCCGTACTGGGGAAGTGCGATAAGATTGAACATTTTCTTAATTCGAAGCTTGATCCATTGGAACTAGACGAAGATGGAAATACATTTTTGATGGTCGCTGCAAAGCACGATCAACACGAAGTTGTTCAGAAATTCAAAACCAAATGCCCTATTGATGCCCAAAATACAAAAGGTAACACCGCTCTTCACATTGCTTGTCTTAAGGGAAACCATGATACCATAACGACACTTGTTAATAACAAAGCTAAAGCAAACATAAAAAATACCAATGGCGAAACTGCGCTTCATGTGTCAGCTTATTCTAAAAATATTCGCGCCGATACAGTGAAAATATTAATCAACCATGTCATTAAAACGCATGCATGGGAGTGTTTAAATGTACCTGATAAAGAGGGTAAAAATCCCTTGCATATAGCAGCTATGTATGCATCCCCGGAAGTGCTTTGGGAGTTCCGTTTTGTGCGTTATAAGGATTTGGATAGTGATGGTAACAACGCTTTACAAGTTGGTGTTCGTCCAGGAGACGAAGAATCGTTTTTGGTAATGATGGACATCTTTGATACAATGAAGAGAGACGCTGATATCAATAACCAAAATTGCCGAGATGAATCGGTTCTTCATTTGGCCGCATCGGAGTGCTTTGGAGAAGGTGTTCGAAGGTTGGTACTGTTTGGGGCTGATTTATCGCTTAAAGATTCATATGGCGATACTGTGCTTCATCGTTTAACACGGGCATCGTTAGAGAATCCAGATACTTTACCCAAATATCTTGAAGTTTTTGACATCGTCATAGCCGAGTCAGTACGCTGGTGGTGTATCAAGAACAATCTTCATTACCCAGATGATAACAAGCAGGATTACCTAAAATACAAAAGATCTGCTGTGCTGGACCTTACCAAGAATTTATACAACAACAACGATCTAAGTGTACTAGCATTAGCTTGCACCTTGGGAGCTTCTGAAATCATCGAAAGGCTGACTCAGATGAAGGATGTTATGTGCTTTCACACTGGGGCGGACCGAGTGAGGTACGACGTTACCTATTTTACACCCCTGACCAACAATTCTCTGAGAGGGTTATGCAGTAACACTCGTGTTGTACCAAGACCGTCATGTGTAGAGTGGCTGCTGGCAACGGAAAATTTAGAAAAGGCTTCGCATGTGCTAGATCTTCCCCCGGTGTCATATATTGAGAAATCTTATTCCTCTATCGCTGCCTGGACATATGCTCTTCTTATAATATTCCATATCATTTACATGAGTCTGTTTAGTTTTTGTGGAGTGACATTACAAGATAAAATTCGCAGAAACGTCAATGACAGCGATGCTCAAGTTGCAACTGTACTTCTTTACGTGGTAGTCATAATAGAACCCGCTATTATTATAATTTATATGGTTTATGAACTTATTAAATATTTGTGCTGCGGGGAGCAGAAAATGAAACTGAAATTAAAAAGAGGGAAAAGCAGTGTATTCAATACTTCTGTAAGTTATATGGGAACATTTATCAGTTTGCTGTACGCTTTATTGGTTATTGTGTGGATGATCCTATATCTCAGCAGCAGTGTCTATCAAAATTATTTCCTTTCGGTTTCTCTGGCAGTGGGCTGGCTTTACACTATAGTCTTTACTCGTGGATTCAAACTCATCCATTATTTCTGGAGAATGATACAAAACATGATTATCAAGGATGTGGCCAAATTTTTGTTTGTTTATTTATTCGTTTTGCTGGCCTTCTCGTTCGCTTTTCATGTAATGTTTCAAGTCTCCGATGACATCGTTTTAAGTTTTTCCAATCCACTTCACACCATGTTTTTAGTGTTTAACATGATGTTAGGAATGGATGAAATATTCACAGACGAATTTGAAACAAACATGAACGCAGTCGGTTACACGACAGTCTTCACAAAGGTAATCTATTTGTTTTACATGGTTTTGGGGACTATTGTGTTGTTGAATCTGCTCATAGCTATGATGAACGATTCTTATTCCGCTACTCTAACTAAGCAGAAATTACAGTGGAGAATTGAATCAGTTCAGTTAGGAGTCAACATAGAGAAGATGCTGCCAATTGCTAGTAGGTTGTTTAGCCGCATTAAGATGCATCACGGCATAGTGGTTCCAGGTGATGGTGACAATAAAGAAATAGGCTGGTATTTAGAAGTATCGTCTAGTATGTCCACAACCAGTGCCACGAGTAAGACGAATACTGAAACAGAGCTCATCAACCATTTGAATGACAGAATTACGGCCCTCGATACCAAAATATCCGAAAATATGAAAATGTTCCATTCAACTCTACAGGACATGCATCATTTCTTGCAGAAACAAGCCGAACATACTGAAATACGGAAAACAAGCTGAACATACCCAATTCAAGTTCAGCATACCGAAATCAAACTGCACATCGTGGACGAAAGGTTAAACATAGTACAACTCGCGTAAACTAACGCAAACGAGACGTTGTTGGGGGGTGGGGTGGGGGTCAGTTAGGTATCTCGTCTCGTAATGTGCCGAGTGTGGGGTTAATCGTATCTTCATATCAGTCTATCATGTGTCCTCTCGTGGTATTCAATTACACGGTAGGGTTATAGGAGTATGCGGTTGTTTTCTGGCGATTCTGCTATCAAGCACATTTCTATAGCAAGTATAAATCAGTCTGTATTTAAGGTTTTAAAAATATATTCTAGCGAACCGTTGAGCGAGGATACCATTATCGTACTTCTCTAATTATCAACAAATTTTGTATATGGCAGGATTTTATCTACTTGTATATTAAAGCGCAAATATAGAGGACAAATGATTTTTAGGACTTCACGAGTCATAACACTTTGCGCCAAAAAACGTAATACTTTGTAAGTTTTCTGTGATATTTAATTCATTTAAAAACCTTATTTTCTGATTTTCTAACGCGTTTACTTGGAAATGCTGTATTTTTTTTATACCTTTATAGTATATTTAGTATCTGTTATATTGAATCTCAGGGGAAACTAGTGAAGAGTTTGGTCTTAAAAATGCACAGGCTTCGACCACAACGAACACTCTTAAAGTCGCTGATCGTCATTTTGGATTTTTCAGATTGTCTAATATTTCACGGTCTAATCTACGTTAAAATGTACCCAGGTTGATAATTGGCATTTAGATCATCCAAACAAATTACTGATTGTACATACATTTTAATATGAATAGTAACCCATTAACTAGACACACCCTATTACCTGGTCTTGGCGAATATTTTCCATAGGTTTCGTATCAGATTCAGCAAGTTTTGTCTTTTTACAAATATAATGCAATTTTGATGAACTGCTAATTTGTATGTTTGTATAAGATATGACACAAAAACCCCAACGAACAATCAAAAGTTTTTAACTTTTAAATTGATATATTTTGTATAAACAAATGTGATAACATATTTATAATTGTAATATATTTTATAACAAATTTTATAGAATTTGATTAATATGTCCTTATCAACGTTTTAATACGGATGGGCAATTTTATGGATAACAATATATTGATAGTACATAATGTATTCATATGAACATCATTATATTTTCCCATTGTTTTTATTTATTCATATGAACATCATTATATTTTCCTATTGTTTTTATTTCTTGTTGAGAATATTTGTTATTACAGTATTTTAAAACCTGTTAATAATATATACAATAAATAAAAGAAAACCAAATGTAGTTTTCATAATATCTGTTTCTTTACTCTTAAACACTTTTTGAATTTTTCTCAGCCTCTTATAAAGTTGACAGATGTCAGCCTCACCCTCACCTATATCTGATACAGGATTTATGATGGGCGGTGGGGAAAACGAACAAACTCAATTTAAGGTATGCAATGGGATTTAACATCTCGTCAATGCGCAATACTTCGTGAATGCGACAGGGCATACAAATGAGGTTTAACGTCCACACGACACAAATTAGATCATTTCGGCATGGATTTTATATATGTATTTCAATATTTCGCTTAAGCGTAGGGGTCTTTAGCAGTTGGAGGAAAACCATAGGACCCAGGGAAAATCCACGAGGTTGGACAGGCGACCATACTCCTTATCATTTACTATAGTGTGGGCTTAAAACCACACCACTTAGCCCAAAGACATACGGACGGATGGATGAACGGACGGACAGGGTCGACGACAATATACATCCGCATAAAAATGTTGGCGTATAAAATCCCCGGGAAAATGATCCGCATGCTTTACGTGGAAAAGCGAAGTTCTCGCAGTAAAAACCATATACTTGGACTCGTGGGTTTAATTCCATACAGTTAAAAGCTAGTTAAGAGTTATTTAAAAGTCTTTTAAAACAGTTCACAACTTCAGCGTTTAAAATCATTATATTTTGTAGTCCGTTACAGTTTTATCTCTCCACCCAGATAAAAGTTATATTACCTGAAAAGGTAAGAAGAGCCAACAGCAACACAGAACAGAACAGAACAATTAAAACAAATTGAATTAAAACATTAATATCGTATTCTGAATGATTGGGGTATATATACTAGTTTTGGCTGTCGTGTATAATATAAACTAATTAATCGTATAGAATAAGGTATGCTTATCTATGAAAAGGATTAAATAGATTTTTAACCCTGTCAATACTTCATTGCTAACAGAAGTATCCTGGGGATTAAGTAATTATGGTTTAGTTAACGGCTAATCCGTTGGTGTCTGATCATGAAATGTAAATCTGTCAGTGACCACTATATATGACACATACGGGGTGGGGTGATTTAACTACATATACTTTACAAGTTGGGTTGGTTATAGTTCTTCTAATTGCTGTCATCATGACCCAGGAAGAACAACCTGGTATTCCTCCTGGACCATCTGCCTGGCCGATTGTTGGTAATGCCTTTGATATGGGTGGTAAATACAAAGGTAAGCGACACAAATACTTTGACGACATGCGAAAAAAGTATGGAAGTATTTATAGTTTCTATTTCGGCAATCAGCTGCACGTAGTTTTGAATGATGCAGATTCTATTGAAGAAGCATTTGTGAAGCATAAGAGTGAGTTCAGTAACAGACCAGCAGATGCATTCTGGAACGTGAGGGAAATCAACAAATATGGAACAGGCATCGTCTGGTCAAATGATGACGAATGGAGGGCAAAGAGGGGGTTGGCACTCCAGATTCTCGGAGAATCAAATCTTGACGATACGGTGAGGGCGGAAACAAAACTTGTGTTAGATATTTTATCTCAGTCAGACGGAAAGCCATTGGCGAGTCAAGAACTGTTCTTAAATGCGACGGTAAAAATCATTAGTCGTATACTTTTGGGTTCCAGATTCGACGTCAACGATCCCGATTTCCTCCACATTATCGATGTAGTTTCAACATCTTTTACAAACGAGGGAACGTTTTCAATGCTCAACGTGTTCCCAAAACTGGGCTTTTTACCGTGTATAGCATCCAAATTAAGAGTACTTTTTGACAAAGTTGACACAGTACGAAATTATCTGTCTGGACAAATTAGTGAACACGAAAAGCAACACACAAAAGATAAACCAAACGATTTAATTGACGTTTACCTGTTCAAAAAAGATCAAGATGACGGAATGGAATTAGTTAGCAAAGGTGATCTTGTAAGACTTATCTTGGAGGTATTCCAAGCAGCTTCGGTTACAACAACGATTTCTTTGAACTGGGCGTTACTGTATATGATTCTACACCCAGAGATACAAAAGAAATGCCAAGACGAGATTGAAAGCGTTGTTGGTACCAATCGGATGGTACATTGGTCAGACAGATCTAAGCTGCCTTACACACAGGCAACTCTTCTGGAAATTCAACGTGTTGCAAGTGTTACCGCAACATCTATTCCACACACACCAACCAAAGATGTCGTTCTATCAGGTTTCTTGATTCCAAAGGACTGTATAGTTCTTGCTAATTTGTATAGTTGTCACTTTGACGAACAAATATGGGACGAACCCTTAGTTTTTAAGCCCGTAAGGTTTCTAAATGATGCTGGAAACCCGACAAAACCTCCTGCTTTCATGCCGTTCTCTACGGGCCCTAGAAGTTGTCCAGGTCAAACTCTTGCCATATTGGAGTTATTTGTATTTTTTACTAATATTTTACAGAAGTTCTCTCTGACTGGTAGTGGTGAGTTGAGTACAGATGGTAATTATGCCATCTTCTTGTCGCCACCTCCATTTCTTATTCATGCAAAAAGTAGACAATAGTATGACTTGTATCAATAATAAGGTATTCAAAATTCAATCAGCATTACATTGTGTTCTATCGATACTTTCTGTTTAAACATACATTATGCAAGAGCAAAATCTGCCTATTGCAGGTCTTTCTTAAGGCCTTAAATGTTACATAAATTATAAATTGGACATTAGCCCCTTTTACGCCGTGATAAGCGTGCCGTTCTGGGCAACGTACCAGGCCGCGATAAATTTCAAGAAATTGACCCGTTTACATTACTCTAAAATAACCGGTCTCAGAACCGTGCCAAGCACGCCAAATGTGAAACTCTTCACAGAAAAGTTAATTTCTGTATACAAATTACCCAGATGAAAACAATTATGATGGTGGATTTAGTTTGAGCAGCCATTTTGACAGAACTGATGACAGAACTGTCAAAGTTAGCGGGGGAAAAAGGGTCAAGGTTCTTTTCGCGCATGCGCAGTTATCCGTACTGAAACCGTGTTCAGACCGGATAGCGTTTACACTAAGAAAATTTAACCGCGCCGCGTCTGGTACCGTGCCGAGACCACCTCATTTCAGTGGGCTAGATTGGCAAGGTACTCAGTACGGCACGCCTATGTTGGACCCGTTTACACTACAAAAAATTAACCGTACCGTGCCGTGACAGGTACTGTTCCTGGCACGCTTAAAATTTGTAATGTAAACGGGGGTTATTAATTAACTTATCCAAATCATAATCATCTCCCGATCTTATCTTATGTGTCGGATTTTCACTGGATTGGAGCCCAATCAACTGCTCAAAGCTCATTGATGATTAAATCCAAAAATGGATAACCGAAACTATGGTTTTTATAGTACCTACCGACTTCAGTAATGATGATCGAGGCTAGGCTTAAAATTCAAAAAACTAATATCTCGTTTCAACGTGGAGCAATTTGACTGAAATTTTCAACACCTCTATTTACGTTATCTATTTTTTATCTATTACAGCGAGAACAGCCAATCATGTATTTAATGTACCATAATGTATCTTTAAATGATTTTAGTTTTATCGTTACTTTCTATTGTTCAATATAATCCATGGTTTTAATCGCTTTAATATGTACTTAACTGATAGTTAAACCAAACTTAATTTCATGTATGTAAATGTTAAATAACTTTCTTATACTTTGTTAATATTGTAATCCAGATTATATATTGTTATTAAAAAAAATACCATGGTTTATTGTCTGTTTGGATGCATTAAGGTTTGATTTGTGAAGGCAATATAATTATCAGGTCATCAAAATTACCACATATTATAAAAAGGTCCAAAGGCACATGATTTTTATACTTTTTATCACAATCGCGTTCTGTCATAAGACTGATAATTTTCTGTAATTCATCGATCAGTCAGTCATACTCTAATCCGAACAAAACCACAGCCCTATATACCGATATAGGCAATTTCATTGGCCAATATGATCACATGATCCGAACGTTTTTCTGGGGCCATCTATTAACAGCCAACATAAACGCGAGAGATTCATTAGTCCAAAGTCTGATTGGGTTGTCGAGGTTGGTGGGGGCACAGTGGTAAAGGCGTTCATTAAGCTCATTACTTCAGCTTTTTGAACTCAAAGATATCGAATTCTTGGTTTTTACATTGGCCTCCCAGAAATTTAATAACAAATAACGTGACACAACTTCTGAACAAACACCGTCTATAGTTACAACATTGGCCGTGGATTAGTTGTTCGTGGGATCACACTAATTATCCAATAATCCCCAGGATTATCACGATCCACATAAAACTATCATTAAAAGATCTCAATGGCTATCCTTATTTGTATTCATAATATAGAAGCTTGAAGTTATGGAACTTGGCGTTCATGTATATGGACACGACTTCTTTAAGAAATGTAGCGTTGCAGTGGTAAGAAGCATGCGCTGCTGGAATCACATTGCCGCAAAATTCTCGGAAAAATAAACGTACTTGATTGAAGCATAAAGTTTTAAAAGATAGGTTGCCAGGCGAGAACCAGGTATGAAAAATCATTAAATAACAAAATCAATCAATTTCTATATATCTAATATATCACACATGAATCTCTCATTAACAAAATTTAAATTTACTATAAAATTCCAAGACAACACACAACTTATAAAATGTTCTAAAATATTTCAATCAGCCACAACACAGATTTACACATATTAACATTGGATCGGTTTAAAACACCACATCCTACTTTCATTTTAGAAATCTTTTACACAAAAAAAAAAAATCTCCCTATAATACAGTGGTTTCTTTCCGTAGGTAAACTGGGGTCATTATAATAATGTACCCATTTTATTATGACAAAACCGGTTGATAGTGAGTTCGCTGAAACCAATGAATGATTTTCACACTTTTGTACCCTTTCTCAATTCTTCTTGAATATCTTTTGAGGATTCCCATGGTCTTGGACCTCTGATATTTTGCCAGGAATCTAAGTCCTTCTGTTTCATTTCCTGCAATAAGAGGTAAAGGTAAATACATGTTCACAGTGTTGAAAATGACATACATCTGATTCTTCTTTGAATCTAATATAGTAACTTTTTCATAGCCTGAAATACAAGAATTAAGAAACCGCAGCCTTTATAGCTCAGATGACTGGACTGATAATGACCACAATTTCATACTAGTGTTAATATTTATACTATTAAAAATGTGTCTAGCTTGAAATACTTTGCAAAATAAAATGTTTTTACAAACAAATATACTTTTCTTGGTACACTTATTTTGAATATATTTTTCTATTAATGGTTATGTATTAGGATGTATTCATTTTTGAGGTGTTTGGAAACATGTGTACAGTACTTCCACTGAAGCATGTGTTTGTTTGATCAATACACTGTACTTCATCTTGGGCATTCATAGAGAAAGAGAGAGAAATGGGGGTTAGCGTCCCCTTGACACAAACTATGTCATTTCGGGACTAACGTATGGTTTAATTTTATTTCAATAATTCACTTGCGCGTAGGGGTTTTTAGCAGTGGGAGGAAACCAGAGGACCCGGAGAAAACCCACGAGGTTGGACAGGCGACCCTACTCGTTATCACGTACAACCGGGGAATCGAAACCACACTAGCTGACTCAATGACAGACTTTATATTATAGCGCGTACACGCTAACCATTCAGCCATCTAACCCCCCTCTTGGGCCTTCAGGGTTAAACTTTAGATTGGTATGGTGTAGCATCGATGCTGCATATTAATTATACTGTTGGTATTTGTCATCTTGGGAGTTCAGGGTTACACATTATATTTGTATGGCTAAGCATCGGTGTCTGAATTTCGGATCTTACAGGAGATACAGAACTGTTCTTATTAATCATGACCTAACACAATATTGTCAATGCCTTTACTCATTTGCCGATAACATTAGCTTATAGAGCTCTACAAACAAGATTTTTCCAATTAACCATATTGGGAGTATTGGAAATCGTTGAAAATCAATAGGATAAACTTAAAGATACATTATGTAAGATTTAGATAAAGAGCTGACCATTCTTGCTATAATAGTTTGAAAATAGATCATGTAAAATGAATATATTGAAAATTTCATTCAAATTACTCTAATGCGAGCGAATATATTAGCCTATGAAAGTTTGACAAGATGTGTGCAATAATTTCAACCACCGTACTGGTTGTTCGAAGCGAAGTCTCCCTCCTCCATTTTTAGCGTAATTCATAATATGGCTGAACTGTTCTAATCTATTTAATATCGGAGAAATCCCATGCCATCGAGAGTTGATTATGGAGTGGATAAGTTAATTAATGTCTAATTAATAATTTAGAAAACATTTCAGGCCAAAAGAAAGACCTTCAATAGGCAGATTTAGCTCTTGCATAATGTATGTTTAAACACTGCATATAAATTTCAAATCAATTGGATGAGTTCTCAGTATCAAGGGACATAAATCTAGCAGTACATGTAATTAGAAGAAATTTCGATAAATTAATATCAAGAGTCATATTGGGAGTATTAGAAATCATTGAAAATTAATAGGATTCTTCATCTGTAACTTAAACACTGCATATAAATTTCAAATCAATTGGATGATTTCTCAGTATCAAGGGACATAACTCTAGCAGTAATTAGAAGAAATTTCTATAAATCAATAGAATTCTTTGTCTTATGGACAGGGGTGACAACATATATACAACCACATTTCAATGCAAGCGTATAAAAAGGTAATATTTTCATGAAAGTTTTTTCTTCATCAGCTGTAGGAATACTTACTTGATGAAGTGATTCTATTGAAACTGGAGTTTCTTTTTTCTTTATTTTAATACCAAGCTCTTTCTCCGCTTTTTCAAAATCTACCTATAAACAAATATGTATATCAATACATAATGTGTGCAAGCTTCAATTTAATCTATCCATTTCCAATTAGAAATTTTAGTAAAGTCTGCTCTGTATATGTGCGAGAAATGTCCTATCCTTGTAAACTGACATGACAAATAAATTTTTGAAAACATCGATTTCAAATATGGTAATCATCCAACATAACCAATAAAATCTTTCCATTAGAATTGATTTAATGGCTACCAATCAGTAAGCTCAGTAGTTAATTCTGTTTCATTTTATCTTTTTATGTAATACTACATTCATTAAAGATACATTATGGGATATGTGATAATGAGTTGGCAGTTCTCACTATAATAGTTAAAAACTAGATAATATAAAGGCAATTTGCTGAAAATTTCATTCAAATTGATCCACTATGAACCGAGAACAAAGCGATTGAATTTCTGCCTAGCCTTGATCATCATTACTAAAATCAGTCTGATAAACAGCATAGTCTCGATTATCCATTTACTCGTTAAATCGTGAATGAAAATTATGCAGTAAATCGGCTCACAATCCACTAAAGATCGCAGGCTAGCGATGCCATCTAGAGTTGATTGGTCTGGATAGGTTAATTAATGTCTAATTAATAATTTAGATAACATTTCAGGCCTAAAGAAAGACCTGTAATAGACAGATTTAGCTCTTGCATAATGTATGTTTAACATTAACGTAGCGACGTGTGTTTGATCACCAAAACTTTTCACCGGACCAAACTGTTGATATACAATATGTGCTGCATATCGTGGTGAATTATGGGAAAGATGGGAATGATTCTCTGTGTTTTTTATGGAATAGAATTTTCTGATATAAACTGTCACTCCCTCTGGATGAATCTCATGATGATGGAAAGCTTGTTTGAAAGGTAGTGTAAAAATCAGAAAAAAGTAAACAAAACAAAATTGTAACTGAACTGTAACTGGCTTTCACTTTCATTTAGTTCATCAACTCTTTTAACAAGATAGTAAATAATGTACTGATTATAAATTCTCTTACCTCTTTTCTCTGTCTAAATTCATATCTAAGTCTGGTAAGATTCTCTAAGGCAAATGAACCTCCAACTACCAACAGCTTTAAATATTAAAATTAAATTGCCATATTAATGAACTTTCACTGTTTTTTATCGGTCTATTCCATATTTTTCAGGGGAGGGGGATGGACTAATGGTTTAATAAGGCCTGTTGAGTCAAGTGGCACGGTTTGATTCCCCACTTGTACGTAACTAGGGGTAGGGTCGTTTCTTCCAATTCTATAGACGCCTATGTACAAGTGAATTATTGAACTAAACTTGAACCAAATGTTTGTCCCAAAAAGATGACCTACATGTAGTTTGTGTCATGTGGACGTTAAATCACATTTCTCTCCCCCCACACCCCACGCCCTCTCTTGTTGTTTGTGTTTTTCTTATTGTATTGTGACTTTTGTATTGCATTTCCATGAGATTAGTCCATACAGTCATCCCAATTAGCTAGCAGTATGTTAATTGTCAACACATGAGACTTACATGTATCGTTGCTGTCGTAAGCTTTTGACTTTATTGTGGATTGGAAAGGGTTTCCACAATTACTTTTTGACTTTTGCGCCAAAACAATTGACTAATTACCTCTTGATTTTCCCGACTTTGTGGACATACATTCTTTTGGATTTTTTAAGTTAATTAATGGATGAAGTGTACAATCACAAGGATCAAGGCATGAACCTATAATAATCTCTAATATACAGGTCCAGGGTCGACTATGATCCAGACGTTTCAGGGCAAGTCTTACATAGTGCATCACATACAATTACAACTTATTTCCACCCTGTGGTTTAACATATTCTGGTATCGATGATGTTATCTGACTTAATACCTCCATGATTCATGAATTAAATATACCGGTATATACTATATTAATTATTATATTATAATGTATCGGCGATGATAATGCATAAAGTTTTAAGAAAAAGACATTATTTTCGTAATTATAGTTTTTTGGCTGGTTAAAGAGAAAATACAATATTAAGTTCTCGTGATAGAATACATACAATAAATGGAAGTCCATGTTTTAGGAAGCGGTTCTTGGAAAATTGATTTCTGATTTGATCAAAATATTTATCTGCCATGTTCAATGGAAGCTGACATTTTAGTTCAAAGGTCAAACGTCAGTCTCTTACAATAGGTTTCATTGGATGAAAAAGAAAATAAGCCAATCAAATTCGTCTTTATATTTTTTTTTTCGTCTGCTACAAACGGAAGAAAATTACTCATAGGAGATTTAAAAGCAAACGAAGTTTAGTGATTTTGTTTTTGACGAAGTCATGGGAAACAAAATATTTAAATTATGAACAAACATGAGTAAAGAAATATTTCACACAGATCTATTATGGTGGATTTCTGTGCAATAATGTAATTTAAAAGGGGAACAACTCCATTTATTGATTTAGAGACTATGAGAGGCAGGCCTGCATGGATTACCCGTAGGCCTACCATAATAATTTCCCCATTGACTTCCAACGTTAATTTAGTTCTCTTTGCCCAGCTCAGACTTCTTCCAAAATTTTCGTTATGCTGAATGCTTTTCACTACAAACAGAGCAACAAAAATGGCAGTGTGTTCACTAAAAATTCCTATTCTAATGTCATGTTCTGCTCCGACAATTTTAAAACAAGCGGTTGCCATGCAAATATACACCCACATTTTCCAAGAAATGTATGGGGAAGAGGTAAAATATAGGGCCCATCTTCTCATTCAAGATATTTTGCAGTCCCTCTGGAGGACCTAAAAATTCATACATATTTCACATTTTGCGTAAAAAGCAGGGACATAACTCTAGAACTTTTGATCCTTTGCACATTAGTTTAAGTTTCATCTCATGCATCGGACAAAAATTGTTGCCTCATCCAAGACATAGTGATACTTGTTTTAAGTTCATCTAATTCGGATAAAAATTCTGACCTCTAGATGGTCAACAACCTTGGCATTACATGCTTTTATAGTATTTACGTAAAGGGGAGTGGCCATTTGACTGAATGTTTCGGATCACTAGAGAATTCATTTCCTACAATCAGGGGCCATAATCCAGAAAGTTACGACCCAATACGCGCCATATCGAAAGGAATCCAGGCCTTTTGGATATATCAACATTGGATGAAAATTCGAACCTCTGGGTGGCTAACACATGAGGCCTATTTCACGAAATTTTAACTAAGATAAAATCCAAATTTTAGTAATTTGATTGAATAATATTAGATTGATTTTAGTGCTTAGCCAATCAAAATTGAAGTATCTACTAAAATTTGGATTTTGTCTTTAGTTAAGATTTCGAGAAACAGGGCACGGTGTATTGCATGGTTTTAAGGATAGCGGCCATTTTGTCGGTCAGTTTCGGTCCGAATTTTGAAGTCAGTCGTAATATATGGTGATATATATGATCGGTTTTGACAATCAAATAAAAACTGTGAGGTCTAGAGGGTCCACAAGCTACATGTAAATATGCCGAGATATTTCGGTTATAAACATACATTGTCAGTTTCATCAAAATCGTATAAAAATTTTGACCTCTAGAGTGTCCACAACCATGACATTATTATATATTTATTCGTCTCCACAACCATGACATTATTATATATTTATTCGTCAAGTTCAGCATCACAGGAAACCACCATCGACTGTGATCGCTTGGTAAGAGGTTTAGAAAAGAAATAAAATTTCTCTTCATTATGCGTAATTTCATTATCCAGAAAGCGTCTCTGACGATCTAGATCTCCGGGAGCTTCGGGGGCCAGGGGCGTGTTGAGTGGTGACCCATGATTTTGCATGAGGAACAAAACTCAAAACCATGATGCAAATCTCGTCATTACGCCCCTCTCACTTAGCCTCTATCCGGGGCCTAGACGGCCCCTGCAACCTAGGAAGGTAGCCCCGGTCCCCAAATCAAGAATTGCTTCCGTAGGTCCTGAGACTTAAACAGTTCAAGTTCGTTTTTGTGGGATTGTTACTTATATGTATTTTTACTTTAAGGAGCTACACCTCTAACTCAGTATTTAATTTCCATAATATTTGGAATTCAATTTTGGCCCATTTCTATCAATATTGATATTGCAATCGTGCCGTGAAAATATGGGATCCTAATATCCAATATTTAAGACATAATAAACATTTTAAGATCAGTTTGAGGTATTTGATTGAAATTCAGTATAGTAGAGTGTTACAGATCTATTCAATTAAAATTCGGTTTGACAGAATTTATTGCATGTACTTATTTTGATATATTGACAGAAATCTATTCGCATTATCAGCCACTTATAAATACATATACATTGTAAAACTGTTGGGGCCAATACTCCTAGAATGCTTGTTAATGTGTAGTCGGGTAAATATAAGCCATATGGAGTGGATGCTAATTATGCTAATTACTCGAAAACCTATCTTTTTATTTTGGGCGAATTTTGTTTGGGAGACTTTCAGGGACCCCTCTACCAGATTCCGTCGAGAAAAATTCTGGTGCAATTTGTTCTAGTTTATTTATTATATTTACCGGACTAATGTCTGATATTTAATTTATCACGTATATTAAAGATACATTATGGGAGACTAGATACAGAACTGGCAGTTATCACTCTTAATAGTTAAAAACTAGATAATTGAAGGGAATTTGCTGACAATTTCCATCAAATTGATCCACCCTGAACCGATTATTTAGCGATTGAATTTTGGGCCTAGCCTTGATCATCATTACTAAAGTCCGTACGATAAAAAAAACTTAGTCTCGATAGCTTTTGATTTAATCAGAAGCAGCAGCCGGGTTCTAATCCAGTAAATACCATCGGCTAGCGATGCCACGGAGAGTTGATTATGGTCTGGATAAGTTAATTAATGTATAATTAATAATTTAGATAACATTTTACGCATGTTTAACTATTTTTCAGATTGGTTTCACCCAGAACCTTGCTCGTAGCTAGCCTAAATTCTGCTTAAAATTGTCTTCTGTCAGCCTATAGTACGAATATGTGTATTTCATAATTGGCAATAAGTTATTTATGCCGAATAAAATATCGTTTTACTTGTTGTCACCCATTTATTTGTGTTAAGTATATTTATCGTGTCAAGACATCACCATTATTTCAACAACATAATTCTTACATACCAAACCACATCCATTTGGAAAGGGGTCGTTTGTGGAAAAATATTTACTTTACCTAGATGCATTGTTGTTTTTGAGTGTGTTTCCTGTTTTCGTCGATGACCAACCTATAGTAGAAATTTGAGTGTACTTCTTTACCAACAGAATACCCCCCCCCCCCCCCCAAGCCAATTATTGCATTCCAAGGCGAAGAAGCAAAGGCGTCCATAGGTATTTTTTATTATATGAATGTCTTACTTCGTGCCTCTAATTTTTGTTATATGTCTTACTAGAGGCGAAACGTGTTAATATGACGTGGATATTGGAGATCAAAGATTGTCTATATACGTATAAGATGTAAAGATATAGCTACAATCACATTTTAATATCTGTATTATAATATTAAAATCTGTTTATTTAGTTCACAATTTTTGTCTAGTCCTCTGAATCGAACGAAAACAAATTTTTGGTTTCCGTACACACTGACGTATGGCCAGTTGAAGAAAAGTTGGCGGGATTCCAAATTCTAATTAACAAGCAAGATAAATCCGATTTATTCCATTCAAATTGAGAACCACCTATTCTTTGCTTTCCTGGTCACCGGTGTAGGGCGGGAGGCCTGGCAAAGGACCACGTATAGTCGTTTGGATATGACCAAGGTCCTGCGTACATAATATGCCCCATTTGGAAGAGAGAGAGAGAGAGAGAGAGAGAGAGAGAGAAATGGGGTTTAATATCCACTCGACACCAACTAGGTTGGGGCCACGGTGGCTAGGTGGTTTAGACGCTGGCTCGCTAGCTTGGGGGTTGGGTGTTCGATCCCTGCATTGGCCGAGAAAGTTCATCTGGATTTTCCGACGTGGTTTCCCCTTGTCAGTGGTACAGAACGGAAGGCCTGACAAGGACAGCTGTCTAGTACTTCGGATGAGACGAAAAACCGAGGTCCCGTGTATACATTGGAATGCACGTAAAAAAAATCCCTTGGCTGTTGGAATTCGATATAAGAGTAGGCGATAGTGCCGCTGCCCGGGCAAAATTTCCCTCATAGCACACTGTATGTCGTATGCCCGTCTTCTTTAGCCCAGTATAGGAGCAGAACAGTAGGACGTTAAACCCCAATTTTTTCATTTCATTTCCAACTAGATCATTTCGGAACCACACAGGGTTCAATTTTATTTCAATAGTTCGCTTGCGCAGGGTCTTTAGGGTCAGATCTAAATATTGATGCTACCTACAGATTCCGTCAAGGTCACGAAGTGTAAACAGGGTTAGGGCCTTGACGTTGTGATTTAGATCCAATCGGGTCTTTAGCTGTGGGAGGAAACCGGAAGCACCTGGAGAAAACCCACATGGTTGGATAGGCGACCATATTCTTTGTCACGTACAAGTGGGGAATCGAAACCACACTTTTTGACAGGCCTTATGATGTAACGTGCACTCGTTAAATCACCCCAATCCACCACGAGTACTATACCAAAGACATTAAAAGATTTAAGTTTTGGCGAAAAGAATATTCCCAGCCAACGGCAAATCGTTATAAAATTAACAATGCCTTTAACCAAAGAGACGCTTGATTACATTTTAATATGTAAACAACAGTCTGGAGACACACCTTCAACATACAGGTATATATAAATCAGGTTATTGAAGGTAGTTATTTTAAAGAATCAGATCTACAAGATGAATATCTTTATCCTGGGTGTTATATGTTTGTTGGTTGAAGTAGCGGCGGTGGCAGGTGATGGCGATACAGTATCGGGTTAGTCGAATTTCTTGATTTTTTAATTTAACAACAAATCATTGATAAATTTCTAAAAATACTTTTATATAGATCTGACACTATTCCCCTACTCGTTTATTGAGTCGGGTCATAATTATTTCAGAAAATGTATATTCATAGTTACGCTGTTGGTGTTTTATGAGTTTCGGTGCTTTACACATATTGTCTTCGTCAGAGTTTTTATTTTTTGTTTTTTTTAATTTTAGTCCAAATTTGCAGCCCAAAGTGTGCATGTAGCAAACATTCTACCAACGTAGATATTGTTGGCCTC